TCGAATAAATTTTTTGCGCCCGCCACACGAAAAATCGGCCGGATCGATTCGCCTGACGGGGAAGAAGGCATTCCGAAATTCCGGGCGTTCGATTTGCATGCGAATGTCGGCGCAAAAATGCGCCCGTTCCGCTGAATTTTTCTAATTAGGTTTCCGGATCGATGGAAAACCTAATTGGAAACGTTTCTAAACGACACACTCATCGCGCCCCCGTACAAAAATCCAATTCGAACGCCGAATTAACGACTCGAATTTCCCCGGTTTAAATTTATATCATATAACAATAAACCTCGATATTATAAATTAATAAGTTCCCGAAGGTTAAAATGCGAATTAAATATAAACATTGTCGTATTTATTACATCCGCATAGCGTGTCGCTTCTTTAGACTTTCAGTCAGAAATACCGGAAACGGGATCATATACCTACGTTAAGAAGCAAATATTCCTTTATGATCCTGTTACACGAACAGGAGATTTGCATAGAATATTAAACATGAAATAGATGTTAAAGGTAACCGCGCTTTAATATTTCATCGTGCAGGATGCTCTTAATTGAAGATCAGTATAAAAGCTTCCTTATAAGATTTATTACATACAGCAAAATTGATAGTAAAATGGGTTTTCACGATTATTAATACATATAGAATAATAGCACAAGCAATATTTTCATTCATACATACTTACCACTTATGCAAGTTGTGTTGCATAATTTTGGAAATCACGTGTATAATTAATTACCTGTTATCGCAAATTTAATTACAAAAACAGGCAGAAAAATAAACAGGATAATAATCCTGCTGATTTCGCAGGATTATTATACGATGTAGCTTTGAAGTTTTTAACGAGTTGCATAAATCCAACGGCTTTCGCAACGAAAACAAATTGTACGGATGTTATTAGGTAAGCAAAGTTCGATTTCCCCGATGAGAAACGTGGGTACCAAAAATCCTGCGGTTTTAAATGCGTCGCAGGAAACCCGACTGCGATTTAAATTTCAATTTCCGGCTAATCCTTTTTCGCGACGGCCCTAATAGTTCGTCGCATTTGAACTGTAAACTTTTCCTTAACAACAATTACATCCCCATTCTCGTTCTCTCTGCATTTGTTGATACAATTATCCCTGTCGCGAAGCCTTCCTTGGGAAACTTTAGATTAGGCAGGACTATCTAGCTAATATGCCCCGCCATTTTGGATTTGCGTGTAGTATTATAATCGTGTTACAGCTAATGCCTTCCTGTGCAAGTGTTTGAAACTCGAGATTTAATCTGAATTAAACTAGCGAGGAACAACATGGTATCAGTTGTCAGTTATACAATCCTGCGTGTTTATCTTGTCTACAGGATTCCTCTATTAGGTACGCATGATTTAAATATCCGATTCCTTGACATCCCCAGATGCTATACGTTTCCAACGATTCAATAAATATTTAAAACAAAGTTAAAGTTCCGACTTCCCGCTTGACGTGGGCGATGAAGTTATACCTCCGGTGGAATAATTTTTCCGGGGAAAGGGTCCCATTTCGCGAATTTTCGCGCCGTCTGATTTTCCAGGAATAATTACGCTTTATTATTAAACAACAAACGGTTTATCGCGGGTCCCGTCGGAAACCCCTACCGACGAAATTATGCCGGGTTGGTACACAATAATTTTAGTGAGAATATGGAGAGGCTGCCATTCATCAACTCGATCCCCCAGCATCGCTAATTACAGAGGTATAGCGGCAGAAGGTACGGCGCAGAGGATTGCGATAACTGGCGAATTTCTTCCGGAAACAATTTGTTAATAGATGCAATAATATGCTAATTTTTTTAGAGTATTCTATAAGGCGATGCTTCCAAAAATTACCCAGCAAATCATGAAACAATAAACTTGCTTGGAGGAATTACAAGGAATTACAAGTGTCTAATTACGATTTTTTTTACTGGAATCACAAAGCTCTAATGCGTTCTAATAATTTCATGATCATCTGCGGTAATATTTCTTTCTCTGGGGAAATCACCCCGTAAAGTACTCGTCGTTTCGGCGATAAAAATGCAAATTTCGAGAGAGCCGAATCTATTTAAATTCTCATTTATTTCGGCTTTTGTCTCCGAATTACCGGCTAGCCATTCATTCTTGTATCTCTATTCCCACCTCCATTGTGGCCCGAGTGCTTCCCGCATTCGCCGCTGCAGCATACATTCGTCTTCCCGCTTTCCGGGCCAGTCAAAAAGGAATTGCCTCTCGATTTTTTTTATCGTTTTTTCCTTCCGCTCGAATGCACCGATAATGCCACAGCGGGAGTTTCTAATAAGGGCTTTCTGCGGGGGTTGTTCGAGCAGCTAACCGGGAAGAGGGCGTGTTATTTGCTTTAACAAATTAACGCGATTTTATTGTAAGTCGGAAATTAGCTAAATTGCGGAAGAATACGAGCGATTGTGATGGGGAATAGAGTGAGAATTAACATTTTCTGATTTGCACGGCTAACAAAAGAGCTCGAGTATTCGTCGAGTTGCTTGCCTCTCGTTCGGCGGAAATTATGCTGTTATTGCAGTTTGCAACTTCATTTATAATAAGAAACACTCAATATAACGAGCGAGTTAGAAATAGAATTTCTCGGGCAACATGAAGTGGGAATTTTTCGAGCGCACAACAATGGGATCGAGTTATTACTTATGCATCCGTTTCATTAATATCCGTTTCAACGTTGAAGAATGTAACCAATTACACCACTCCATCTTGGCAGAAAATCAATTCAACTGCATACAAAGTACCTCAAAAATTCGGAAAAGGTGTTGCGAAATGCCAGGTTAATTCCCGCGGTTTTCGCCATAAAAACGTAGCAGTAATTCCTGCATTTCTGCGAACATCCGCTTCGACTTTTTGCACCTTTTTACGCTTTCGGGCGAACTAACCGGCGACTTTCGGAGCCGAAAAGTTTGAGTGGTAATTATGCAGATCACGAACGGGCAAGAGTTTGCTTTTAGATGTAACTTTCGCGGCGCGGAAACACTTGGAGTAACGGGCGGAAAAAATTGGAGTAGGGATCGGAAGGAACAATAGGGCGAAATAAAAAATTGGACGGAAGCGTCAAGAAACACGCCAGAATTCGAGTGAAACAACGCGTTTTTTAAATGCTAAAAGAAATATTATACTCCGTTCGCTATCTGGAGATAGTAATAAAACAATTTTGTAAGCAACAGCAAGTGTGGTTCAATGAAAAAAAATACATAACTTTAAGGGTTGTACTATTGAGTAGATTATTTTAATAGTGTTACTCTCTATACAAGGTATTTAACAATAGGATACCCTTTTATAATCCCAGAATAAGTAACGATTCATCGCCTTTCGAGAAGGTTTTATTACCATCTCCTGATAGCAAATAGAGTAAAACTAAACGATATAGGCAAACATACTATACAAATTTTAGTAGATCCAAGAACCTACATGTCTCGTTTTCCCCTCATTAAAATGTTCCAGCAAATTTCATTTAGGGTGTAGAATTTTCAATATCCGAACGGATATATTTCACCGGATATAAGAGTTTAGGCGGAGCAATTAACCTTCATTTTTGAGCAGCGCGAAAAGCGAGCCCTCCGGCGAATATTTTTAGCTCGAGAAAGGATCGCGTACAACATGGAAACGAAGGGAAGAATCCGCGGTTATATGTTATTTGATAACTCCACCGGGAAAAGGAACACACAAGCTGAGCCGCGTAATGCCTATAAACGTTGCCCCGGAATATCTTCGATGATAAAATAAATCTGATATTCGGGTTAACCCCAACGCGAGCGCCTACGGATCGACAGAAATAGCTGCAAACGTCGTATGCGCTATAAGCATGCAGGGAATTCATTAATGTAGTGTGGAAATGAATAGGGAGAAAATTGTCGAAGAAATTTTGTGATCGTCCTCGAGTTTTATTGACTTTTTCATAAAGCTCGAGAACATTAAACGTCGAGGTAAACAAGCATTATACCGTCCGGAACGTCAGCCGGCATAACGAGGACGAAAACGGAAACGTATAATAAACTAGAAAGTTGTCTAAAACCGCAAGATTTCCAAAGTTACTGGAACATTCCCATTTATATATTCCAGACTGGATCTATTTAAATGGAAATGACTTTTCTCTTGCGCGATATCCGAACGAGTTTGACACTTTTTCGAGGGACATCCGCCCTTCGCGGATTTACTCGATAACCCCGAAAATAATTAAAAAAAATAGATAGCTAGCGTTGTATATTTTATTCATGTAAAATGTAACCCCCCGTTCATTCATACGAGCACACACACGCGTTAACGCGCACCTTCGCGTTCATTTTTTGACCTAATTAAGCGCAAAAGCGAGCGCTTCCGCCCGCACACCAATCGTCCAGGAATTACCGATAAAAAATAATGTATAAAGCGATCCTTTCTGCATCCGCGGATGCCGATCGGGGGATTAGCGACGTCGTGCCCTATCGGGTACAACGGCCGAAAAGAACCCTTTTGATTAATCGAGGAGGCACTTAGATTAGGTTACCTCGAGCATAACAAGGTCTTCGTCCTTCGTCCCTATTCCTGGCTCGTCCTTCGTCCTTCCCTATATCTCTCACGCCAGTCGGCGTTGGAAATCGATATGTGCAGGAATTCGAAATGGCGTAAATATGATGTAGTAAAATTTTTTATGTTTAGATGAAATTTTAATACGAGTTTATTTGCGGGTGTACTTTACTAATTCGATAAAACGCGCTTCGCTCTTCTGGATTCCTTTTACAGGAATTTCAATTTGTGATTGTATGCAGAGTATCTTCTATTTTTAGACTAATAAAAGGCAATAAACTTCAGTATCAACTGCTTTATTCCTTTTAAGTTTCGCTGAAAGCGGCGGACGATCGGAATGCACGCAAAGGCCTCGTTTAATATGCTGGAAAGGAAGGAATCATTTGTTGTGGAAATGGAAACAGGAAGAGATAAATATAAGGAAGGTCGGGGTAGTTCGGAACGTTTTATTAAAAAAAAGAAGAAACACATAACGTCGCCCTGACGTTACAACAAAATATTAAATTTCGCAAAAAATAAATCAAAATTATTCGATAGTGCAAAACAATGAGCACGTGTCCCATTGTTCCGGGCTGTTACTGTTGCTTCAAAGTCCCCTTCAAGCCCGTCACCCACGTCATTTTCGACTTAGATGGAACCATTCTCGGTAAGCGTGATTAGCAAAATCGCCCGAAAGCCGGTAATCCGGGTGATGAACTGTCGCCGTTATAGATACCGAAACGATGGACTTCAAGATATTCCGGGAGCTGGCGAAAAAGTACGGCGGGAAACTGACCGAGGAGGTGTACGGAGGCGTGTTGGGCACCAACGAGGACATTGCTTGCAAGAAAATCGTCAACGACCTGAATCTGGACGTCGAGCCCGAGGTGTTTCAAGCCGAGTATGTGGATATGGTCGTTCAAGAATGCCCCACCGCCGCCTTTATGCCCGGTATAAATCTGTTACTGCGATTATTTGGCTCATTTTTTAACCAGAATCGACTAGAAAGTAAAATCCGTTGGGTAAATTTAAAAAATCGTGTAGAGGTATAGGAAAAATATTTATTGCACAAAAATCTACGACTCTTAAGCTAGACATATTTCTACACAGTTCCCGAAGAATAATGGTCTTTTAATGGTCTTTAAATGACTCTGGCCCTTTAAAAATCATAGATTTTTGTGCAATAAATATTTTTCCTAAACCTCTACATGATTCTTTTAAACGGAACTTACTTTCCGGACGCACCTGGTATTTCATGCATCGTGCATTGCGTTAATCCTCGGCCAAACGCTAATTCACCTAACTAAATTACCACGGTTCGAGATAATTTAGTAATAACGCTGCGTATGTGACTAATTAATTTTTAACGCGAGTTTCATCAAGTTGAGCGCCATGTAGTTTGGCCTGCAGTTGTGCACTAGCCGAGATCGGTCAATCTAAACTCCGAACAAAGTTCGCCCCGTACGGACAAATTAAAACGAAAAAAAAAATCGATCCGGGAAGATTAATCGCCCGATATTGCACCTAATATGTAAACCCGATAACTCCGTCGCCGTTGAGCCTTTGATTACAAATTGCTCGAATTACTTTTAGAACCCGTAACTAACTCCCGGTAATCTAAGAACACTATAAATTTCCGAGTCGTTTTCTCGACGATAAATTCCCCTTGCTATGTCCATAATAAATTTCGTTACTTTGACTCTAATCAAAATTGCGAACACGATTGTTCTAGATTCGACCATAGTTTACGGCTCTAATATATTTTTTACGTTGCAAAGGACACCTTCCCCGGGCTTATCTTACGAGAAAAAAAACACCATTCAACCCTCACAAGCGCACGAAATACTTCTTGCTCATTAAAAAAAAGGGATTTATTTTATTAATACTGCGTACAAAATTATTTCCTGATGTCGAATGGAGTATAAAATTTCTTATTTTTATCAGGAGCATACTGTATAGGTAACTACAAATTTATAGCCAAATTCTATTTGGTGGAAAATAAACTGCTCCACAAAAGTTCGCAAATTTTGCGATTATTTTAAAAGTTACAGACTTTATGATCACCAAATTTTCAAATATGCGAAATTAAATGTTTTCTCTCATATCTGAGTGGATTTTTTGCCCCTACCTCTACAACTCATACTAAATTTGGCGATCAAAAAACCTGCAACTTTTGCAATATTTGCGAACTTCCTTAACTTTTGTGCAGCAGTATATTTTTATATAGTTTTTTATCCGAACGAAATAGGTATTTTAGGGGCGTCGCCGCCGGTGCAGACGACGTTCGGACGCGTCGCGGCGTATCGTGCCGACGGTGCATGACACCGCGACGCGCCGCAGACGATGGCCCCGATCATTTTTCACCGGCCCGACCGATTGTTAACCCCTGCAATGCCGTAAATAGGCCACTTAATTCGCCTTTCTCCTGCGGTTAATCGACCTTAGCGCGGGCCATTGTCGCGAGCGCGATTATTTTTAGGCGTCGAGCAAGTCGTGAAGGCGCTGTACAAGAACGAAGTACCCATGGCGGTGGCGACCAGCTCCACGCAGACCACCATCGACGCGAAGTTCTCGCAAAAGAAGGAGTTTTTCGACATGTTCCACCACGTCGTGTCCGGCAACAGCGATCCCGAGGTGCTCAGAGGCAAGCCCAATCCGCACATTCACTACGTCGCTTGCAGGAGGTTAGTTCCCATTAAAATTTCCCCGAAGATTTCAACCGAATAACAGAAGGTAGCAGCCTTCTTATCTACCAAAAAACCTCTCTCGCATATACATTTTCGCGGTTAATTTGACGCGGAACGTCGACCGAAATTGAAAAACGAACGTTCCCATGCCCGACAGGTTCCCCAAAAGGCCCTACAGACAGCAGTGCCTGGTGTTCGAGGACTCGTTCAACGGCGTGGTGGCGGCTCGCCGGGCCGGCATGCAGGTCGTGATGATACCGACGCCGGAGACGTCCTATTTCAAATGGCGCTACGCGACGCTCCGGCTCGATTGCATCGATCATTTCATACCGGAGCTGTTCGGCCTGCCGCCCTTCGATCCTCCCATCGTGCCGAGCGGCGGCAAGGGAGGCGCCGGCGGCGCCGGCGGAGCGCCGTTGAGCTGCTAGTACACGGGACTTCCGGCGCGGTTTGTAGGGAATTCGAACGAACGCCGGATATCACTTTGACATGATGAATTGTGCAATAAATATGTAATAAATAATGAGGTCTATGTTGAGGTTTGAATGTTTTAATTTCTAAAATATTGGCTAAAATCGGCTGCTGCATTTTAGCTGCTAACTTTACACCGGTTTTAGAAATCTGGTTTTATCAGAAAATGAAATTTTATAGTACGGCAGTTCCCCAGATTTAGAGATGTTCTCGAATTCCCATCTATTCTCTCGCGAATGGATACATGGTAATCGAACGCGCCGTTTAATCGAAGCTATTGAACGGGATTAGCGTTATCTACGCAAGAAGATTGATAATCAGCTTTTTCTGATAGCCATTCAGCGTTAATTGGCGTTTCCTTCTGTCCGTTTCCTATCGAATCGGATCCGTTGTCTTTAATTTATTGTAATCCGAGGAATTGCCCGACGTTCGGATACTTTCGTTTCCCCAAAGAAGGTGCAATATATTCCCGTTGACCCAAATCCTCGTGTACCTTGTAAAAATAATATCACAAAATAAGGGGTGGAAATTCAACCGGAGAGTTCCGCGAAAATTGGATAGTTTACAAGATATTCTTGGCCCCTCCCGATACCCATAAATAAAATTGCTCAAGCTCTATTACCGCTGGGGACTGTTGTGAGAACATTCATAAAGTCAAAATACAGTTGAACGTCGAAATTTATCTCTCTCGAAATTTTTCCCTAATTTCGAGCTTACTTCGCCTAATTCCGCCGGGGTAGAAGGCGAAACGGGAAAAATGACGTCGACGCGAGATTTTTCGATTTGTTTTCCGGTCCGTCGGATTTCCCTCTCCGCGTGTACGCGTCGCCATGACGAGCAGAGATTTCCACTGCGACAATCGACAATTCCGATAACAATTTATCCCGGCAGCTATTCTAAATATTTCAAAAAAAACTAGGGAGAAAGCGGGACGCGAAGGAGAAAAATGGCAGGCAATGGTAGCTCGTCGAGGTGGAAATCTTCCAGGAACGAGGATAGATACGCGGGATAACAGGAAAAGATTCCGTTTTTGTTTCGCTTTAAACCCGAGCGATAGTCGAAACTTCCATTATTGCGAATGGATGGGATCCTTATAAACTGAAAAGTAATTCCAGCCCGCCATACGCGTACATTATGACGGTTTTGTCGTCTAAGGGATTTTAATTGGAAAAGTTTTTATGATCCCGGAAAAACGTTCATTTTTTCGGCGAAGCGCAATAAGAACAACGAAACTCTACTCAACTAATAGAGCTTTTCTTCTACCTACACAAAAGATCCGAGGAATTCCGATAACTCGGAAGATCGCGAAATTAAGAAAACTCTCGCAAATAAAAATATCCAAGAACGCAGGTCCGGCCTCGAAACGAATCCAGAAATACACGCGCCATTAATCAGCGCTGAAAGGCGCGTTTTTAAAGCGAGCCGAGTTTAAAAAAAGCGCGTTAAAGAAAAGTAACCGATAATCAATTTCGGAGCTGTCGCGTCGCTAAAACTCATTCGTATACAAATGGCATGCAAATACAATTTTTTCGACAACGTCTCTTCCTCCGTGGTACCGACGGGGCGCCGGCGAACTTCGTGCAATTGCTCAAAATTCTTTTTTGCGGCGTTCGCTCGGGCGCCAGCGCCGCTAATGCGATCTAACGAATTGTTTTATTATGCAGTTCGCGAAAAAGTCGATGCGCCGGCTTTCACTTATCCGCGAAACTGAGGGCTCCGATGTATTTATCATGTGTCGGTTTCACGATCGCATTAAATATGCGGGTTATTCGAAACGAAAAAAACCGGAATGCACGTCAGTTTAAACAACATCACGTGAAGTACGATAAATAATTCATTCGAATCGATACGATGCAAAGGGTTTTCGTATTGTTCCGCCCTTACAAATCCGGTTTAATTGACCTTAAAAAAGCGACGTCTTCGAAAATTCCGACGATAATTCGAGCCAATTGGCTCGTAAAACAATGCGAATTAAGCTCGCCTTTTATGACGTTATATCATTTTAGCTCATTGTGCTGCAAGTACATTTAATTACAATCAGATAGGTTAATTGGTAGGTACTCTATGAAATTTCCTATTACTTAGTTTAATTAAAGTTCATAGTGATAACCTTAAAGGTGTAATTTACAACTAATTCGGAATAAAAGCGGGAAGCTTCGATAACTGATAAGCGTAATCGAATCTCTAATGGAACGTACTTTTAATTAAAAAACTTAAAAAAAGCGCTCTTTCTTTTATCTCGCTGCTAATCCAATCTAATAATCTCGTCGTAAATCATATAGACGTGAGCACAATTAAATGGTTATAAAAAGAAACGAGCAATTTAGCGAAGGAAACCCTGAAGATTTCCTTTTAAAAAAGTTTTTAAAATTCGATAAAAAAGTTGCCGGGATTGTCCTCGGCACCTATTCTAAACATTTGCGGTTCCCATTGAATAAACTCGATTGTTTGTAGCAAGCGCTCTTTGTGTTTGCTTTTGGCAATCTTCCCCGAACGAGGTAAACCCGCCTCATCAATATCCGATATATTACATCGGTTACTCAAGCCAAAGTTTGGAAAGAAAAGACAAATCTACCGTGGCGAATCCGGTTATCCTTTTATGTTAATTTCCCCGGTATTGCAAACGACTGTTTACGTTTTATCAATAATTCATCGAGTATATCCTAATTCGTTGTTTAATTACCATTAACGAATTGATTAAGGAAGCTCCACTTAACTCGGCGCTAATCCAATTTCGGTTAGTATAAATTGCCGGGCGGCTTCGCCTAGCAGAAACGGATCTGAGAAAAATATTTTCGCTCGAACCCTCCCAGTAAATCGATGGCGTGATTAATTTATCCTGTTATTACTATTCGAAATTAATTCGTAGAGTAAAAAACGGTATATCGAACAAAAACAACCCCTATTCAAATAAAAAAAGTTCCGATTCCTTCCGGCCTCCGAAAAAACAAGCAAACAGATTAATCCGGCGAAACCAAACAATTCCACTTCTAATTGTTCCAATCGAAACACTCCCCGATACAGCCGGCCCAAGGTTAAGCAAATAAATCCGTCTCCGAAAAAGTAATGAATTCCTCCAATCTGCTGCGCCCTTCTAAAACGCCGAATTAAAATATTTCCCCGGCAAATACGGGATGATTCATTTAGTGCCCGTTTTCGCTCTGATGGCTCATAAAAATTTCATCCCGTTCGGGCCGCCGCCGCCCCGGCCGCCCCCAGCATGCTCACCGAGTAAATAAATCCGCCTTACGCAATTCGCGGCGCGTAAATCAAAAAGAAAACGATCGGGAAATAATAATCCCCGCAATTCGCGGCACATGCCGCAAGGATGCCGGTCTCTATTAGCGCCCAGTCGACGGAAATTTATGGATTTTTTCCGGCCTGCGAGGTGATTTACAATCCGGGGACGTAATAATATCGTTTACATGCGGCTTTAATGGGGATCGAAAAAGATATTTCCGTATTTGTGAGTATAAAAACCTTACAACTGATGATAACAATGTTCTTGTATTGCATATGTTATTGCAAGCTGTAGGTTATCGATCAAATTGTTTATTATGTCTATGGTAATGACATGTAAATTACCCGGTTAATCGATAATCTACAGGTTATATGATAACAATTTAAAATGGTGCATGCATTATAAGGATGAATGCCAAGTGATGATAATAACTTTTTAATGTAATCAACATACGAGCAGATGAACCATATTTATGCATTCAAAATAGTTAATAATATCCCAACCTAAAAGAGTCGATATTTTACCTTAGAGATGAGTGTCACTGGTTTGACCAAAAGAACTATTAAAGTATCAGTTGTGGAGTTAAGTGAGTCAATTATCTCAATAATATGCTCAAAAACCTAAGAGATCTATTTAAAAAAAGATCTAAGAGAGTCGGGTATCTACCCAAGAGTCAGTTATCAAATTATCTAACCAAAAGAGTCAATTACCTACCCAAAAGAGCCCTTTGAACTCCCTTTGAGCCAGATATTACACATTCATTGCCATTTTCTATTTGGAATCAATTTTCTGTGTATAGTGGACAAACAGATTTTTAATTAAACCCCGATGCTGGGAAAAGCCCGTAAAAATCAAATTTAATATTTTCGCGAATTTCGGGGAAATCAAAGCGGGCATATGTAATGTGTGAGCGAGCAACTATCCGGCGAATTTCCGCTGAAAAATGCAGGAATCTGACGCGGAACATATGAAAACCATTTTTAACGGGCTACTGCTCGCCGGTATCTACTGGCTTGCATAAAATTCTAGGACGAAACGGCGAAACGTGTATTTTCACTTTATTTTCCCGTGTTTATTTTCCGTCGCAAATAATTCATAGCGCAGATCTTCGAGCCTATTTATTATGGAGAGGAAAGAGGAATATTTTATCGCGCGTAAAGAATGAATCTAGCGCGCCGAGGCGATTCCTTATGCTCGTATTCGATTCGAATTGTAATATTTATTATTTTCACTCTCTGCTCGTAGACGAGCCGGAATATTAGATTTAATTACGATTCGAGCGCATTTTACTGGGCACCATTAAAAGAGCCTCTAAATTATGTTGTTCTCATATACAACAGAGCTTCTTCGAATTCATTTTTGCCGTGCCGCTGAATAAATTTACCGGATTATGCTCTTCTCGTTATCCCGGCTCTTTATTTCGGCTCGAATTTTTCGTTATGCAACTTACAAACTACGTTATGTAGTTGTTTAATTATACTAAAATATTTTTGCGAGAGACTAAGGGCTAAATTAATCAGCAAGACGATCAGACGGAGCAGAATGAGCGTAATAAAGTATACGTTTAATTGAATTTTTTAGCATTTTCGCGGTGGATAGTCCGAGAGTTTTCCTCTCGGTTTTACGTTTCTAATCTTATCTAAAATTTAGAGTCGCTCCCGTGTATACGGGCGTAGCCCGGGCACGGCTATTAGATAGTAGAAATGAAAATACCTTATAAAAATTTCCTGATTTATAGTAGTAGCTCGGGTAAACTTCGTACGACTCTACGTTTTTATGCGATCGTTCAAAAAGTTTCTATCTGGCGAAACATAAATTTTTCCGAGTTTATTTCGCACACCGCAATTTATGTATCGCTTCTGTCATTACTCAAAATAAGCGAAATTTGGAAACGCCCGTTGTTCTCCTTCGGCAGTGGCATTAATTTTGAATTCATTTTTTTGCCAGCGTTGAATGCAAACATAATCCATCTTCATTTCGGTCTGATAGAGACGACCTGAGGCCGCTTCCAGACTGTTATAGTGACGTCCTGATGAAGGTCGACAGTGTTTAATTGACGCTTCGAAAGACAGACAAGCTGTATAAATGCGGTCATTAATATTGCACCGGTTGTTAGATATGCGAGAGGAGCTCTCGATAAATATGCATATCGTAAAATTAACAAGTATTTTCCATAAACGTCGCGATCGCTTAACAGTTGGTTAGAATCAAGGAGGCTGAATACATTCGGAATTTAAAGGTGGTGAATGAAAATTGATTCGTTTACCGAATCATAAAAGACCAAGTTTGGTTAGTTTTGACTTTTGACATTTACGTAAGAATCACAGACAAGTTTTTGAAGACTTCCGGTCATGTAGAGAAATCAGTATGACGGATAATTTTTGAGAACATTATAAATCATTGAATAACTTTGACATCAGAAACATAATGAGTAGTTTAGTTAAAGATAAAAAATGTTGTAAGATACTTGTAAATGTTACAGTGAAAATTGTTGAATATAAACGTTTAGAAGAGTAATTGCTAACAAAAGCAATATTTAACAAATGTGTAACTATGGCAATGACATTTGACGTACGTCAAATAAATTCGTTACGCGACGAATTTAATAATTAACGCACATCATTTTCACGTTACAGATTTGCTACGTAATGGTAGTGAATGTGTTTTTTTGCCGGATTCGAATTTTACGAATATCTGGAGCGTACGTGTGTGACGCATAGATATACGGTTTTGTCATTCCATCTAAATAAAGGTCGATTGACATGTCATAACGAACATACATGCTCATTTGCACGAGCAACGTGTATTTTACTGACGTTACTGTCGTGTCTCTGCGTCGTTAGCGTCCTTTTCCGAGTATCGTATTTTATTTCATTGTGCTCGCCTATTATTTGCATATTAGTAGATTCGTTTAATACCCTTTTGGATTTTGTTTCACTGACTTCACTGATAATTAAAACGGCTCAAATCGCTCTCGAAATAGTTCCCTCATCGTTAGTAACGCTGAAGATCCTAACAAACGATCCTCCTTCGCCACTAATTTGAAACGTTACAATCTCTCGAGAATCGAATTTCCAACGCCCTACCTTTACGCCCTATACGCTCACAAACAAGGTGTAACCATCTCCACTTTCGAGTGGAACTTTGTCGGATTATCTCCCCAAAAAAAATATTCCTCGAATGCACCTCTCACAAATCAAAATCGCTTGGAAACTACATAACAGACAAGCACGAGCGGGCCGTATATTCCGAACCGAGTGCGTAATTTGCAAAGTTATTTAATAATATAGCAGAAGAAAATTCGCTCGTAAATTACATCGCCGAATATGATATTGTGTTTCGAATCCGAGAAACTCACGAGGGTTGTGTATGCGCGATTTGTAAAGTCTATATTTCTCGGCGCCTTCGCGAAATGAAATTGCCGATTCCGCTGAATAGCCGCGGAAATTCCGCCGATGCAAACATACAGGGCGTAAATTAATTAATTTCAAAGGGCATGCGAGCGTCGGAATAAAGTCCGCGTAATTAATGATATTCAAAGCGGCGCATAGTTAATGCGATATCGAAATAAAATCCCGTAATAAAAGGGCCGTAATGGGAGCGGTAAAGTGTATGAGGGGAAAATGAAAAACTTGAAAGTAATCAAAAAGCAAAATAAGCCGCGCCCGTTGAACGAGCAATTCGAGCAACAAAAGAGCCGGCACAAGTTTTCATTTAATATCTTTAATATCCAGTTACCTCAAGAAGAGAGGTTTATTTAAATTACACGCAAAATTTTTTTCGTGCAATGTAAATAAAATTTAAATGGAAGCAAATATCTCTTAAAGCAAATATCTGCCCAGTAAAGAACATAATCGTAAAGAAAAACGAATCGGTATATTCCATCCAAAAAACATAAGCCGGCAAATTAATTCTCCTCCGGCATCCGATCAAGACGAATTACCGCTATCTATCAAACAAGTCGCGAAATTAATAATCACAGTTGCAGTCCGTCCGAAATCTAATAAAAGCCGTTCTTATCCTCCTCTAAGGCCGATCGATATGACGTCGGGACGTCCACTTCATTAACCGCCGGCTCCCGGGCGAGGGGGCGAGTGGGACAGGACCGCTACTAACGGTCGCGACAACCCACTTACGTGCGCTATACCGGGATAACAAGGATAGGATTCAATTCCGGCGAAATTAAACTGTTAACGTGCCGACGAAACGGAAACTTTCGCGATGCGACTTTCGCCGCGCGCCGTGGGAGTTTATTAAAAATGTAATTCCGCCTCTAAAAAGTTCGCAACTCGCTAATCTAATAATGGCGGTTAGCGCTCGCCGGTGACTCCCCGAGCCGGCAGATAGAGTCTGTCGGAACTGCAATTTCATATATCAAAACTTCGCGACTTCCGAATCCGCTACAATGAGCTCGCACAAAAAGGCCGGGAGGATTCTTACTTCGCGAAATTCGAATGAATGTACTAACTTAACTTTTGTTGATATATGGAGCGAATTTAATCTATATTCCGTTCGCCATCAGGAGATAGTGAGTCAACGAAAAGGTCATACAAATTTCCAAAACTTTAAGGCCTTTACCGGTAATAGGCGGCCCTTTTCTTATACCAGATAATGTGAACTGAAAACAGAGTGCACAGTGGTGCTTCTGGGATAATAAATAGATACTAAAAGGATATAAAAAAATATATTACAATAAGATTAAAAATCACTTTCACTGTTATCTGAATCGGTACCTCGAATACTACCTGTAATATCTAATTGCATAGGTACTTGTTAATTATTTATCAAATTATTAATTCAATAGTGCCTCCTCTTTTTAATTATTTGTTAGTGCTGTATTTACTGTTAATTGTTTCAACAAGGTTTTATTATACTAACTCCTGATGGCGAACGCAGTATACCAACCAATTTACCATTTTGATCAACCAAATTGGGAATTGCCGCAACAATTCAATTTGTCGCAACATCAATTCATGAATTCGTTACCACACATTTAACTAAACTTCCTATATAAAACATGAATTCCGTAGTAAATAATAAATGCATCGCTTGGCAATGCAATATACGTGATTCACGTTCGTATCTTCTCGAAGAGATTCGTTCAGCAATTCGAGTTGAACGCCGTAAATCGCGAAATAATTTCGTCGGTTACCGAAAAACTTGAAAAATGAGAGCGTTACACTTGCACCGATCGAAAATCGATGGGCGCACGGTTGCGGACGCTCGAAATTCCCGTCGTCGTCGTCGTCGGCGTCGCGACGCATCGATTCGAATGGATTGCGCATAATAATTCCGGAGACGTCGTTATTTACGCGAAACAATGCAACTCTATTACACTATGTACGCGGTATTAGCTAATTTCAAGCGCCCTATCGTTGATGAAGCTGTTAAGCAAACGAGTAGGTGTTTAAGAAGCTCGGCTCGAGGAGTCCCTGTAATAATTCGGATGCCGTAAAATTTCGAATCTACTCAGCCCCGCAGAGTGCAATATTCCTCGGTAAAATAATGCAAATAATTTCATCGCAATTACATCGCCAATAAACTTTTATAGCGGCAATAAAGCCGGAGTTTAACGTTTGTTAAACTCATAGTTATGTTGATCCGCTTGTTCGCTCCCATTTTTGATAAGGCTCCGTATACCTGCATGGTCTTTTAACGGTCATCTCGTTATGTTCCTTTTGGATTAGCGCCCGAAGCGACGTTAAATTGAGTTGTTCCGAGCATATTTTGATCGTAAATAAATAGTAAACTTTTCAGTAACGGCACTGGAAGTAAGTTTCCGGATGAAATTGAATCCACCATTTCATCCACCTGCACGTAGACATTACCTTCGAATCGATACGCATCGAATCTACATTTTATCCCGAGACGAAAAACCGATCGCTTATCGCCTTGATTTGGAACTTTCGAGCTGTCGAATCCGCTTCCGCATGTTTATTTTATCCGAAAATATAATTCAATTCGGCATTCGACCTTACACAAGCCCCGAGTTTTTCGCCCCGGAAAAGGCCCAAACAGCGCGTTAACCCTTCCATAAAAACAACTCGACGAAGACAAACAACCCCGGGGCCCTACATCTACAAACTTTAGGACGACAAATAATATCAATCTCCGGCCCAGCGGACCGGGCGGACACGCCAGTGTGGAATCGTCCTGCGAGCGGCGATATTCCTGATTCGTCAGCTAAAAGAATCGGATGCAACATATTTTTTTCCGCAGCGGCGACGTTCCAATTTAATCTCTCCGCTCTTCAGATGAGTTGTTTTTTCGGGGGGCGCCAGACGCACACCGACGGAAATGAAAAACTGTTCGTGAAGATAACGCGGATACGGTTAAAAAACAAAGAAAAAAGTGGACCGGAGGGAGCGCTCGCCGCGCTCCTGCAGGACCGGGCCGTAATAGTTCCGGTCGACGGAGAGGGACCGGAAATAAATACTGCTTTAAGTCGGGTCTTAATTGTGTTTTTTCCATCTCGAGGGTCCTAGAGAATAACGGAATAATCTTGCTTTAATATACCCAGGGAGAAGCGCAAAAAATTAAAATTTTAAATAAGTAACACGAAATCTAATCTAAAATGTAAAATGTAAAGTTCCATCTCTAGAACAACACTAACTTGACTGGAGCATGCATATTTCACGGCCGTATATCAAACTTTGCAATTCCCATTAGCGTTAATTATTAATAATAAATCGCCTTGTTAATTACGACTTTATTGCACTAAACTCCCGAGTAAATACCGTATATTCCGTGTTTTTCTGTTGAAGAAAATGGCTTGTTAGAGTTTACAAAGTACTTGACAGAAAACATTAGCCATTGTGCGAGCATACGACAAAATACGTTGTCCTTCAGGCAATGAATAACAAAACAAAGTTTCGGAATTGCGCGGAGAGCTTATTTCAAAATTTAATGAGGCCGACATTCGTAGACGTGCCAGAATTGCGAATTTGATGCATTAGTTAGCACGTTCAATTCTAATGCGCTGTTTGCAGGTGGATTTGGATTTCTATTTCTTCGGCTCGGGTAGATACGGAAAGATTTATTTTGTCCTACGTTGAATTCGCGAAATTCGTTTTCAAGTAGGATACAATGCGGAATGAAACAACAAGTAAACAGCGCGCAATTAATTAAATATCGGCACAATACATCAAAAGTTTTAATATTTCCCGTTGTAACTCTTGCGAGCGAAATTAATACACGGACATGTTACCCCGCAAATAATATATTATGAATAATTTAATGCCGAACCGGCTATCCGCATTGGTTTTAATGCGCATACAAACGGGAAAAATAATTCCGGAAATTTACGTTTCATTTAGAATTACTGTAAAACGTATGAACGCTTCAAAAATAGATACAATTGACATGAAAAATTCACTAATCCAGCCGAGCAAACCTTTACAGATATACAATTTTAATTCAACATTCAATGAGTAATAATTTATTGCAATAATTTCCCGGAAAATTCCATTCAAATCGATCGCACGCGTTTCGTATATTAACGCAATTAATACGTGTTAATAACCGCTTTAATTGTGACAAATCGAAAGAGTTTTCCCCGGCGAAATGTACATTCGCGTGTTCGGCGGCCGTTTCCGGCGAACGGACCTCCATTTTCCGCGCTATTTTAACTTTAAAATTACCTGCCGGTACGGGCACGTAAATCGAGCAGCGGATAATGCCTTACAACGAAAATAAAATGGAAAAAAATACGGGGGAAATAGATCGGCCGGAACGGCATCATAAACGCGAACGGAAACGGAAGCGGCGGAAAACGCTAAAATGCTCCGGGAAATATATATATGTCGAATTCCGAACGTTGCGGAAAATTCCGGCTTCGTTTTACAATAAATGCGCCCGAGTTGGCTAACTAAACAAGAAAGTATTAGCAATGGAATTAGAAAGTTGGGCGAAGAACGATATTTTCGGATGCGAGGAAAAATCGAGCGGAACGCGGCGGAAATCCGGATTACCGCGAGCGTGAATTTATAAAAATTTACCCATTTCATATATTCCCATTCAAATATTGATGCTCGAAAATGAAATTATCCAACGCAGCTCACGTCCTGCGATATATGACAATGCTGGGAAAAAAACATTCCGAAGAAAAGCCACTTCACTGCGGATTCTCTCTAGCGTACGGAAAGGTTTTACGAACGCGGAATTTCGGAATTTTCCGACTTAAAACATTCGTCGAAGATATATTAGCGAAGCGAGATTTATGACTGTATCGAGTTTACCCCAGAAACATCACGTTTCCTATTCGGGTGTTTTCCACAACAGGGGAAATTCGAAGGATAATACATATCTTAATAGTCTGTGGTTCGGGCCTAACATATACGATGAAATTTTTATTTGATACCTTTATCTCTGTATTTGGAAGGAAATTGATACCATCAGTAGATCCTTGAATAATTTCGAATCACTTGTAGGAATTTTTTACATCCAATGTTCAATCATCCATTAAACAAACTCTAGCTAATGCTTGGCTCAAAATAAAATTTACTATGTAAAGAGATGGATGTAGATAGGTTCGCGGACTAAAAATCATAACTCAAAAAAATCCATTTTTCACGCAGCTTCCTACAGGAAACTCCACTCCTTTAATCCCCGTTTTGGGAGCCGGCTTTTTTATCTCTTAATTTATTGGCTATCGATCGGAGCCAACTAACTTCAACTATCTGTAATTTCAAGTTCTTAAACAATACCATCCCATCGACGCGAGCGGTCGTCCGATGTAATTGAAATTGGCCATTAGCCCCCTACAGAAGGGGCCGCGCGTCTTTTTTTTTCACCGACCCATCTATTCGAAATTGATCCTTCGGTCTTTGGTCTATTAATAACGTTTCCGAGTCTTATTTATTACGGAAAATTGGAACTGTCAGCGTACGTTACGTTATATCGATGGGGTTATGGAAGGAAGCAATCATTTTTATTGTAACTCAAACTGGCCCTAATTTACCAAATCAAGCGGCCCAATTTAACGACGATATTATTTGTTGCAGGTGCATGGGGGGCGATGGGAACTGGCACTGGGACTGAGGGGGGGCTACGGAGGCGAATGCCGCTTAGCAGACGATCTGGCGGTGGCGGAGCGGCAGCTGGTAAGTTTCAACTATTCCACAAAAACATCATTCATATCATCATCATCATCCAGACCTTGTGTGTCCATTGCTCATTATAAACCTCCTTTATCGATGTTCATTGATTCTTCTGGATCCAATTGCTAGTAATTCTATCTATGTGATCAAAAAAACTCAATACAATCATCATCTTCATTACCCAGTTTTTTGTATCAACTGCTGAAATAAGTGGCCCTTATCTTTGCCCAGTGAATCTTTTGAATCCACTTTCCGCTAATCATTTTCTGTATGTCATCAGATGATTGAATACAAGAGCTTTGTTCATCATCATAATCTTCATTTTTATCACCCAGATCTTTGTGTACACTGCTCAATATAAGCCTCCCTTGTCGTTGTCTATTGAATCTTCTGCATCCAACTGCTAAAGTCATTTCCCTTTATGTCTTAAGATGATTCAAGACAAGAGCTTCGTTAATCATCATCTTCATCACCCAGATCTTTGTGTCCACAGCTGAAATAAGCCTCTCTCATCCTTATCCATTGATTCTTTTCAAGAGCTTCATTCATCATATTTATCACCTCAATATCATTATTATTATCATCATCGTCTTCGCCCAGCTGTTATTGTTCACATTTTGTTCACTGGAGGACATAGGTATTGATGAATTGTGGTCCGCAGGCGCCTCTAGTGTGGGCTGCAGGGCAATGCGCTACTACCGCCTCTGGATTTACACGTGTAATACGGCCCTGTTGGCGGGGGCGCTGGCGTTCGGCGGGGCGGCCGTCCGCACGGTGGTGTTCGACTTCCGTCGATCGCTCATACCGTCGCTCACGCTCTACCAGCCGTCGTTCCTCTACGCCTACCTGGCGCTGCTGACGCAGGGCGGCGCGCTGCAGCTGCTCGGCTGCCTCGCGGCGCTGCGGCTCTCCGAGAAACTGTTGAACGCCTACTGGCTGTTGCTGTTGGTGCTGCTGTTCGGCGACGTGGTGATCGGCGCCTTCTGGGCGTTCCGCTTCGAGCGGGTGTGCCAGGAGCTGAGGCCGGCGCTGCGCGTCAAGTTCTACCAGGAGTACGGGACCAACGAGGATTTCACCGAAGTGTGGAACAGGTCAGATCATCCCTTATTATAATCGCGTTTACTTGGATACTTCGCAAAGTACGGCAACGCAGCATTGTGAAGTTTGTGTCGAAAAGTTCATATAAAGACACCCCGTACAATTGAATAAGGTTTACGCTTCGAATTAATTTTGCAGAAATCCTCGATATTATCGGACCTTTTCGAAATCCTAATATTAAAATTGGGGCTTGTCCCCATTCTATCTGTGTTGGTGTTTCGCAAAATTCACTTTGGATATATTAAATTTTTCCTTTGGGTCTGCTTAGCGTCGATTAAAAGCTCATCTGCTCAGCGTTTCGCGTATAATCTTATTAAAATTCCGCCAACACGAGGTATTTCGGTAAAAGTCCTTTTCGATAAAAATCTCGAAGGAGCCCATCCCCGGCCGACGAACGAACGATCGGCCTTATCTGGGGCTATTCGGAGGGGCTTATGTTTTACCGCGGAGACGGAACAACATAAATCGCGATAAACGCCAAGGTTACGTTCTACCTACTGTAAAAATTGTCCGCGTTTTTTTAAAGGGTCGTAAATACGAAATTCATCCTTGGGCGGTCGGCATCCGAAAGCGGGAAATTGTAGCGATAAAAATTTTCCGAAAGAATCCTTCGGAGCGGTGCCGCCCGTTACAATTTTTCCCCCGTCGTTTCGCAATTAATTCCCGTGCGTTCGGGCGAATTATAATTTAAGTTTCGACGTCGTCGGCGGGAATTAGCGCCGCTACGAAACGAGAAAATAACAAAAATCTCGATAATTTTTCGCGTTCCTCCGAATTAATTTGCGAAGTTCTCGCGAACTTTCCGCCCGGTTGTGTCGCTTATTATATTTGTCGAAAGCAAAGTCGCCGTTCGACGAAACGAAACGAATCCGTAATTTATTTCGAATCCGCTTTCCATTAACATACGGTTCCGAAGCGAGAACTTTCCTGAAGCGGAATTGTACAGGGATTCATTCGCTGTCCGCAGGTTGCAGACGGAGCACACGTGCTGCGGCGTGACGGGCCCCGACGACTACAACAGCAGCGCCCTGCAGATGCAGCTGCCCGTTAGCTGCTGCATCAAATCGCCCAGATCGCCCAACAGCACCTGCGAGATGGAGCCGTTCCACCATGCGAACGGCTGCGACGAAAGGCTGCAGACCTATCTCCGATCGACCGCCTCCCTGCTCGCCATACTCGGCTACTGCGTGCTGGCCTTCCTCAAAATGTGCTTCCTAGGTAAATACCTGCCACCATATTTTACTTATTTATAACGATATATGCTTCCACGATTCCTCCTTCATCTTTTTTTAGCAAAGAAAAATAGTCTGGGATCCCACTTTTAACTCCAAATTATTGCCTTAGACTAGCATTAATGTTAATAATCGATATGATTGCCTTCTGCAGGCATTCTGACACATTGCTCCTTATTTTCCAAAGAAAAACAACCACGATTCCACTTCACATTCAAAATACGGCCTTCGACTAAAATGTTACACAGCATTCATGTTAATAATTGATAAGATTCTGCATCCTGGCATTAATTGCTTCCTCAGTGGCTCCTTCATCCATTATTCCCAAATAAAGACCATCTGGAATTCCCCTTTCGCATTCAAACTATCACCTTCGACTAAGCTGTTATACAGCATTAATGCTAATAATCGATACAAATGCATTCTAGAGTCATTCTGGCATTTTCTTCTAAAATTGCTCCTTCATCCTTCTTTCCAAAGAAACATAATCTAGGATTTTTTGCAACCAGAAATATTGCCTTCGACTAAGCAGTTATGCAGTACTGGTGTTAATAATCCATATGATCCAAAAACAATCTGGGATCCCCCTTTTGCATTAAAACTATCACCTTTAATTAAGCCGTTATGCAGCACATGTTAATCGATATGATTGCCTTCTGCAAGCATCCTCGCATTTCCTTCATCAGTTCCTAATTCATCTTTCTTTACCAACGAAATACAATCCGTTTCACCTCCAAACTATCGCCTTCGACTTGGCTGTAATACAGCACCGACGCTAATAGTCTAATCGATCTGGTTGCATTCTGCGTAGGCATCCTGCGTTACGAGATACGCGAAATGATCCAGAAGATCCGGATACTCCGGACGGAGCTGGAATTGCCCAACGTCAACGGCATCGTGCCGGGCACGATGAGGACGGAGAGCGCCGAAAGCGAAAGGGAATCGCTGCTGGTGAGGCCCGAAAGCGCCGCCCTGCTCTCCTCGCCGCCGGCCCAAACCAAAAATCCCAACGGAAACAACAACTACGAAATGAGGGAATACAGGTATGTATTGCCGATCGATCCCTTGTTGTTTTGATGTATATCCTCGGACCCATCGGTAGATCTCTTCTACTCGTATTTAATTCGTTAAGTATCTGCCTTTTTGACTTCAAGTAGACACACTCCCGGATATAAGCAACTATAAATAAAACGTCCTCTACACAACCAGAACCATCACCCTCTTCTAGACTTCTAGTTGAGGTACTTACTAATCTAAACGCTTGGTGGCTGGTATAATTGCCGGTGGTTAATAATAAAATTGGATATATGTTTGTTGCAGAAGTCGAGAAAACATATGACTAAAGTACCGCCTGGAGGGCCTGTTCAGTCGCGGCAGGTGGGGCCGCGTGAAGAGGGGCCCTCTGGCAACGCCGCTAGAGGAAATATTCAAACGCAAACCGAGATCGAGGGTCAAGGATGATCCCTGCTGAAATTTTTGGAATTCGCCGTCGACCAGAGTGTAAAGCGACGACCGTGCGACGCCGCAGAGACGCGCGTTGCTTTCGTTCAAAATCCCCGAAACTGGATAACCGAGTTAGATGGGAGATTAAGGCGCAATTTTGCCCGAATTGAATTGTTATACCGTGTAGACATTACGAATGCATGATGCAGGTACATCCTCTTTCCGGATGAGGTTCGAAACGTCAATAAGCCGATTTCGGAAAGATTACTCATATACGTAAGTCTCTTCGGTTTTGGCACGGTCTATGAACAACGCTCTAAACTCTAAATTCACGAGGAGCATCCGCTTATACAGCCAAAAAATTAAATGTACAGTGTAAATATCGAATGTTACCTATTAAAAACCGCATATTTTAAATATTATAAAACATTGAGTGATAGTATCTAGTGATTTAAAACGAGGATTAATTAATTATTTATAAAAAATTGTAGACTAATAGTGGTAAAATAAAATAAGTAATTGCGGATGTTTCTCTAAGCGAAATCGGTCCCGTAAATGCTCCTACAGCGCCCGAATATTTTCGTATTCCAGAATAGTATAAGCAAAAATATAACGGACAAAATTATTTTTAAAAAGGATAGTTCGCGTTGTAGGTAGGTAAAATAAACCGGGACGATTTTGATTGAAATGCAACGTGTATTAGAAGTACTGCTTGAAATTGTACCGACGTCATTCCAATTGCCCACCACTTGAAGGGGATTAATCATCGAAAAAATGAATGTAAATAAACTTAAATTGTCTTCAATTCGATCCTAAATTATGCGAATTATGGATTTTTGCAGGTCTGCTTTAAGTGCTGGTCGGTAAAATCTTCCTTGGAACCCCAAAGACTGTCAGTGAAGAAAATATCAAATTAACCTAATCTAAATTACCACGTAAACGTAAAACAGACGCTTTAAAAATCATAAGTGTTTCGGTATGAGCTTAACTTTTTCAGAATTACATAGTGCCTCGCCTTAAAACATAAAAAGAGAAAAAAAGTGCATTCGGTAAAGTATATAAAAAAACGAATATTAGACATTTTGATTTGACGCTGAATAGTTTGTTGCCCGTTGATTTTTCATTTGGATATTCGCATTTTTTACCTACTTATTATACAGGGTGCTAATTAATTGAGTGCCGATACTTCAGGATGTCAATATTTGGATCATTTAGGTTTAGGACATATATTGATATAAACTGTTCTTCTTAAAATCACACAAATATTCACATCCTGAAGGACAGGCACTCAATTAATTAATACCCTGTATAAATTAGTGTTTAGTTGACGAATTGTGATTGGTGTTGTCAAAAAATTCGACACAGACGAGTACTAGTCGCCCGAAATTCCTGTGATATTGAATATTATGTACCCAAATAAAACGGCTCTTAATAAAATATTAAATTTCATATGTAATTAAAAAAACATTCCTAATTTCTCGTAATAGTTCGTCTAAAGAAAAATGGAGAAGAGTCTTTTGCTCGATGTTACTTTGTGTTGAATTTTCGTGACCCATACCCGTAGTGCTAAATTAAATGATCCAAAATGTAAACATTTCGAAATGAATATAATATATGAAAAAAAAACGAAATTTCAGTACGCTTTTCGTGCCTAGAATTCCCGAGAACGTTGGGAATTTCTTTTTTAAAACATACATGTACACTCTAAAACACGCACCCGCAACTTAATAATCTTGTAAAACTAAACGATGTGCTCCGGTCTATTTATAATTTTAAGTACAATCTTTATTCTTCGAAGTATCGAGTCCAATCCAACAATTAATCGATTAACAATAAATTATTTACGATTTTGTATACAATTAAATTATAGACTTCGGAAAACGTACGAGAAAATTATAATAGGGAGCATTTTTTTACCACAAATTATATTGCCTGTACAAAAAATATTAAACCGTATTATTTAGTAATCATACTGCATATCAATAACGATAAAAATCGAGTAATAAGAGCATTTCGTTTAGTTCATTTAACTTCACCCGTCTGCAAGAAAGCCGGCCCTGGTTTGTTAAATTAATTTAACAAACGTTCTTGCAAACCTACTGAAAACGTTCGTAAAATAGGTGGCCCCATTACCTTTGACCAAAACTTCGAATTTTTCGGAAGCTTCCCGATTTTGTTCGCGATTCCAGCGCGACCATCTAAACTCTAAACTATTGTATTTGTTAATATAAATCGCTATTTCATGTTGACGAAAATGAGATAAAAAAGAAACAAACGTGTACAAGATTGTATATACATATACCTAAAATATTTATTAAAGAATTAAAGTGTACTGTTAGTAAACACGTCGTTTCATTACCCCGAATAATGCAAAAAGCACTTACCTTTATTTCATCGGTGTCTAAAACAGCGTTGGAATCGATATTCGAACCTCCAATAATGATCTATAAAGAATCTACATGCTAGTTTACTCGGAAAAATTGAGAAAATTTATACATACCGGTCGCTTGTTGATACATTTTCCTGGTTCTTGCAGCGAGGCTAATTCTACAGCTATATCTGCGGCGATTCTAGCGTTATTCTTAACAAGCGCTACATCTATTATAAATAAGAGTTAAAGAAAACAAAGCGAAGCTACAGCAATTTACAGCGATAAAAGGATACTGCTCTTCAACGATTTCCCTTCGGTCATACGCGAAATTTCCGCCAATAAAAACGGCGTAATGTCCTTTCCCCGCACGTTTTTCTCCTTAGCCTCCCTAACAGCCCTATCTATTACTAGATTAACTTGATCGGAATCCAAAGCGTGCTCGTCCGGTATCGGTACCGCCAATAATATGCCTAAAATCGAACTCTAATGCATCACAAACATATACATAGTGTCCCTGCTTGGAGAAAAAGTATGCCTGGAATCTGTTGTGCAGGGTGTTGCAGAGGTAAAGGAACATTGAAGAGAGTGTAGAGAGTGAGTCGATTAACTCCATCAAGGGACACCCAGTATATCGTTAATACCAACCCGATTTCAACTCGAGATCCCTGCTGGACTTGATTATAGCAGCCGCCTGGCCGGCGCTCGCGACGTTATAAGGAGCCGTACAGCCACTTTTGATCGAATAAAACGCCGGAAAATCCTTCGTGTGGCCGAAAGTAGCGACGAACACGCCTTGAGTTTCCAAATACTCGAGCGTCTTGGGAACGTCCAAGATAGATTTAACCCCGCTGGACACCACGGCTACAGAACTCCTCCCCAGCTCCTGCAAATCGGCGGATATGTCGAGAGTGGACTCGGCTTCCCGGTGCACGCCGCCGATGCCTGCGAAAAGGAACGACTGCAGAAAGCTGGGCTAGAGCGGGAGACGATCGCGAGTACCTCCCGTGGCGAAGATCGGTATGTTCGCCCGATCGGCTACTATGAGAGTGCCGCAGACGGTCGTTCCTCCGTTTCTTTTGCTGCTGATTACGTAGGCGAAGTCGCGCCGGGACGTTTTTACGGGTTTGCTGGACTCCGTGTCGCCGAGCTCGTTCAAATCGGACTCGTTCAAACCCACCTTTATTCGCCCGCTTTTGATCGCTATGGTAGCGGGAACGGCGCCCTGCGATTCGAAAAGTAAAGCACCCGATGTAGAATATTATTAGTGTAACATTCGCTCGGAAGATAGAGCAGAAACTTGACCTGACCCGATTTGTTTTTTTTGTAAATTTCCACACACGTTTGGAACGTGTGGTTATATCGATTAATTGGGACTTACCCGGCTTCGGACGATTCCTTCGACTTCCAGGGCGCATTTGACGTTGTCGGGATAGGGCATTCCGTGTGTGATAATGGTCGATTCCAAAGCCACGACCGCTCGTCCGTTATTCAGCGCGTTTCGCACCTCTTCGGTTATTTCCACGTTACTTTTCGTCGATAGTCGCCTTCTCGCCAGGACGGGCGATTTCGATTCGAAAATTCGCAACGAACGCGCCAGCATTTCGGGATCAACTACGAGCGACCACTGATTAGTTACTTCTCGATCGAAGAATCAAACATTTTTCGATTAATTATATTTATCAATGAATATGGAATTAATCGTATGCGTTAAGATAACGAATTGGATGGCTGGAACTTCGAAATGATAAAAATGCGATAACGCGTCTGGGCATTAGTTCGTCGAGAGTATTGCGAGCAGATGTTGAAAATCTTACGATACGCTGTTGCCAAATTTACTAAAAATTGTAACACCTCGGATATTTCAAAGATTATTGATCTAATTGGTAAATACAAGGAACGGCAAAAAATACTACAAATACAAGTTTTTAATCAATAATTCTTGAATATTTTATCTACATAGTTCACTAAATCGGTAACATGTACTTGTTCCTAAAAACAACAAACAATAAAAAAAATGTACCCAAAAAAACTGTATACAATTTACCTTCAACGTTGTATCCCTGCTTCTGAGATTGCTGATTCCATCTTTCAGTGTTCTTTCGTTCAATACAACAGTGTAGGGAATGCCCCATTGATCGTACTGCTTGTACTGGCTTTCCAGGGAATTCTTCGATGAACTGGGTAGTAGTAAAGTCGATACATGATTGGCCCTAAATTGCTTGCAAAGATATAGGGCTAGATCGTTCAATTCGTGTACAACTGCTTGAGCTAAAAACGATGCATTGTGAGAGATGAAGCGAGTTTAAATAGTAGCACATACACGATCCTGTCATCGCAAAACTTAATTTGTATGGTGCAAGTTTCCTGTGGAATCTCCAAAGGGATCTTAAGTTACTTTGGATAGGCAGTTCCACGTAACAATCGCAGAGGTAATTTAGAAATAATGTGGATAGATTTACTTGGCCGGTGATTGTATGAGCGCTGATGGTTTTTCTTTCCTTAAACTTCAGAGAACAAGTGTTATTTAATCACTCGTTGATATAACTCATTCTTTTAATTACCTCTAACTGTTGAGTACTGAAATCTTGATTTTGGGTGTTGAGCTCTAATGACTCAATGGTGTTTGAGCCCCATGGATATTCTACTACGATATCTGCAGAGTGAACATCACCATTAGTTTTTATGTCTGTGATGGAATATCTTTCGGGGTTGTCTGAAAACTACAATTACTCTTACTAAATATAACAATTGTATTTTAATATAATGTGCATACCCTTTTATACCATGTTCTCCTCAATTTCTGCCACTGGTGGAAAAGCCTTGTTGATTCAGTAGGGGAAACAAACATACAGAATTTCAATAGAGTGTCGTTTTCTTGTTGTATAACATTATCGAAAGCATTATTTCCTTGTGTTAAATTGGAATTGGTAATAATTTTCACATCAGCTATACCGAAAGGTAATTTTTCCGAGCACAAGCTCTTTGTGTAATCGAACGTTTCACTAAAATCCCCATCGTTTAAAACCACTGTAACGTCTTTGTTGAGCACGATATTGTAAAACCACTCGGTATTTAAATTCTGGCATAATAGTAAACCTGTAGGGCCTATTTTGAATCTATCCGCATTACTACTAGAAATAATTTTTCTCAAAAAACCGCTGTTTACAGCTAAATCAAGCACTTTTTTGATCATTTTTATCGTCTAAAGGAATATTCCCAGGGGGAGCAACGAAATATTCTTCTTCCGTTAATGTAGCGCAACTCAACACTTCATCACGGCAGTTCCCTTCGGTAACAATATCTTCTCGTATTCTACACGGACTATAATGAATAATAAAAAAACATTAATAAGCTATGTGTTCGAATGAAGTAAGGGTAAATAAAGGATATTGTATCAGACTTACTGGTCTTCCAAAAGGGATACCAAGGGCTCCACGTTATCAGTAGGGACCTGCAATATTTGATCTGCGAATTCTAACTTTACTTCCAGAGTTTCGATGGCTGCTTTGCCTTTGAGATCGACCAAGGTGAGTTTTTCGAGCAAAGCGATCGTATTGACATCAATTTTAGTCTTCGGTGGAAATTTGCTTGGGTCAATTTTGAATTTGGTTCTTTCAATTGGAACTATTCTTTCTGTATCAACGGCAGAACTGTCGCCGGATTTTGGTACGTTTCTAACCTCTGTAGAGGAAGAAGTGAATTTTACGGTGGTTTTACAGTAGTTTCTTATCGGCGATAAATATTTAATTATTTTGTTCATTATATTTTTAAATTGCAATTCAAATCGAAATGCAAAATGTAACTTTTTCTACTTCTGTCAATTTTAAAAAACGGCCTCTACCATTTAGATTATTTACCCATATTTGGATATCTTCTTTTTTTATAAACTTAATTAGCTATTGTCTTAAATAGTATAAGACTGATCAATAACAATTAGAACAACCGTTATTTTAAATTATAAACCAAAATCACGTCAATTGCATTTATTTAAATATTAATACACGCGTATACAATTGTATTAATTTTGCTCAAGCATCTCTGTAAAACTTTTTCCATGTGTCATTATGATCATACATTTATAACAAATATTTTATAGCAATACAATAAATTTATTACGATTAAGACATTATTATTCAAAGTCAAAAGGTGAGTACACTCTCAAAATGCAATTATTATAAAAGTAAGAAAAAACAATAGTTAATAAAATAGGTAACACTCAGTGATAAAAATGCAAAAAAACTAAGCTAATTTCTTTACCACAAACCGCTCGAGAACCCTCCTGGGGGTACTCTAACTCTAGATTGCGCCGGATTGGCTGGAGCTGGAGGCGCCGCGGCGGCCGCCCTCGGTTCTCCAGACGCTTGTTCCGCGTTCGATCGGGCCTCTTGAGCTGGCTCGGACGCTGCGACTTTCACCTCTTCGGGCGGGGTCTCGGGTGCATCGGATCCAGGGTTGGTGCCCTCTAAAATGGAAGACTGGTTGCGACCGTGGTACTTCCTGCCCACCTTGACTTGATCTTCCCCGCCGAAGATGTCTGTATGGCCGCCGCCTGGGGGCTTCAAGACGCGGCTGGAGCTCCTCGAGCCGTCTAAGCCAATGTTGAACCCGGTTGAAGTCATCCTACGAAAATATTAATTCGAACTGAGCTTCGTACGGGCGCAACTATAACCGTAATTACATCGAGCTTTCTATTTAATACGAACTAACTGGATTATACCGGATACCCGCATTAGGAATTAAGAGACAAATACAAACAAATAAAATTTTTAATAGGAAATTAATTAAGCTAAACAAGCCGGGGTAATGAAATGTTTTCTTACCTTCTTAATTACGAATTTGAATCCTTCACGAACGACCGTTAATGGCGATAATGAATTTTTTAACAGGAACTTCCCAATTCCAAGTCGATGGAGTCACGAAAAGTGAAAGATGAAAGAACAGAAATGACAGCGTTCACAGCAAACAAATGAGAACCAAGATGACATGACAACTGACGTTTATGACATCATGCGCGAGATGGAAATCTAAATACAGTTGTGGTTCCCTGTGTTGCCACATTTCTACTTTTATTTACAACTTACGTGGACAAATTATGGACGATGGAATTTTTATTTGTTGCTAATTGATTGGTTTCCTGTATAAGGTTAAAATAAATAAATCTCGAGTAATTTCTAGAACACCTTATATTTAAAATTCATTGAGCTTATTATGCACCAGTAATTCTAAAAAAAAGAATCATCGCTAAATGTACAGTTGTAGAAACATTATTTACAATTAATTTAACTAATATGAAAGCCAGTGATTCGATACTCCACTTATTATGCAATAAATAAATGCCATAAAAATTGTGCTTGAAAAAATCTCGCCGGTATCGAATCTAATTTTAGAAGAGTGTTTTAAGATGAAAGGTTCAAAGTAAAGAAAAATAGATGAACAGCAATTACTCATGTTATCTTGAAACACTCTGAAACGCGCTTATCGACGTTTTCTAAAGCGAATATTTTTTGGAACTGCTTAATGAGCACCAAATTGTATGTTTCACATCGAAAAATAAAATAATTCTGAGTCAAAAAAATATTCTTTGTTAGACTTTCAAATAGACAAATAACTTTCAATTCAATTTGGCATTGTTTTTTGTAAATTATAAGATGATTAACCGATTGATTCTCCAAAAAATGAAGTTTGGAAGGGTTCCAAAAATGTCTGATAAACTTAAAACTGACTTGTGACAGTACGTAACAATTATAAAAAATACAGAAGCAAATTTTATTTATTTAAAACACGTGTATCTTAATTAAAAACTATTTGCCTATTATTGTTTTTTTTTTTCGAACCTTCAATAGTAATATTAAACAGTTACACTATTGCTCGCAACCATATTACAAGTTACTTACATACATATTAGAAAATGACTGAATTGGAAAAAAGGTATGATAAAAATATACACACAATGTAAAATATATTCCATATTTACTGTGTGGCAAGATAATTATAATTACCAACACGCTTCAGTGACCGGACATATTGAATACTCCTATTATATTACTTTCGTGCTTGTTTAATCGAACTTTCGTTCGCATCATGTTTTCCAATTGTGGCGTTGCTGTTGTTGCTGCTGTTGCGTCGGCGGCGGTATCATATCGAGCAGGTATTGGCGGTGCATATCCGCCGCCGCCCTTTGAATGTCCGCCAAATTCCCCACGGCCGAGCTCTTCCCGCTCGCCGCCGCCTGCGCCATGGCCAATTGGTACGGATAGAACAACGGAGAGAACTGCAACATGTGGGCCGCAGCGGCCGGCGGAGCCCCCGACAGACCTACAAACAACGCAGCACCGTCACGTAACGATAACACAATCGAATGTAAACCGACTTACTTCTTAGGATTTGCTGTTGGATGGCCTGCATGGCCTGCTGTTGTGCGTACTTATCCGTCGCGGCGGACGACGAAGCGTGCGAAGACCGAGACGGCGGCGGCGTCTGTTGGGGCGGCGGCGGCGCCGGTGGGGTGGGCGCGTGTCGCGGTACCGGCGTCGGCGTCGCGGCTTTCGGCAGGGGTTCCGGGGTGACAGGAGACGGCGCCGGACTGCTCGAAGCGAACACTCCGTTCTGGAAAAAAATTTGGAAAATTCACGTTAATTACCAAACAAATTCCGTATGGAATAATCCTTTGTATTCGCAGCTCATTTTTGACGTTAGTCAATCGTTTAAAGAAGCTCTTTAACTTGACAGTTCTAGGTATACTGCTTAAATTGACAGTTCTACATTGTTGTTATGGAGTAACTAAGAACATTGTTTCATTTGACAGTTTTACATTGCTGTTATGGAGTAACTAAAGAGATTCTGACAGTTTTACATTGTTATAGAGCAACTATGAACATTGTTTACGTTAAAGAGACTCTTTAAACGATTGATTAGCGTTAAAAAAGAGCACATACATCTGGAACATAAATCCTGACATGTACATATTCCCGACACGTTGGTTAATAAATTGTGATAAAATGAATTTGCAATGTAATTCAAATTTGTCACGAAACATACTCACTTGTGCTAGCCGCTGCTCGATCTCCTGTTCCTGTTGTAGCGCTTTCACGAATGCCGTCTTCAGTCTATTCGTATGTTCGGCTTTCAGGGCCTTCTTTACGTTGTTGGTCACACATTGTTCGCAAATCACCGTTTTGGATGCTGGAAAACGGTAGATGTTAATAAAATTAGCAAAAATCAACGTGCGAATGAGTATTCACTCGAAACGATATCTCGGTCTTACATTTAACATTACCTTTACTCTTCTTGTGGCTCTCCCATTTCCACACTGGGGTAAAGTCGGACTGGCATTGGCTGCATCTAAACGGTTGCGGGGGTAGCGGTATTTTCGTTTCTTTCGTAAGGAAATCCACGACGTGCTCTAACCCGACTAAATAGATGAATTCAGTGTTGCTCGGATTTGGTATGAAGTGCATCTCCGGGGGTGGAGGTTTCGGCGGAGGAATCTAACACAATATACCAATTCACTATATTTTCGAGCAAAGATAAAACGTGCATACCTGTAATAGCGTTTTCTCCAGCTGTTTTCTGAGGGCCAATTTCGCCGCGGCTTGTCTCTGAGCCGGCGTTTGGTTGTCTTCCCTGTCTCGTCTGTCCTGTAAATGTCAACGAATCGAAAGGCGTTAGAAAACGGTGATAGAACGGTTTCATGTTTGTTCATTTTTTTACCTCTTGAATTAGATTAGATTGTGCAGATGGACCGTGTACTAAACCTTTATTTTCAACTCCGCTAACATTCTTAGCAGCACGCAAATAAAAAAATTACGTCAAATTCGATTTCTAAATTTTACTGCTTAAGAATATCGAGTTTTGTGACAATTAAGATAAACAAAGTGGGCATTGGAAATTCGTTAGATTGATAAAAAAAATTATATTTCATTGTGACGCATCGGGAAAGCATTGCGATTAAACACGAATTGTATATTAAATCGAAAAATTACGTCAGCCAGAATTAAATTATTGGAAACCGATTGCGAAAACACCCCAAAAATTCAAATACTCCCAATAAAAAAAATCGTAAATTAAAATAAACAAGCTATTAAAAAATAATTTCAATTCGATAAATGCTCTGATTATTCAAAACCTTATCACCACCTTGAGTAACTCTAGAATACTTAATTGTCACAATCAATAAAGTATAGAATTTCTAAGCATATTTTATTTTACGCAACAAACTAGAATCGTAGACAATGAAAATAAAAATATGCCTAGAGCATTTACAATTAGGAAATATAATTTACATACCTTATAAACGAGTAATAAAAAAAACACAAGTAATATTTGTGTAAATTGAAACTTACCTTTATAGTTTGCGGTGGTGCTGGGGTGATCGTAACCGAAGGTGACAGATCCTTAACACCCGGAGGAAACCCGCTCGTCGGTCTATTCAAAGAAGCCCTTTGCGGTGGCTGCGGAACCGAAAGGCTAGTTCTGTTATTTGAAAGCGGAGATGAACTCAAAGAAGGAGCATGAAGGCTGCCACGAGGCGGTGGCGGTTGAACCTACAAAGTTTCTTTATGTATTAAATTCACTCCGATAAATATAAATCGACTTACTCTCAACATATTTTGAGCATTGGTGCTACCGTTCCCGGACATGCCGCCGCTTTTGTGCGGCAAATTGGAGGAGTGCCGCGCGTGCGCCATCTGCGGAGATTGCTGCCCTTTCGGGGGGCCCTTGATGGTCGTCGGGGTAATGCTGAGGCCGCTCGGCAGGCCCGCGGGGGGCAGAACGGACGCCGGTATGTTGGGCGGCAACACGGCCACGTTCTCCTTCAATTGCTGCGATTGCTTCAGCTTCTTGAGCAGCACGAGTTTCATTTCTTCGGCGCGCAGCTCCTCCCGAAGCCTTCGCAGGCCTCGCTCCCTGAAACGCGCTGGGATTACAACGGCGAAATAGCAGTTTAACGTGTTAGCTCACCTTTGCTTGATCTCCATGGGGCTGTACTCTTTGACGGGGGCCAAGGGCGGCATTTCGCCTTCGCTGGAATCGCTGCTGTAATCTAAATTACCGTTGGTTCTCGGCTTATCCAGTAAGCCGTTTATTACAGCGTCTGGGCTTTCTACGTAGGAACGGGGCTCCGTACGAGGCCGTAAAACTCTCCTGGAGTTTGTCACCGATAACGGATGGATCGAGTTGGAGTTTGAGTTTATTTGTTGGTAATTGGGCGGTGTTGATGTAGATCTGTTGCTGGATATAAGAGAAATATAAATTATGTAAATGTCAATTATGAAATAATGAGGACAAGAAGGTATTAAATTACCAAGGATTGATTGATTAAATTGGTATAAACTTCGGATTGAATGATCCTTGGTGTGTTAGTGTCCTTGATTCTTTTAATTGTAATTTGCATAAATTTATAAATATTTTTAAAAATATTGGTATAGCATACTCTATGTTTTGAACATTGTGAATTTGTTTATCCAATTGTACCGTTAATAATAACAAACCTAAAACGAAGCGTTAGGTGTAAAACAATGTTTATTGATATATTGATTGGTGAATATAAATATTTTTCGAATATTAATCATATTTGTTTGATTATTTCATTAGGTCTAGTGAATAGTTTTCAAATGAATCGAAAAATGCATTATTTTTGCATTGTTAATGGCTTTTCGAACATTCCTCAAACATTAACCCCACTTTATCTGCACTTTTCTTAATTTATTAATAATTTGACATTTTCGACCTGTCAAATTAGATAATATTTTTTTTCAACATTTTAATAAGCCTACTTCGATTTTTAATGATCGACAAAATCCTTTTAAAACGACGCTAAAAATGTAAATTTTTTTCAATAATTTGCATTTATTGTTATGTAATGTTTAACACGAATTAGACGGTCTCGACAATTAAATGAACACATACCTAATACTTAAATCCACAACAGCCTCATCGACTTCCATTTTTCCAGAGGTAATTCGTGAAAAAAGTTTCGTTACCTTCGGTACGTCGCGCACAAAATAAACAAAGCCGAATACAAATTACACATCTGAATCCGAAACGAAAACTAATTAGGAGTCAATGAATCGAGAAAAATTTAATAGTGCGAGTTTCTAGCGCACGAATCCCTGCCTCCTACGACTAATTATTATCAAAACATGTTGATAATCAACGATAACCCCGATTAAAAGGAAGAAAAACCTCGATGAAACGAACGCGAACACTTTCGGTCGGTTGTAGATACGTTAAATATCACTGGGCGATTTAATTGTACAAAATTATTTAATTAAATTTACGCGTTTTTCGATGCAAACAGTCGAATTCGTTAGAAAAAGCCGCATCCAACGACACCAAACACGGTACAATTAATAAGCGATGGCCGAACGCACCTCAGGTCAATTAGTGCACCGAAATTGTAATCTAAACTCGCGTTGACAAATCGATTATCTTCCTGTATGTACATACACTTTTCTGAATAAAAAATCATCTTCGTGTTTATTGCGATTTCGGGAAAAAAACTCCACGCATCGCGCACCCCGCTCGCCGACGCGTCCGCCGATTGATAATTCGAATTGTTTCTGCGATTTTTATTTTCGGAAAAACGCGGAAAATTCGTAAAAAAGTGCGATTAAAATAGGAATTCACCCCGGGCCCAAATTAACAGACAACTGATTCGTTTCAATATGGCGTGGCCTTGTGTTCACCTAACGCACAGCCGGAAAGGTCGCCGACGGTTTGTTTATCGGTTTACCCTTTCTGTTGCATGTGGCGACTAATAACGTGTGTCGTTGATGATTTGTTTTTTCGCTTTATTCCATTTCTCGTCTAAATCGAGAAATTTATGCGCCATGTTGCCACATCTAAATCGCAATCCTATATTTTTAGATGTAATTATTTCAAATGAAAAAAGTAATGAAAAAGCAAAAAAACATTATATTTAAAAAATAAATATTTATATAAAATATGTAGCTTAACTGGTCACTTAATATTGCATTTAGCGAAAACTACCAATCATTTGTATCCTCTAAATCGGAGAACAATTTATCCTTAATTTTAGGCCTGGGATCTTCTTTTATAGACGTTTCGATAGCTCCAGTTTTACCAATAAGGTACTCGAATTCTAAAAAATAAAATAAAACACAATTCCATATAAAAGTTTACCTACTGGCAATAACTTTTTATTTACCGTTTTGAGTAAGATTTGGCCCCCTGAATGCTAAAGGACCGGCTAGTTGGGTCTTCAAATCCCCTTCGAAGTAAACAAAGATAGTAGGTAAATTCTTATCGGGATAATTTGGTATACAAGTAGTAGATATGGATTTTAAAAATTTCACCGCTGGAAATTTGGCAGCGATTTGTTTCATGTGCTCATTAATGAGAGCACAAAGAGGTATACTAAAAAATATAAGTTTATAAGTAACATAAAAGAAGAATGGGTATAAATAAATTTACCCTTGTTTGTAGAGATGCAAAACTACCCATATACCTTCTCCGGCTTTATTCACCTCGTTTATGTAATCTTGAGCAGATATTTCTCCGACATAGCCGAATTTTTGCCTTTCTGCTAAAGCCTTCAGCTCGGCTATCCTCTTGGCCCTGTATTCGTTCAAAACGGCCTCGTCCTCGGAGTCTTCTAGCTCGTCTAATTCGTCCAAATCGAGCTCAGATAAATTTTTACCCGTTGCTGTTTTTTGTTCTATGGTTTGTTCGAGCATAGAAACGATTTGGTCTTCTGTGACCTCTTTCTCCTTCGGAGGAATAATGCCTTTTGCCCTGAGAACATCGTTCCATTGGGTGTCTTCGTTGGGATTCTAAAATTCGTGGAATATTGAGAAAAATCGCCGTGTATAATTGTATTTTTATAATTGTAAGTTTATTTACCTGCATGTTAGTGGGTTTAATTAGTTAATTATAAATTCCGTTTGTTATCAGTAATTTTCAGAATGTGCTAATTATAAAGTTTCTTTAATTTTATTCAAATACCAAAAATGGGCACACATAACCTAAAATATTCGTACGTTGACACCCCAGTGATGTCATATCTCCAGCTCGTATCGTACATTTGCAGGGTTGCCAAGTTACTAATTAGTACGAAAAAAATTAAAAGTGGGTGTGGTTGTTCAATTCAAGCTTATAGAAATTTAAATTTTTTCGAATTAAAAACATGAAAGTTTAAAAAATTAGAAAATTGATAATGTAATTTTATTTAATGTCGATTTAAATACAATAATTTTCGCTTTTTATATAAAATAAATATGTAATGTTTCGATACTTTTTATTAAAAAAAAAATGTATAAAACGTAACAAATTAAAAAAGTTAAAAACATGGACGGACACTTTTACAATTTGTCATTAATATAAAATAAGTAAGGTTTACGAAACCTTGAGATTCATTTCTAATACCATAAAATTTGTATAAAAATTCTGCTAATAGTAAAGAGTAAAAACTGCAGAAAGCATCATTAGGCACTGATTTGTTCGTTAACATTCTCTTTGCTTCTACGATTAATTTGTTTTGTAATTTGTTCCTTGGAATGTACTTGAACATCAAAGTTATAACGAAGCACTCGCATCACATTAATAACCTATGGAAAACTAATCCTACGATACTAAACAGTGCAATTGTCAATGATAATCGTTGAATATTACTGCTGTTACACTCATCCTCAGAGCAGTAACACTCCTCCCAATACACACCGTTCTCGTATATACCCCAATTACAAACGCCCGTAACACCATAATCAGCAACGGACGCGCACCTTCTTATCACCTGCCTCCATCTACCATCCCCTAAAATTATAATAAAAATATCAATACAATTATGTACTCGAACAAACGTTATTTATTTGCTCACAAATGAACCCTCGAGGACTTTGCTCGGTTCGCTTCAAGCAGAAGGAACCCGGCATGTGGCTCTCATCGCTGCTGCAATCTATAGCTATGTGATTGAGTTCGTTGAATTTCCGATAAGCCCCGCAATTGTCTTCGTAACGTAATTTATCGTCTTCGTCGGAGCTGCATTGGTAACACTTAACGGCCTCACCTACAAGTATTATGGATTTACAAAGGGGAAGGGCGATTAATGAATTACTTACTTTTGCTTATGAATAACAACACCAAGAACGTGCAAATGGCGAATGAAATGGTCTTCGAAATCATGGCAGGCTATGCAAAGGCGATTTAAATGCTAAACAAATTAATATTATGGGCGTAGCGAAAATTGAATCATAATCATGTAGCCCATTTATTTATTTACCATTCGATCTGTCAGTTGTCAGATGTCTGTTTTGTAAACACTAATTACAGATAAATTCGCAGTGTTGCCAGGTTGTTAAAATATTTATTATATACACTGTTGACGTATTAAAATAAATTAATTTAATTATTGACTATAAATTGCAATTATACTGCCTTCGTGAATTAATTATAGATATCACTTTCCGTGCTTCGAGGAATAGTATTTAACGTTATTTTCCATTGAACCTCTAGCATGCTTGGCCAATAGAGCATTAACGTCTAGTTTGTGCGTAGCCAGTGGCCTAAAATCAAAAATTATTATAATTTTCCCGAGTATCATCTACAAGAAAGAGGTATATACTTTATATAAGGAGTTATCTCAGGCACGGTCCACTTTTCTTTGGTTTCGAACAGAATCATAAACCTTTCGTCGATGTTCTCCGGCAAATCGGAGTCTTTGAACGCCCAAATGACGTTAGGAGTAGATTTTCTGTCGATAATAGCTATGCCGTTGAGCATGCTCTCGTCCGGTACCATCCCTTCCGGTACGGATTTGTGCCAAGCTTGGAGAAATTCCTCCAGATGGAATTTATCGGTTTGATGCAACAGGAACTCGGCGTAAAATTTACAGACCTCCCAGTCTTTGTATTTGTACAAAATCGTCCCGTCGATTTCCTTCGATTCCTCGGTGTATTTCTCGAATAATTTACATAGTATATCTTTGGGCACTAAATCTTGTAGAGTATCGATTGTTTCTTTGAAATCGACTTCATCCGGTTCCCAAGAGTTTTCTTCCATTAAATTCAACATGTAATTTAGTACGCGATAATGGTAATCTATATCTAGGAGTCTTATTTTATTGTCGATTTCTATGATAGGCATCGAGTCTAAAGCTTGCGAAATCTCTTTACGGGAAGCCCGTATTTTACTGCATAATTCCTCAGAGCTCAGCAAACTCTCTTGATTTACTTCATATTCTTGTTCGGGTCCTTTGTACAAACTAGGTTTCAAAATATCGTTAATTTTCTGCAAGTGTGGCTTGCCTATTGAAGTTTCCAAGTAATCGTGGAATATGCCATGAATTACCACTGAACTGACAGCGCTTTTCGAATCGTCTAAATCGTTATGGAATTTCAAGTTGTTCGTTAATAACATGCTATTAGAATTCTCGGCTCTGTTTACCCTGAAGGTGGCGGAATCGGAGCAAATAACCACTTCTTCGTTGCCTTCGCCTTTGAAGTGCAACGTCGAGCCTTCTGATATTTCATTCAGCAAAAGGGGATCTAACTCCAGGAGTTTGTAATTTTGAGTGTATAAATTATCCGATAAAAATAAAGCTTGAGATTCTTGTTTCATATCTTCGATGTTCAACTTTGCTAGTGATAATACTTCATGAATATTTTCTAGAGATCTCCTGAAATGTTATTTATTCAATGAGGATGAATAATGAGCATAATTTTAACTTACGTTTTTGTTTCTTCCATTATATCGTGTGTAATTTATTAACTCAATGTTTACAAAATATTTATTATTACGAAGATATAAAGCGGGAAAATGTATTTCATAGTTCTTCTTTTTTATACAAACGTCAGTGGTCATAATTTCTGATAAGTAAATGTCAAACTAAGAATCTGACAGTTGTGAATACGTTTATCCTTGTTTACCGCATTGTTTAGTAAGAATAAACATGTTGATAGATTGTATATCGAATCACTCCGATCATTTCACAACGAACAAGAAATAAAAAAGTTGCAAAAACAACCGGTAAAGTGTTACCCGTATTTTGTTTACTTATATTTAGGGAGTGCTTACGTGTCTCCAATTTATAGAAATTGGTAATCAAGAATATTATCTATAAAAATGGCTCCCAAAGTGAACGTAAAAGAAAGATACAACGATGGCAAAGTAGATCTGAGTATGTCAGATTTGAACGATGTCCCGGTGAAAGAAATAGTGACTTTGAAACGGGTGTACAGTCTGGATTTATCCAACAATAGCTTAAGGACCCTCCCGAAATCCTTCCCCACGTTAACCGGCCTAACGGTGCTAGATTTAAGCAAAAACGAGCTCAGCGAGCTGCCCCAAGATTTCGGCAATTTAGTGAAACTGAAACATCTGGACCTCTACAGGAACCAACTGCAGCATTTGCCGTTGAGCTTCAGCAAACTGAAGGGCCTGAAGTGGCTGGATTTGAAGGATAACCCGCTGGTGCCGGCCGTGGCGAAAGTGGCTGGCCTCTGTATCGATACGAAGGCCTGCCAAACGTGCGCCAAGAACATCGTGGAGTTCTACTCGAAGCTGGAGAGCCAGGTGGCCGCCGAGCTGGAAATGAGGAACAGGGACCGACAGAAGCAACTGCAAATGAACAACAAGAAGAAGCAGGAGGAGAAGCGAGAGAAGAAGCGCGAGAAGGTCGTGCCGAAGAAGGAGAAGAAACCATCGGAGAAACAATGGGGGCCTTCCGAGTATGAAATAGAGAAGAGATTACTGCATAGTAGCCAAACTTCTGCGAAAAAGGCCAAGTCGAATTCGTTCGTTTCGAGTTTGTTGAAAATCTTTTTGATGGTTTTGAGCGTGTATTTAACTATCGTGTTTGTTAAATTTAAAGATTCCGATAATGTGGTTGAATCGATGAAGCAAGGGGTTATTGAGGATTATCATAAAATTTCTTCGACCAGTCAAATTTGGTGGAAAGAATTCCTAATTCTATCTAAGGTTTTCTGGAAAAAACTTTTGGTTGTTTCACAATTGTGCTGGGAAACGATTTTAGAGAACGGTCCAATTTGGTGGGAAAAATCTGTAAATAGTTTACAAATATGGTGGATCGAGCTTTCAGAAAAATCACAAATATGCTATAAACATATCATGGATAACTGGCCAATGTATTTAGAAGAATTCCAAATTTTTGTAGAAAAATCCCTAAATGCTACAAGACTATTGTGGAAGATAATAAGAAATAATGTTACAGTTTTGTTTAGCTAAGAATTATACTAAATTAAAAAACGAACTAATTTTGTACTGTATAAAATTGTTAATAATAAACGTTATTTAACAAAGTTACAAAGCAATAAATTTCATCCATCAAAACTCCAGGATTAAAAAAAACCAATGTAAACTTGAAAAAATAATTTTACTTGAAATCAAATCAAAATATGTACATTTTAAAACTTCGTGTTCATTTAAAAATACAAAATCAAGATTACATTAAAAAAATGAGGATATAAACTTTTTAATAAGCATATCTTAATGCGTAATATATATTTATTTTGTATGTGAATCTCATTTACAAAAAGAAAGAAGCGAAAGAATAGCAAGAAGACTAAACAATCGAGGACCCGACCTGTTCTAATCTATCCCTTTATCCTTCTTGCCCGAAATCCTCCATAAACTTCCTCAATTTGGTTAGATCCTCATCATTGACTGTCGGTTTCGAGGTAGACACAGATCTTAACATATCATTCTGAAATACATAAAAAAAATAGTAATATTACAGAATTTCTCGACATACATCTCAAATTACCAGAGTAACGGGCGGCTCGGCTAACTTATCACTCGGTATATCCATCCAGGACATTTCTATTGCGCCAGGATCACCTGGCGAACAAGGTATCAACAAATCGTCAACGATCGTTTTGGGATCAGTAGGAGAAGGCCCCCTGACTTTCTTAAAATGCGTGGCTGTTTGCACTTTACGTACAGGCTGCATGAGAGCGTCTCGAACGACTATACTTATATCTGCACCTGAATACCTACGATACATCTCAAGTTACAAACAAGAAATAGTTAAAATTGTTTGTTATTTACCCTTCCGTCTTGCTGGCTAATTCTTTAATGTCCTCGTCGGTCAATTCCGTTCTGGTATTACCCAAATGCAATTTAAACATTACAGCCCTAGCCGGCTCCTCCGGCAGCGGTATGTAAATTCTCTTTTCGAAACGTCTTCGAATCGCAGAGTCTAATACCCACGGTATATTCGTTGCGCCTAATACGAGGATCCCTTCGGTGTCGTGACCAACACCTGAAATTTAACAATAATAAAACCTTCAGATAATCTTTCTATCTAGTAGGTACCTTGCATTTGAACCAAAAACTCGGTTTTGATCCTTCTAGCCGACTCCGATTCGTTATCGGAACGCGACGAACAGAGCGAATCGATCTCATCGATGAATATGATGCTCGGCTTGTGCGCTCGGGCCAATTCGAAGAGATTCTTCACCAGTTTCTCCGACTCCCCCAGCCATTTCGATACCAAATCGGAGGATGAAACGGAGAAGAACGTGGAATTGTTCGCTTCGGTGGCGACGGCTTTAGCCAAGTACGACTTTCCGGTACCGGGTGGCTGTAGAACAATTTCAGAAATATTGAAAAGTTAAAGATATTAAGCGAAATGTACTCACTCCGAACAGAAGGATACCCTTCCAAGGCACTCTCTTTCCGCTAAATAGATGTGGGAAACGTATAGGCAAAATAACGGCTTCTTTGAGGGCCTCCTTAGCTGCCTCCAGACCGGCCACATCGTTCCACTTCACGTGGGGCTTCTCCACTATGATAGCGCCCTCTAGTTTATTCTGGAGCTTCTTCTTATCCGGATCTTCATCTTCATCGTCGCTGTCGCTCTTCTTGTCCTCCCTATAATACATTAGAAATACGTGATTGTAGAATAATGTGATCTATTTCTTACTTTGATCCTCCGTCTAAAACAGGCTTCTTTTTCCCTTTCCGCAACGAATCTTTAATTTTTTCCGCCCTTTCTAAATACTGTACGCACTTGGCTCTTATGCTGTCTTTGGCCTTGTCGCCTTGCGCCTCATCTAAAATATTGTACAAATAAATAAACTACATTGGTGTCTTGTTACCTGCTCTTACACTTTATGGCATGCAAAAAGTATTCTACACCGTGCTCGTACAAACGAAGCGCCTCTTCGTAGTTTTTATTCCGGTCCTCTTCCGTGGCTTTCGTTACTAATTCAATGGCTTTCTGAAGAGTAGTTCCAGTAGCCATTTGAGGATAATTATGATTGACTAAGCGTTAGAAGTTCGGCTGAGATCACTCCCTATTCCTGCACACGACCTTGATTCGATCAATCGATGAAGGCGCTTGTTACCTGCGATTACAACTAAAAAATCGCCGAACTGAAATGCATTTTCTATCTAAATCAACGCGATATCAACGAGGAAAATCCGATTTCATCAAGAAAATTTACAATAAAAATTAAACTTTTGACACTCCAGTGACACATTTACCAATGACAGTAATGACAGTTTCGGTTGACTTAAGTGACGTGACGTTCGAATTCCATTGCAACCAACTTCATATCGATTAGCGTGTGACAAAAAAACGTACCTATTTTAAAACTAATTTAAATACAGGGTTGGTTTTAGGAAATTTTTTAGGGCGTTAAAATTTTTTTCAGTATATTACAATATAGATACTTCAATATACTCGAAAGTACCTAAATTTTGTAATAATAATTATGTCTCCGAATCCTACGAATTACAATTAACGTTCTCCTGATTGGGATATAAAACATATGTGTTGTTGATTAGTAAAATTTACTTTACCACATGCAGATAAAGTGCAATTGATAATAAGTACAGTTCGTCATCAATAAAATTACATCAATTGCTGCTAGATCGTCTAGCATCGCCTCGAACAATAAAATTCTGTGCAATTGAATAAAATGCGCACCTTCACAGATGGACCTTTGAACCCGGCAAAGCGCGTTTCATTTAGCCTTTCCTGACCAGATTGCTAGAGATGGGATAATGTTATTTTATTTTTTTAAACAATATCAAACCTACAATTCTTTAAAAACTAAAAATTTCGTTGATAACATCCTTTTAATCGCGCAATAAACCGCAAAAGTAACCGTTTTTATACTATCCAAACTGAGATAATTTACAAATAATTAAAAAAATCTATAAATACAACAAAATCAAGATTTGATTTATTTCTTAGCAGCAACAATAAATAAAGCAGCCAGCCTCCAGGAGCGCTCGTTCGCATAACATTTATATTTAGTAATATGAGACCCCACCTCTGGTCGAAGTACATTCATCTCGACTGGCTGTATAACTGGATGTGTATTTTACACAACCGGGTACACTAAGTAAACAGTCGGTGCGGGCAGGTAGTCGGTCCTTCCAAGCGCGCCATGTCTCTCCTGAGGAAAATCGCCTCGAAAAGGCTGTTATCACCTGTTGCGGGCGCCCGGAGGAGCGCCTTCCAGCGCGGCAACGCCACCGGTATCAGAAACGGGATAGTGAGTTCCGGGCTGGAGGACGTCGTCGTGCCCGAAATACCGATAGTCGATTACGTTTTCGAAAATATCGGGAAGTGGGAGCACTTGGTTGCGGCTGTAAGTAAATTTTTATTCGGTGTGTAGGTGGTTATTATGAGCTAATGCACTGCAAACTGCATTGCAAAGTAAATACTTTATAATCGTTAAAAATGTCCAAAGACTAGATTATTCATTATTCGTAAGAATGTACCGTTTTAATTGAATATTTAAAGTGTTGGAATAACGTCCATTCATTTTTATAATTTATAGGATTCAACGTTTTCATTAATTTTTATGTGGAATGTTTAATTAATTTTCATTTTTAAATCGATTGGAATACAAAAAAATTAAAATCGGATATATTTCTGTACGTTACATTCCAATAACAAGTCTTAATTTGAAGTATAGTAACCGATACTTTAAAAAAAAATATTTTAATTATCTCAACGGTATATGCATAATATTATACCGGGTGAACAGATTTAACGAGCAATTATTCAAATTACAACTAGTTGTAAAGCCTTTGTTTAAATTATTTATTAGAGGCCTTGAAAGTAATAGTTATTTGTATCTAATGTTAATTTAAAAGCGTTTTATTATATTAAAAATATCACGGATTTTTCAATCTTTTCGAAGTCAAATTAACAACATTCTATATTCAAAAACATTGAACACACTCTGTATATTCCAATATCAAATGTTAAATACCAAACCTTTTATATTTCTATGAATGAACTTTAATCAAGGTTTTATTACTACCCAAAAAATCGTTATAATTTCCATATTTGCTAAAATGTTATCGTGTGAAACCTTTAATTATAATTAATTACGTGCAAACAATGCATGCATAACGAAATTTATCTCTCATTGTTTATTTTATGTAGGATATACAGTCAATTCGCAGGTTTTTCCATATAATCCCAATGCATGATTTATTGTGTTGCAGGAATGCGGAGTAACGGGAAGAAAGTACACGTACGGCCAGGTCAGGACAAAAACGAAAAATTTCGGAGCGGCTTTAAGGAGGAAATTCAAATTGGAAAAAGGCGATGTTGTGGCGATTGTGTTGCCGAATGTACCGGAATTCCCTATAGTTACTCTGGGAGCCTTAAGGGCTGGACTCATTTGCACTACAGTCAACCCAATATACACTCCAGGTACAGTGATAAAACGCTAATTTTATTCAAATGTCGGATGTTAAATTAGCAGTAAAATTCTAAAATATAAACCTATTAGGGAAAAACATGCAGTCGAATTACGCTAACGATAATGCATTGTTATGTTCAATTTTTAAATTATTTTAACAATAATATAATGGCAATATAATTATTTAGTCGCTTGAAGAAAACCTTCGAATTGTTACCATTAACTAAACAAGTTGCACCTGAGTGGAAATTCCTTAATAATTGCAAGGTTAATTTTCATTTTTAGGCCACAGAAATTACACACATGTTAAATATATGAATAATTATTAAGTTCAATAGTGTTAGCATTAAAATCGACTTTGGACCTTTGATATTATGAGTGTACGATTATGTATAATTTTCTAGGGACAATTAAAAAAACCTATTGTCTATTCTGTCCTATATAAACAATAGAAAAATTACCCACCGAATCGATAACCTACAAGTTATAACCAATAGGTGATTGGAATTATCGATTTTTCCTGCAATTTCAGATGAGGTTTCGCGACAACTAACCGATTCATCAGCAAAGGTTATAATAACTCTCAACGAACTATGGCCATTGGCAAACGCAGCAGCGAATTTAGCCAAGAAAAATATACCAATTATCACCATAAATTCGCAAGTATGTCAACAGCATCCGCTCGAAACCCTCAATTCTTCATTATACTTCCTCTTCAGGTGAACCAGGCGACTCCACAAGGAGCGGCCAATTTTTCCGAGCTGGCCGATGCAGATAACGATATTCCTGCAACTTCGATTTCATCAGAAGACTTGGCTTTTCTACCTTACTCCAGCGGCACTACTGGGTTACCCAAAGGGGTGCAATTGACCCACGCCAATATCGTCACTAATTCGGTACAAATCGACCATCCGGAGGTGAAATTCAGCCTGACTTCGACCCGTAAGTGGTTTATAATCGCCCGAAAATCCGCTTAAACTTTCTCTGCTTCAGCCGATCACCAGGATATTTGCAACGGGGTGCTGCCTTTGTTCCACATATACGGTTTCACCGTGCTGTGCATGTTCCAATTAAGGATTGGCGCCAGGCTGATTACGCTGCCTAAATTTACCCCGGAGTATTATGTGGGTAGCCTGAAGAAACACAAACCGCATATGTTATACGTAGCGCCACCTATAGGTACAATCTTGGAGCAATTTTTAACGTTTGCAAATTAATTTGTAACGGTTTGCAGCTATATTTTTATCAAAATTTCCGCACCTAACCAGCGAGGATTTCGCCAGCGTTAGAGGCATAGTAAACGGAGCAGCTTCACTAGGACCACTAGATTCGCAAAAACTTATAGAAAAAATTAAAAGAGACGTCCCAATTTTGCAAGGTACCAACCAAAAAACACAAAACCACCAAAACATTTACCTAATCTCATGTAATCCCCAGGCTACGGTTTGACGGAAACCTCTCCGGCGGTGTCCACAACGCGCCTCAACGACTACAACAAACCCGAGTGCATAGGCTCCATTGGGCGGCCGGTGCCCAACACTGTGGTCAAAATAGTCAACCCCGACGACCCCGCAGGCGGAGCCCTGGGCCCCAACGAGCTGGGAGAACTGCTGGTGAAAGGGCCGCAAGTGATGAAGGGCTACTTCCACCGGCCCGAGGAAAACGAAAAGGCTTTCGCCGACGGTTGGTTCAGAACCGGAGACATGATGTACTACAACGAACAAGGTTTCCTCTTCGTCAAAGACAGGTTAAAGGAACTGATAAAAGTGAAGGGTTTCCAGGTAAATAATGCTTGAATATCCCCTGTAATTTCGAGTAGAGTAATCAGAAGAGCGATATTTGAGAAGTAACGGTTATTTTGTAACAGTCGTTACTGCACCTCTACACCAAAAAATCGATTCCCACCTCTATTAAACTTCTGTCATTAATGTCAATTTTGACAGTTCGAACGCATCTTTAAAGTCCAGCTTATTCGCGAATACGTCCTATATTTCTAAGGTCTGGAAACTTCCTATGCTTATACATTAGAGAACGTGTCCCGTTATTTGAGGACTTTTTGAGCTTCACTTTTGTGCCGCACCGTGCGAACGATTGGAGGACCAACTTATCTCAGCCAATCAGTGTCGCGCTGCACAAAAATCGCGGTTGTGAGACGACAGGTCAAGCTGTCAAAACTTCAAATATTATATTTTGACATTTCGAAGAGAAAATGGAGAAATACATTAACCGAAGATACGTGAGGCATGATGTTAACAACAAAATCATCGCTCATTTAAGTATATTTTTATATTTTGTATATATTTTTAGTTTTAATCAAACCTTTTTTAATGCTAATTCTATAAAATTCGTACGCAAAAAACCGTGGTCCTTTACAACGTCGCCTCCTAGCGGCCGATTTAGGAACCCTGTTTTATCCTCAAATAACGGGACACTTTATCGACCCATGTTTCCGGACCTTAGAAATATAGGACCGTGTTCGCGAATAACGACATGAATCTTCGCAGGTGGCGCCGGCGGAGCTGGAGGAGATCATCAGGGACTTCCCCGACGTGATAGACGCCGCGGTGATCGGTATACCGCACGAGGCGTACGGGGAATGTCCGAGGGCGTACGTGGTTCCGAGGCCCAATACTAAAATCGACGTGCAAAAACTCAACGATTACGTGAACAGTAAAGTGGCCAATTACAAGCAGCTGAAGGGCGGCGTGAACGTGGTGGAGAGCATACCGAAAAATCCTAGCGGGAAAATTTTAAGGAGGCAGTTGAAGTTGATGTACGAGAAGGAGAAGAAATGAGCCGGTTGCGTTTGGGGTTAATTTTTAAGCGGTAAAATAACGGTGTTAAGAGAGGATGTATTTCTAAGATTTTTTTTACGCAATGAGAATCGACTAGAGGTAAAGTAAAATGCCGGGCGTACGTGAAAATATTATTGCGATCAATACATATTTATAGGTTTTTCAATAAAAATTACTGAATAAAAATACTGCTACTAATTATACTTATTACTTAGAGAATTATCTTTTTAGGAACTCAAATTAAAATAATTCTGTAACAAAGCAACGAATTATTCTAAGAATAGTTATTAATATCATCTTATATGCTAGAACATAAGAAACCTACGAATGTACCTTAATTTGAGCTCCAAATTAATAAAAGTAGCTCTTTAATACAAAATAGGTACCTCAAGGTATAGCCTTAAAAATAATCTTAAAATCACTATCAACGCTTTTTTTAAATATAAAAAAATTCACTAAAAACATCACTCATTTCCAAGTACATGATTTACTGCAACAAGTACGAATCTAATAAAGCTATTCATTGGTATCATTAAAATACACGCATAAAAATAATGGTTCATTTTACTTTTGTATGAACATCAAGTAAATTGTTTAAATTAATGTTAGTAAATTGTAAAAATGGAATGCTTGAATTACGTACGTATTTATGTAATTTTTCATTTTATTAAACTAGGTAAATAAAATTGTATATAAATAAGGGAAACACTAAAACAAAAAACACTCAACATAACTTATCAACAATATCAATATTTGTGAAAATACAAATAGTTAGGTATTATCACAATAAATTTATTTTAATCTTATAAATATTGTCGATATTTCATAAGAAAATATCACAATGTTTGCATTATGGAATTATGACTATCGTCAATTTACTAATTATAATTTTTTTCCCTAAAATTAGTAATTATTTTGGTAAGCAAGACCGAAGTCACAAAGGCACTTAAATAAATCAAATCAAGGCAATTTAAGTGAGAAACTTACGCTATACCCCGTATTATCATTAATCTAGACATCCCTTCTATTATAGCCGGTAGCATTAAAGCCAAAAAAATTTACCTAAATCCACATCAACAGCGTAAACGAGCGAGTTTCCAACAAACTTGGCTTCAAATCAAACAATAGTCGAAGGCGTTTGCGGTGACGTAGGCGTCGTGGGTTTCGTCGCGACGTCCGATAGTTGTCGCTGAAGAAACAATTCCAATTCCTCCGGCCGATTGCCGAGAGATCTGGATAAACTGTGCGTGAATCTAGAAAATAAATATTCGTATATCAAGTCTAAAGTTTTATCGAGAAATTATCCTTGAGTCGGTCTCTTGTACGCTGTTGAAGAATGTGTTACATGATACACAAAACGAGAAATTGGAATAATGGGGAAATTGTATAGGTAAGTGCAAATTTGTTTGATAATTCTATGGGTTGAACAAAGAAAGATTGTCGCAATCATCCCACAATAAGACTCTTTCTTTTTCCTTTATAATACGAGACTAATGAAAGTTGTCTCTGTTGCACCTATAGCCTATATTGCAAACAATTTTGCATCTACCTGTATGTAGGTATAAACATTGACATAGATTTTAGACACACACACATAAAACATTAAAAAACTTCACATTGCATTTAAACAAGCAAAAACGTAACATAAACTATAATATGTAAAATAATAAAAAATCTAGTCTCCATCTGTAAATACAAAAAGCGCAAGGAATATACTAATACTAATAAATTCTAATAGATTCGAAGAAAATATTTTTTTTATTAGGCTCCCGTGTATGATTCAAGCAGACAGATTTATATCCCAATAAAATAATTCAAATATTTACCGAATTAATCTTCTACTAACTCATCTTGGTTCAAAAGTAAATTGAGTCTTGAAAAGAAAAACAAAGGCGTGAATTATTCATTTTTATCACGATAACCGCGAGAAAATGGTATCTTTTAACCAGCATATCTTCTTATATTTATCTACAACTAACTCAAACGTTTATTTCCAATTTAGTTGAATTCGAGTTGATCGAATATGCTGATCAAACTATAAATTTCACAGAAAAAAAACAGAGAAAATCAAATGAGGTTACTAGCTACACATCCTTTAAAAATATACAGGGTGTTTTTTAATAACATGCTAATACTTGGGTGTTTTTTGGACCTATTTTAAGAAAAAAACTTCAACAAAAAAAAGCAAACTTCAAAATTAATTAAAGTGGTCTACTGCTTTTATCCTCAAGAATATTAGGCTTGAATCCAGTACGGACGCCACTGTTGGAAATAAAAAATGTTTTTTTAGGTAAAAAAATGCCCTTTAATGCGTAAACGCCATACACCAAATTTCATAAAAATGTTAAAAGTTGAGTACATGGAATTGACGGTAAAAAATAGATTTTTTCTTAAAACTTTAACAACCTATATCTAAAAATTTAAGACGTTTAGGACGTAGGTTCATATGAAGTTATTTTCTTAAAATGAGCCCAAGAACCGCCCCCTTAAATATCAGCAAGCCATTACAGAACACCATGTCTAAAACGACTCGAAAAAATACCTGCTAAGCCTCTCCTGTTCGCGCATCCTCTTCAACCTGCTGAACTCGTCGTCGTCATCCTCGTCGGTCGCCGATCCACCTATACTCACTTTATCGGCATCATCCACCCCCAGCCCGTCCCCGTCGTTCGAAGTGCCCGGCGCCGATCTCGAAATGTGCTCGAATGGATCGAAAATGTTCGGCTCCCTTTAAAACGCATAAGTAATTATTCCACCTTGCATATCCCCCTGCATTGTGGGTTGCATAACTCACATGTGGTAGCTGTGACTCGCCGGCACGTCTATGGGCGTAGAAGGCGACGGTGGTCCGAAAATATCCATTACGGTGGGCCGGTTTTCCCGATTGGACCGTTGGGATGTTATAGTTTGTTGCTCGTCGACCTGGAATATATAGAGTTAGCGATAGGATCGGGTTTCGTTACGGAGTAGGGCACCTCTTCGATGACCTCTTGGGTGATTTTCTTCACGCTACCCGCCGGTTTGGGCGCCGCCGGCTGGCTGGGCACCAGATTGTTCAATTCGTTGGCCTCCACTTTGGCGTCCGTCCGATTGCCGTCGTCCTTGCTGAAGAACCGCTTCAGCATGTTGGTGACGGAATTGTGGCGCGACATGGAGTCTGTCACAAGTCACAAAGGCGCGTCAGTCGCTTTAGCGGCCGATGTCTAAATCGAACTTACGCGAACGCATAGTTTACCTGGTACGGATTTGCCGAAGAGCGAGCTCTGCGAGCCGCGCGACTTGAACGAGTTCTTCCGCTGCTTCGCCGTGAACGTGATGGGCCCGCCGTCCAAGCCCACGTACGATTGCATGTCGTCCATCTTGTGGGAGGGATAGAGGTCCTGGTTGCCGCCCACCAGCTCCATGTCCTTCGGCCTGGTGGCTATGTTCGCCGTTGAGGGTAGCGGATGGGCGTCTCTGATGGCGCGGGCGGCTTCGGTGTAGGGCAGCTCCTGCGGGAACACCTCGTCCCAGTACTGGTCCTTCACCAGCTCCGGGTGGTCGTGGTGGATTTCGTCCACTATTAGATAGGCCACCTGCGGGCGGGTGTGATTAAATTCGCATCGGGGATAAGTTTCGGACGGTGTACCTGCAGATTTCTATCGACCATCCAATTTATTTCGAAATCGTCGTCGTCGTCGCCGAACGGGTTGATCATCGATTCGGCCACTTTTAACCAACCGATGTAGAAGAAGAACTGCAGCGTGGCGAATATGGGAAAGTACAAGTCGATTTTATATTTGCTGTCCGACGTGTCTTGGTGCGCCATGATGTTGGTCAGGAAATAACTGTATACGGCCAATGTGACGACCTAAATGAGAACCGATAAACATTACAACAACGGAGTAATCACAACGATATGCGAAAAATAACGGTTGTTTTGTAACAGTCGTTCCTGCACCTCTATAACGAAAAATCGTTCCCACCTCTATTAAACTTCTGTCATACGAAATGTCATTAACGTCAATTTCGTCAGTTTTTGGTTATGTATCATCGAACGCAACTTAAAGTCCCACTATAGTCGCGTACAATGCGGAAACAATTTTTTGGTGCGTATAATTTCGTATCATTATTTACCTGAGTATATACTAATGGAATGTTTATATGATCGTAGGTCAACAACAACCCGCACTGTCCTCTGAACTTGTTAATCTCGTCGATGATGGTTTTGACGGCGAAATCGTCCCGGATGCGGCCCTCTTTGCGCGCCCTAGTCACTATACTGGACGCCCAGACCAGCGGTAGCCTAATTGAACCAAAAAAACCGAATTATTAAACGGGATAAAGCGCATCGAAAGCGCTTTACCAATGCTTGGAATGCTTGGGGAACTTGTCGTTCAAATCGGACATGATCTCCTTTTCGCTGGGCTGCAACAGACCGGCGTCGACGAAGTGATTCAACGTGGGAAAGCGCTTCTTCACTCTGGGCGAGATCATCGTGAACACCATCGTCACGCAGAGGCAAATGTACCGCATGATGGTCCTTCGCATGACTCGACCGCGTTCGTCCTGAAATAAGTCGCGATTCGTGAACGAAGCCGGTTTGGAAAATTGACGCGGAAACTTACGTGACCGTGCACGGTGGCGCTGACGAACACTGCCAGAGGATCGGGCGAAGGGATCGCCCTGTATTGGCTCCACCAGCGGTTCATGACGACGGTAACGTAAAAACCTAACACGAATGATAGGGGTATCAAATTCGCATTGTCAGCACAGTATCTTACTACGTGTTCGAAAAACCTAAAATAATATATAGGGCGTTAATTAATTGAATGCCGGTACTTCGGGATGTGAATATTTGATTGATTTTAGGAAGAAAAGTTTATATCAATGTATGTCCTAAACCTCTTAGTTTTCGAGCTATAGGGTGTTAAAATTTTAGAAAAAAAAAACTTTTCTATCATAATTTTCTTATTACTCCAGTTATTGCAAATTTGTTGAATAACGAAAGTTACTTACACTCTTCCCTCATTGTCTAAAGCAAATCTATATATAAAATTTAAACTGTAATATATTCCTAAAAAAAGGGCCAAATCTAGCCACACTAATTTGTACAGACTCCCCCGCCATCTGAAACAAAAATGGAGTATTTTTTAATGCAAATAAGATGAAATGTGTAAATTAATGATTAATAACAAAAATAAATGTACAACTTTTCTTAAATTGTTTATATTAAGCCTTATAAATATAGTACGAGTGTGCATTGTTTTGCCAAATTCTATTTATTTTTGTCTGCGATCTGTGGAGATTTAAGTGCATTAGATGTAATTAATTTCAATAAAAAATACCGTTCAAGAAAATATCGAAGTGATTCTTAAAAAAACAGTTATATTTAAACGAATTTATTGGTCTAGAATCTAAAGGAATCGCATAGCGTTGGAATTAGCATAAAGTATTCGCAATAAAATGATAATTTCAAACAGCTAAGATGACGTAAATTTCAATATTGGCTTTAACTCTTATCTCACCATAATCTGTGAGAGATTTTTCTGAAAAGTATACTGAGCAACAGGCAGTTGTAGGCGTAAAATGTAATAAAAAGAATAACTGTGGTCTTTTAAATATTAAACATAATATGTTAATTAAATAACTGCTGGAAAAAAATAAAAATGACTCAAGTTTGAGTTCGTTCGTAATAATACATAATACAGGCGTCATATCTTCTATTATGAATCAATTTTTGTAAAAAATCCGTGAAATCTTATTTTCCTTATCTATTGAATTTTGTCAAAGCGAATTATACATGTTAAATTTGCGGTAATATTCTATTTATGTCTATCAGGAGTATTATGTAATAAATAAAAGCAGGTATATTAAATTTACCATGTAGACATAAAAATCTGATGTGATTTTAAATCTTTAACACGTGTTTTATCTTTGAGAATAAAGTAGATAAAAATATATAAATTTGTTTATAAATTAATTATAATTTTTGGGATTTTGTTGTAATTAAATTTAGATTGGGTTCCCATTAAATTTAATGTTTTTATTAATTAATTAATAATCTATTTCCACCAGGTTTTCACAAAACAATTGTGTTAAGTGAATAATTGTAAATAAATAATTATTCAAGTGAATTAAGTTTGCATGTATATGGACTGAGAATTAGAAGTTAAAGCAACATATAATTATGATGAAACTATGCCAACTGAATAATTTAGAGCAATTCACTTTAATTGGTTGTAATTAAAAAATACTCGTTACCTAATACATTCCTTTTTTTGCAGTAAAGTCTATTTTAGCTATTTGAGAACAAAGAGATGTTGCATTGAATGAAAGTCTTAAATGACATGTCGTGAATACAAATACCAAAATTAAGAGATTTGTGTGTTTATATCTGTAATAAATTATTTTTCTATTATTTCCATTCTTATTACAAATTATTGAATTGGCAAAAAGTGGAGGTGTTGAGTTTGTAGTATAATTAGTTAACCTTGGTAATAACCAATTATCCTGAAATATACACGTTTCAGAGAATGATTGAATGTATTTAAGTAATTATCTAAAATAAATCAGAATACAAAGAAAGAAGTTCAATAGCACTAAATCAATATGAGATTATTAATTTGTGGCAACAATTCATTTCCTTTGGAAAATAAATACATTTTAATCAGAAAACAAAGATTCATAGATAATTCTGATAGGAGCGAAAAGACCCTTTAACTTTATTCGAAAAAGTGGAAGTTATGTATGAAAGTGAGAAACTTAACAGTACTTATTCGGAATAAAACGTTGTCTTACCTTAATAATAATTTTAAAAAACATCCTAAACCCCGCACAGTCGCGACCTCCGCGTTATAAGTTACAGTCATTTTTTGCTAATATTCGAAAACAAAGGCGAAAAAAAATCCGAAAACAGTTGTGTCACGGCGTCGCCCGAAAATTTGAGTGGCTTTTACTAAACATAATAAATGTTATGTTTGTATAGTGTGGCAATTTTTTACTTTAGAAGGTCGGATGTGATTCATTTGCTGAAGTAATTGCTACAGCCAACTTTCTTAGGTTATGTTTTTATATTTTTTTTATTTGACTTTGACGTTTGTTTAACGCTCGGACTAAGCTCATTCGGAAATTCAACCATTTAATAAAAAAGAAGTAGAAATGACAACTTTGACAGATAAAAGTGACAGTTGTGTAGAATAGACCTATTCAGTTTAACCTGTGCTGCGCGCGCATATTGTGGACAATTAGCTGGACATCTAAACGAACAAACGAACGCACCTCAGGTAAAATACGGTTCTGACAACCAGACAACGACAACTTAAGACGTCATTTGTCATTATCCAACAATCCGTCGGATTTAATGGACGCGGTGACTCGATACAAATTTGTTTTTACTGCCCAGAAAGGGGTTATAGGCTTAATATTTACGTACAAGTCAAGTCTAAGAAAGAGTAAGAGGGTTAGTACAAAGTTTCCGAAAATGCTTTTTGATCGGTTTGCTATAATATATATTTCAAAAAAATAATCCCATTGACCTATACAAAAAATTATTACCTTTATAAATAAATATACTAAATAATACAAAGAAATACTGTTAAAAATAATACACACTGAACATAAACAAACATCAAACGGAAACAAAATAGGGTTAAGAATGTTAAGATTGATAATGGTCTCTTCTTTTTTATATTTTAAACAGTTTTCATCTAAGAATCATTCAATGTGTCTGTCAATCAGCAATGAAATAGGCCAAATATCTCATCTCTCTTGCACTTATGTTTGCGCAGATTTTAAATGGTTCCACAAATTGCGCGTGAAACATATTTGCTTCTTTTATTCTCTTATGTTGATCAAATAACTCCATCACTCTCTTTCGTAAACTGAATAGGTCTATTGAAGAAGTGAAGTGAGAACAATTTTATGTAATGCTGAAAAAGTGAGTGCATTTACCGGAATAAACAAAAATACTATTAATAAACATTACAATACACAACTGCTCATCGTTTCGAAACGAAAATGTCGATGAATTCGAGCCCGAGCCACTTCCCCGAAGACGCTTTTGTCACCGATGCTAATTTTAAAGTTGGAATTAATCAACAAATGAAGGTACCTGACCGAATAAGTTTCTCTAATGACTCAAACGGCGACAGAACGGGCTCCTGGAACAGAGATAACTTCAACATGAACGTACCGGAGAGGATACTAGTTGCAGGCCAACATCAACATGTAGGTAAGTAACTAGGTATTTGCTATTTGTTTTTAATCCACATCAATTTTACACATTGAAAGCATTCGACTTGTTTATCTGTCTTCTACATTTTTACTCGCCATTTTTTACTGTTCAAATTACTCGAAAACTTAACGAATAAAATTTTAATTGAATTGTTTTAGGAACCAGAGCACCGCCTCGAGAAATAGTCTTCGACAATTCGATTATCCAGTCGGATCCCTATCCGACTGACTTACCTCGAGTGGCGACTCCGCCGCGCACTCTGACCCTGGACAAGTACCCCTTCCCGGGCGTGGAGGACTTCGACGAGCCCGAATTGATAGACGATGAACGATTGCCCGTGGCCAAACGGATACCCCATAAGGTCCACATGAACGACGTCAGTTTCCAGCTCAACGGTTCTCAATACAACGAGAGCGGCGCCCATCTCTACGGAGCAGCCGGAGATGTACTGTTTCTAATCGATTGCTCTTTTTTTTCGTGCTAATTTGAGTTGGTTTTGCAGAGTTTAACGCCCGCGGAAGAAGTGCTGCATTTACGTAGACAGATGGCGAAGTTGAATAGGAGAATAATGGCGCTAGAATTAGAAAATATAAATAGACTGCAAAAGGAGAAGATCGTCGTGGGATTCGGCATAGCGTATTTTCTCTTGAAGGTTATCATTTGGATGAACCGGGATTAAGGACGTTTAAGGGAATAGTTTGAATGGAGTCTGAGTTGTCCTAATATTTATCTGTGTTAGGTGAAGTAATTGATGATTCACTGTTATTTATTTATTAACTTTATTAAGTCAATTTACTATTCATTTTTAATTAAATCGTAAAAAAAACCAAATATTATTTCTACTCGTTAAATTTTTCAATAAACTTAGTATTAATATAGTTAGTATGTTAAGTTAATGTATTTGCTTTTCATATTATTTAGAGCTGTTTATTAGGACTTCAAGATGACTATCTAGTTTAATAGTTTCGTATATACCAACGTATTTTATTACCTCTACCTTTAGAGAGATACTTTAAACATTTTTATATATATTTTAGTATATAAATTTTTGTTGGGATTGTTTGTAAATTTGACTACTCAATGTAATACATTTGAAGGTATTACACAAGTTTGAATTATCATTTTTGATTTTATGCTCGATTTAAAATATCCTGCCTTTAAGATTCTTGTAATGAATTATTTTTGTAAATGCGGGATATTTCTGAATTGAGCGTATCAGCACAAACGTTGACTTGCAAATAATTTTATTTATTGGGTGTACGAGGCGAAGATATTAATTTTTCGTTTAAGAAATTGCATTTTTTTTAATTGTTAATTGATGACGTATTGAAGATTAATTAACTGATTAGCGGATATTGTTCCGAAATATTATCAATAAATTATTGTTTCCAGATTAGATCGTTTTAATTCGATTCCGGAGCTAAGAATAGCTAATCTTAGCTCCCTTTTCACGGTCCACGTTCAAATTATCACGCGACAAAATGCGACCAGCAGGATTTTCTACAAATTACGAATACTGCATTGGCATTGAGTAGAATTAATTCGGTCAAGCATGCGCTTTTGGATACTTTTTATTCTCTTTCGAATTCGCCACATCGATTCTCAAAGAATCGAAACAGCTTTGTCACACGTCAATTGTCATACAATGGTGCCACATCGACTCTCTCTATTATTCTTCAAAAATATTTTTGCTCAGTGTAATGACAAATTATTCGTCAAATTACTATATTACAACTAAAAAATCAAATATTACCATTTCAATTACTTACCTATTAACATTTTCGAACTACAACTTAAGAAGTAAAAAATATTGGCAACGTCGCAGCAATATTTTAACTCGAGTGTCGATGACATTTAGAATCGATGGATAATCGAAACGAATCGATTGCACAAATTGTCGGCTGTACAATACAAATTATTACAGGTTAGATTAGGTTTAGGTTCGGTTTGGGGAGTTTTCTTTGGTTTGTGTAGTATTTATTTTCGATATGTCTTCAGGACTGGAGACAGGCGCGGGCGACTACGTGCAGACAGAACTTATCTCCGGTGTGGAATTCGTAAATAAGCCGAAATCCTATTGTATCAACGGCGACAATATAATCAAAGTGAGCTGTGGTACACTTTTACTTGCTCCAAGTGCTAAATGTATGTTGAAATGTTTTAGGATGGAAAGAAATACAGGAATGGAATTAGGAAAAACGGGTTTTCAAACGGGCATATATTGGTAAGTTTCGCGCATTTTGCGAATCGATTTAATTTAAAAGTAAACGAGTCAAGTGCCTTGTGGTGTTATCATCTCTCATCACCTGTTTCCTGCATGATGATTTAGTTTCTACTAATTTCCTGCAAGTAGAGTTCTCAAATTTTATTGATTTTTAATAATTGCAATAGTTTATACGAGTTTTCGTTTATTATTTGTAGACTTCATCGGATGAAGAATCGTCCAGAATAAAAGCAAATGGAATACAAGTAAATGTAAGTAGTATTTTTTTATTAATTGCACTACTCATCTTTCATTACTCTCGAAACATTTTTTAGCAATTCCATTCCATAACGCTATTTACTGATAATCATTCAAATATTTAGAGATTACTCATTTTGAATGAATTTCAAATAACTTGGAAAAACTTGAGATCTCTAGGCTTTCTTGATTTATAATAATCGTATTAAATACTATGTAACGTAATCAATAATTTCCAGTTACAAGATACCTAGTATCAGGATTTCTTAATCACTAATAAATTAACTTATCACCGTTTTATCAAAAGAAATTGGCCCCTTCTCAGTTCTATCGAGTTGCACGCCAATATTTATTCGAAGCGATAAACGGCAAGGAAAGCACGATTTCTAATTATAATTTTTAATTACAAATTTATCTTGAAACGTAAATTCATTCGTAGAGTATAATTCTGAGCTTGCATAGGATGAAGTATGAAGTTCATACAGAAACGAGAAATATACTTTGTAGAGTACATAAATTAAATTTAAAATCTACAATAAAATTCACCTTTGACATTTGGCATTTAACAGTTGACATTCATCTACATTTTGATTCCCATATACAGATAAGTGCAATTTTGTACACAATATGGTGTATAGGTGCAACAAAGACAACTATCATTAGTTCATATAAGGGAAAAAGAGAGTGAGCGATATTGTGAGATTGCAACTTTCTCATTCTAACCATTTTTATTTTGATATTCTTTCTTTGTTCAACTCATAGAATTGAGTTGAGTTACATAGAAATTTGCACTTGCCCATATAAAGTCTAGTCGTCTAGTCCATTGTAGTCTCTCCTACTTTATACCCTGTTTTATTCTATTTGACTCTACTGTACTCTATTTAACTCTACTTCCTTTTACTCTACTCTGATATTTTTGAGATCGTGGATAACTGAATTAAAATTATTGCTCGAAACAAACTAGTGTTTTTAAGTGGTTTGCACTTGAAACGATTTTTTATCAAGATAGTCCCAATACCTGTCATCAACATTTTTTTTAATTCAGTTGCATCTAATAATGCTATATTATTTGCCTGTTGCATTAGTCGACTTGGTGTATAATCTTGATTTTTCTAACAACTTCGGTGTCGTGATATTTGCACTCATTGGTGTAGAAGCAACATTATATTTGCTTCTATTTAATCTAAAACGTGCCTTAAACGCGCAAAAATCAAAATTGGGCGAGATATTGTTTTAATAAATAAACGAAATGATCGTTTCCTTTGGTTTATTTCAAGGTTTTAATTGTTCGGATTATTAATAATTTCATTATAAACTTTGAAGATTATGCGTGAAACAATACACTTTCAAACCCAATCTAATTGATTAGAGATTAGAATTAGAAGCGCATTGAAAATGTTTATTGTATTTTTTTCAACGAGTCGCCAGTGGGCATTGGTGATATAAAAGGAATAAATCAAGCGCGAACGTTTGCATTAGACATAACTACTTGTTTTTTAAAAGTGCATTTATCATTAAATTCGAGGAGATATGTCCAAATATCGTAATGTGAGTAGGGCACCTTAAACTCGTGCTACAAGATTTTTTTTCGACTAGTTTAGCCTAGTTTTCCATAGGTATTTTCCACGCAAAATTTTTCCTCTATTCCGTTTCCAAATATTTATTCCGCTCGCCCGTAAATCCCTGCACTAAACTTTTAATAGAACCAATTTGTTAACAGAGGTTATAGATTAATAGTGTGTCAATGATTGCAATTATTACAAGCATTCGTAGCTCCTGTTCTTCGCCAGTTTAAAAGTATTTTAATAATATATTTTTTGTTAGATTAAATTTACATAATTAGTATTTTTATTGCGGTATCAATGAGAAGGAACGAGTTAATTTTGTAACAGATAGTTCTGTAGTTAATGGTTTAATTTTTAGATCAATAGTAGTAGAAATAATGCAACTATTTTAAAAAGCAAACGATTATTTAAGTCTACTTCATTTTAGTTTTAATCTTATCAACTTTCTAGTAACCTGAAGTGTTTCTGATTATTATCTTTGAGTATTTAAATAGTTCCTGACTGTATTTTCTAAGAAATTCCAAACATTCACATTGACTAATGTTTCCGCAAAATACGAGTACTCTAGGGTTTATGTAAAACACTCATTGTTATTGTTTACAACCGAATTCCTTCGAGAATTCGAGGATAAAATATGTGGAAATTAAGAAACGCGACAAATATTTACCAATAAAACTAGTGCGCTGTAAAAAGCGGAGATTTCGCAATAGATTTTTAATAGGTGTGTTAAATAAATGTTTGTTAAACTAGTAAAATGTTTGCTGGGTAGCTGTAATTTGCGATTAAAAAAGTGCATTATTCTTATTCACGTAGATAATAAAAATGTAAAAAAATAATACGATTTCTGATGGTGTTTACGTCGGTGAAATGAATTTTTCAGTCCGTAAAATGTTTCTAGGTCAACAAATAAAATTTTTCATTACAGGCCATTTTTATAGTTCAGTGAGCAGTTATGAAATATGCATGCGCGCTTAAAATTTAATAAGAATTACGTGGTAGGTATTGTTTATTCTCAAATTATCGAAAAAAAATATCAAGAATAACCAGTTTGGAAATTCGCCGCGAAAAAATTATCATTATCGAAGGATTTCTACTCTACCTACTTAATTATCTCACATACATAATTACCTACTTAAACTTTAACCTTTCAACCACCAACTGATAACAAAAAAATTCAATATTAGGGCTACAACGACAGGCCGAACAGCCTGAAACATGACCCGAAAATTCGACAAATCAAAGAATCCTTCGAACCGCCGACCCTCTTCACCAAGGCGCTCACCCAAATCAGCTTCTATGTCCTGGTGATAATCGGCTACCTCAGCTACTTCTTCTTCCCGCCCAAGATGGCGAAAGAGAAGAACCGCGAGGGCTACAGGACCCTGCTCGACAGCTTCGCCGCCTTTTACTCGCGCTACGTCTACAGGAGGATCAGGGATTGTTGGAACTATCCCATTTGCAGCGTTCCCGGCAGCGAGGTCGTGCTGAAGGACAGGATCACCAAGGACAGCTGTTGGACGTTCGAGTAAGTACACTGCCGGGGATAATAAATGGATAATGTCGGTAATAAATTGGTAATGTCGTGTATAGTAGGGTATAACGGAAAAAAATAGTAGGCCCTGGCCTATCCGGCTTGCCCTTCTGCCACATTTGGTCGAATAATCATAGTCGGCGTGTCCTTTCAACGATGACAGAAATGACATTGACAGGAGAATTAATTGGGAATTTCATCAAGAGGATTATTTAATAATATATATTTAATTGATAACTGTTTTAAGCTGTTCTTACTTATTTATGGAATTTTGAAATAGGGGAGTTGAAATGGGAACACTCTAATCGAATAATCATAGTCGGCGTGTTCATTGAGCGTTTGATTTCTACCTTGACAGAAATGACGTTGACATTGACAGGAAAGGCGTTGCGAAAAAGTGGAAAATTCTGTATTTAAAATTTGATTTGTAGGATTAATTGGGCGTTTTTTATCAAGAGGATGATTAAATATTAATGGAGAGAATTGGATTGCTTCGTTTTTGAAGGTTCATTAAAATTGCATGGCTGATTAATTAATTGCAAGCCATTTAATTGATAAATTGTAAACGGTTTTTTACTTATTTATGGAATTTTGGAATAGGGGAGTTGGCTGGTTGCCACCTACTATTAATTTATTTAACTAAATGGTACAACGTGAATTATTGACGATAAGAATCTATCTATTTTCGTGTTAATAACGTCTCATTAACCTAAAATATGAAAGTTCCCCATTATCACAAGTACTTTCTAAACTAATAACGGTAATGTTGACACCGAGTAATTCCTTTAAATTGAGTTGTTTTAGCTTTACAAAATTCCACGAACGTCTCCTTTATCGTTATCGCGGATTTAGATCACAGGATCATAGGTAGATTTATCTACATTCATACATACCTACTTATGGTGAATCTACCATATCCATGTCCGTATATTTCTAAAGTCTGGAAACATAGGTCGAAAAAGTGTACCGTTATTTGAGGATAAAACAGGGTTCCTAAAATGGCCGCTACGAGGCGACGTTGTAAAGGACCACGGTTTTTTGCGTACGAATTTTATAGAATTAGCATTAAAAAAGGGTTGATTCAAACTAAAAATATATGCAAAATATAAAAATATACTTAAATCAGCGATGATTTTGTTGTTAACATCATGCCTCACGTATCTTCGGTTAATGTATTTCTCCATTTTCTCTTCGAAATGTCAAAAAATAATTTTTGAAGTTTTGACAGCTTTGACACAACCGCGATTTATATGTAGCACAACGCTAATTGGCTGAGATAATTTGGTCTTCCGATCGTTCGCCACGGTGCGGCGCAAAAGTGAAGCTCAAAAAGTCTTCATTTAACGGAAAACATTTTCTAATGCATATAAGCATAGGCTGTTTCCAGACCCTAGAAATATATAGTGCCGCGGAATCTACCATATCCAAACCTATAATTCTATATACCTATCCGCCAGGTACACCGGCTCGACGACGAAATGCCTCAACCTGGCGTCGTACAACTACCTCGGCTTCTCGGAGGCGTCCGGCCCGTGCGCCGAGCACGCCATCCGGACCATCTACACGCACGGCATCAGCACCGGCGGCACCAGACAGCGGTACGGCACCTGCACGCTGCACGACGAGCTCGAGCGGCTGACGGCCGAGTTCCTCGGCGTCGAGGACGCCGTCACCTTCGGCATGGGCTTCGCCACCAACTCCTTGAACATTCCGACGCTGGTCGACGACCAGTGCTTGGTCATCAGCGACGAGAAGAACCACGCCAGCGTCATACTGGGCATCAAGCTGAACAGCCCCAAGATTCGGGTGTTCAAGCATAATAGTAAGTCTTCGTTTCGGCGGTGGTAAATTTGGCGTAGATTACTATCTGCAAACTTTAAAGGGGATTTTAATCCTATGGGTGAATTGGACGCCAGAATATTTCAGGTAGAAAGGGGTTATATTGCAGAGCAGAGCAAAATACTTTAATAAATAAAAATTCTCTAAACAAGAATTTTTGATCTGTGGTTACTTGGCGCCCAATTTACCTGTCAGATTAAAAGAACCCCTCATTATCTACACCCAATTTACCTGTAGAATTAAATTATACAATTCTTTTTGGCGCCTAATTTACATCCGTTCTTTCATTTATAGCTCCAGTGTTGTATGTTGTAAAATGCTTGAGCTGTGTTGATGGTATTCCCAGTATTCCATTGATTTATTATTTTAATGATATTATGCCTGATATTTTATTCCTTGTTGTTCATTAATAATTTTTTAGTAGCTCGAATTGTAATATCCATTTAATATGCATCTAAATTAAAGATGCACTATTTATTTCATCGATTGTCAGGAATCAATAGGCAATTTAATAACAATTTAATAGGCAATTTAACATAAATTTATGATATCTATTGATTAATTCGAATGAAAAAAAAATACAATTTTTGTACAAGAATTGTACCAGTTCCGCCCCCCTGCATTTCCTGTTGCTAACCAATTTCGGCTTGAATAAATAAATGCTGATTACAAAAAACGTCGATTACAATGAAGCCTGGCTATGTAAATATTTGAAAACTTAGTCAATCAGGTCGGAATGTCGAATCAATCCCTTTTTTTTGTTGATTACCTGTTGATCGATTATCTATTATACTCCGTTCGCCATCATCTGGTAGTAATAGAATCTAATTTTGTACCCAAAAGACAGCGCAAGTGATTCAATTAATAATTAATCTTCAAGGCTTTTGCCACTAGTAGTGCCACTCTCTATACAGGATGTATAACAATAGACGACCTTTTTATCAACTCATCGAGAAGAGAGTATAATATTTACGAACGCGATTATTTTCCAGACGTCCACCACTTGGAGAAGCTCCTCCAGGAGGCGATCTACTACGGCCAGCCGAACCAGCCGAAGGGCTCCCACAAACCCTGGAAGAAGATCATCATCATCGTGGAGGGCGTGTACAGCATGGAGGGCACCATTTGCCGCCTGCCCGAGATCATAGCGCTCAAGAAAAAGTACAAGGCCTATTTGTACTTGGACGAGGCGCACAGCATCGGGGCGATGGGCAAGCACGGCAAGGGCGTCGTCGACTACTTCGACTGCGACCCCAAGGACGTCGACGTCCTGATGGGCACCTTCACCAAGAGCTTCGGCGGCGCCGGCGGCTACCTGGCCGGATCCAAGGCGAGCTCTTCCCCATCCTAAATTATGAAATATGTAATTTACAGTTGTTTGTAGGAATTCATAACGTTCATAAGGGAGCACAGTCACGCCTCGGGCCACGCTTGGGCGATGTCTCCGCCGGTGGCCGCCCAGATCATATCGGTGATTCGAATTATACTGGGCAAGGACGGCACCAACGAGGGCCAGCGGCGGATCGAAAACCTGGCGAGGAACACGCGCTATTTCAGGCTGAGATTGGAGCAAATGGGGCTGATCGTGCACGGCAACGAGGACTCGCCTGTGGTTCCCATTTTGGTCTACCTCTACTCGAAAATAGCGTAAGTCGCATCCAATTAAAGCGAATATACGGTGTTAATATCGCGAATTTTAGCGTGGTGGTGCGGACTCTAATCCAGGAGAAGATAGCCACGGTCGGGGTGGGTTATCCAGCCACGCCGCTAACCGAGAGCCGGATAAGGATTTGCCTGTCGGCCGGCCACACTAAGGAGCAACTCGACTACGCGTTGGAGGTTATTGAGAAGGTCGCCGATCACGCGGGGCTCAAATACTCGCGTCGACCGCGCGATCCCAATCCTATAGATTACAGCAAAATCAAAGTTTACGTAGAGTAGTGCTTGTTTTGAAAGCGAACCCTTGGCATTCCAGTAGCGAATTACAATTTTCTGGAAGTTAACAATTCAACGTGTCCATTGGAATGCGAAGGGACGTTGCGAGATGATGAGAGAGTGATGGAAAGATGATTGAAAACGTACCTAATCATTAGTTTTTGGATTATAAAAATATATTATTTATTGGATTTTATTTTTTTATATTGCGTTAGATTACTTTTTCCACCACTCTCTTATTTTTTTACGGTAACTTTATTACAATGTACAGCTTGCTGAGACACCAGCTTAGGTAATGTTTTTATAAATTTTATAAAAACGCTAAGTTCGATAATAAGTACTTTTTGAGAATACTATTTTTCCGTTTATTTAATACCTGTATTCGAAAGTAAATCATTTATTTATTTGAAGTATTAGATCTCAGTGTTGTTGATATTGAACAATCGCCTTATACCAAATGTATTAAGCGTTGGTAAAGATTATCGAAAAAAAAAAAATGTACAAATCTTTTTCGGAAATCGCCCGCGCCCGTACATTTCGACATATCTTGTAAAATAAAATCCGTTTCGCTATTAAAACTTAAGTACTAACGCGCCGTAGATAGGCCGGTACGAATTTCGGGATCCAATCGATTAGTACAAAAAGAAAATCAAAAATATATATCGAGATGTTCGTACGAGTTATGTAAGAGTAAATGACGTTGCTTTTTTTGGAATACACCAATGTTAAGGATGCGTAGATTGTTTTTCATCTGTAAAGCTATGTAACGTGTATAGTATTTTTGTTTCTGTCCAATTTTAATACTTGCATTGCAAAATAAACTAAAAATTGTTTCAAGGTTTTTTATTTACCCCGTTTTTGCCTTTTAGATTACCCACAAAAAAATCGCCGAAATAAAACAGCACCGACTAAATAGCTTACGTTAGTAAAAAAACCATATAGATAATAGTTTTACAATTATAATAAAAAACCACCAATTACATATATTCATGATAATTATCAAATTAAACAAATGTTATAAATACATCGTAACTAGTCGAGTTTATAACAAGCGCAAATATATTTTATCTATAAATATCAAGTTCAAGCAGACTGAAAAACAGCCTATTTCATAAATAACTTCTATATTTGCCAATTTCACTGCGGTGCTAATTATCTTGTTAATACAATCTCCAAAATGGTTATCCAATCGGAAGACATTAAAAGATGGATCGACGAAATAATGCAGAAGAAAAATATAAATAACTACCAACTAGAAGTGGCCGAATCGAACTCGAAGGATGGTTACAGTGCATCCATGAAGTTTATCAGAGTAACCGCTAAAGAAGGAATTGTCTTCGATATGATCGTTAAAGCCGGTAATGACGACGATAAGTTGAGAGAAAAGTGCACTATGGAAGACATGTATCTCAGGTATTTTAATTTAATTGCACTTAATATCTTGTACACGATTATTTTGCAGAGAAATTCTCGTCTATTCGGAGGTATTTCCAGCCATAGAAGACTTCCAGCGAGAGTACAACATCAAAAACCGTTTCAAACACTACCCCGAACTCTACAACATTTGCAAAGAGTACAAAAAAGAAGTGTTGGTGTTGCAAAATGTGAAAACTCTAGGTTACCAATTACACGAAAAGACCAAATTGCATAATTTAGATCACATTCTATACGTGTTACGCACGTACGCCAAATGGCACGGAGCCAGTCTTGCACTAAAGACAAAAAAACCGGAATTATTCCACAATTTAACCAAAGAAATGACCGATCTGATGCGCACCATTCTGATCGATTCTAAAATGATTGAAAGCTTTGGCGATTATTTCACCAAAGCTTTAGATCTGCTGAAACGAAACGGTAGAGAAGAAGTAGCCAAGAAAATTGAAGAATATTGCGATTTAGAAAAAATTTTAACAAAATTGACTCTTTCAACTGATAAAGATGCCGAAAAGGAAGCCGTTATTTTGCACGGAGATTGCTGGAATAATAATATAATGTTTAAATACGAAGTAAGTAACATTGCTTAGTGATTAATTTTGCTTTATATTTTGCTATTTATTATAAACTTTCCAGAGCAACGATTTATCGAAACCAATCGATATTGTGCTAATCGATTTCCAAGCATCCAGACTGGCCTCGCCAATTTTAGATCTATCTTACTACTTATACGCAGTTGCTGATAAATCTACTTTAGAAAAAATCGATTATCTGCTGGGAGAATACCACAAGGAGCTCGGGGATTACCTCAAGCAATACGAAATCGACGTGAATCGTATTCTCACGCTACAAAGATTGAAGGAGTCATGGAAAAAGTACGGTAGATACGGATTGGTTCTCACTCCGTTTATCACGCGCGTGGAACTTTGCGGAGACGATGAAAGAATCGATTTCATGGATAAAATAGGAGATGGAAGCATAACGGATTCGGCTAGCAACATCTCGAAGCAAGAAGAATACGACAGGAGAGTCTTGAATGTTTTCGTTCATTTCTACGAAAAGTTTTTAGCATAGAAAAATAAATATATTTATCAAAACTAATTAGCGGTTTCATTAACGGAGAATGAGTTGAGAATAATATACACACATATTTGTTTGATATTTCGAAAGCGTTCATAAATTGGAGCACTTTAAAAAAAACTGCATAAATAAACGATCTGTCATAAATCAACATAATTATTTTATAATTAGAGTAATTTATTATATTAGATAAAAATTTATACTAGATTACTTCATTAGACATTGACCTTAAATAATTTCATCTACTGGAAAAATGCAATAAATACCCTGCGGATTGAATTTCAATTCCAATTTAGAAAAGTGCCGGCAATTGATCAATTTTCCAGTTTATTCGTGCGGATACTTCACAATTTATTATTGCAATATCGAAACAAAATCAACCAGTTTGAAGCGTTCTTACATAAAGTAAAACTTAAACTTAGATTATCTACACAAAATTGGTTAGAACATAAATAGAGTGAAGTCCAATTAAAGTAAGTTAAAAAACATAATTACCTAAGCGTAAAATAAATATGAATTTATATAGGCATTGTGCTACAGATTTCTATCGTTTTATTAAGTTTATTTAATCGTTATGTCACTAATTTAATATTGTTTTTTTGCATTAGTTTGAATTATCTAATTGTTTTTCTAGGATAACGATTAATTCTAAATATACCTGATATCTCAAGAGGTGTAATTAAAAATTTTAAGGACCCGGTATTTTCTCGCTGCCGCATTTCCAATCCCACAGCAAAATAATTAGCAAAGTCATGTTTCCCCGCATCACGTTGATAAGTGATAATACTCAAACAACAGAACTTATCTCCATATAAATACGAATTACTTAACCTAACAGTATCAAACACTTAACTAATACATTTTATATAAAACAGAGTCATTTCTCGTTTCATAATTTTTCGCTAACGACAGTTTCATCCAGCGACAATGGACAGCAGAGCGAACGAAATCCAGAAATGGATGAAGGAAATAATGGCGAGCAAGGGCATCAGTAATTACAAAGTACAACTGGCCGATACGACTGCCAAAGGCGACGGTTACGTAGGCGACATAATCTTCCTGAAAGTAACCGCCGATGGAGGAAGCGACAATGAAAAAGTATACGACATGGTAATAAAAACCGCGAAAGAAGACGATAAATTAAGAGAAGCCTGTCCAATCGGCGACGCTTACCTCAGGTAAGTTCCAACAAACGAACTATTTCTAAGGCTTTAAATCATATTCGCAATAATTCCGCAGAGAAATAACCGTCTACAAAGAAATTTTCCCGGTGTTGGAAGCCTTCCAAGAGGAGTACGCCGTAAAAAAACGCTTCTCGCACTACGCCAAAGTCTACAAATCCATTACCGAAGACAAAAAAGAAACGCTAATAATGCAGAACATGAAGAGCTTGGGATTCGAGTTGCACGACAGGACCGTACCGCAGAACACGGACCACCTGTTGTTCGTCTATCGCACGTACGCGAAACTGCACGGGGCCAGTTTGGCCCTGAAGGCCAAAAAGCCCGAGGTATTCAGGCAACTGTCGGCGATAATGCAGGACGCCTTCACCGCCTTCTTCACCGAATCCCAACTGCTGCGATCCATCCAATTGAGCCACGTGAACGCGCTGAAGTTGCTCAGAAAGAACGGATTGGAGCACATGGCGCGGAAAATCGAACAGGCCACCGGTAGCATGGAGGAAATGATTAAATCGATGAGCGTTCTAAACGGTAAAGACGACGAAAAAGAAGGGGTGATCGTGCACGGAGATTGTTGGAATAGCAACATGATGTTCAAATACAAAGTAAATTTATCTACTTCTAGTACACTCTTCAATTTTTTTATATTTCGATTTATCGTAGGACGGAGACAAATCGCGACCAATCGACATCATCTACCTCGATTTCCAGCTATCCAGGGTAACTACTCCCATAGTAGATTTGTCTTACTATCTTTACTCGGTGGCTGATAAACCAGATTTGGATCGCATAGATTATTTGTTCGAGGAATACCACAAGGAACTGACCGAATATCTCAGACAATACGGCTTAAATGCAGACGATTTCTACACGTTGGAACGATTGAAGACGTCTTGGAGGACATACGGATTATTCGGTTTGGGTTTGGGGACGTTCCTCACCAGAGTGCAGCTCTGCAAAGATGACGAAGTGATGGATCTCACTGGATCGATAGCCGATGGAAGCATGATCGTCGACGAGTTTCCCGATATAGAGAAACAGGAGGAGTGCGACAGAAGAGTGCTGAATCTTCACAAGCATTTTTACGAGAGGTTTTTAATGTAATTAGTCGGTAAATAAACGTAATCTAATCCCATTGTTGGTTTTAATGAAAAACACGCGATCCGTTTTAAATCAGACTGAAATCGGCAATTTCTAACTACAACAATAAAATGTAATTATTTATAAGTAGAAATAATTTCTGTACAAACGGTCGTAATTCTGCTAAACGTTGAAAATGATAACTAATTCTTGTATTATTAACCAGATACTTAAACCACAGAAAACTTTCCTACGTAATAAACTAGATACTGTAAAAATAACTAATAAGTGAATAACTATTTATTTTGCACTTATAGAAACATGGTACTCGTAACAATAATTAACTTTAATCATTATATTTACACGCTAGCTTTTAAAACTGGATTTACTTTACAAATATTAGAGAGTTATTATACAACGTGCTTCAAAAATATTTTCTATTAAATTTTAGTAAATTTAGAGTAAATTTGGGATGAATATTCGCTGTATTTAATACTTATATTAATATATTATTATACCCTTTAATATTTATATCCTTGATATTATAGTCTTACTATTTTTTTTGCTTTCGAGTACTCACCTTGTATTCCGTTTCTGACCAATTTTAATGGCACAGTGCACGTAGAGAACAATTCAAAAAAAACGTTCGTGATTGCAATTGATGTATACAAATTATGTAACGAATCACTAAAATTAAACGGAGAGCTCCTCCAATTACCGATAATTATTATTTTGGGTACCATATATTTTGCAAGAATGGAATTACTTGGACAGGGAATTATAAATAATAAAGCACGTCTGTGCTTCTGATGTTTTCAGTCGAATCTTTGCCACTGGTGTAATTGAAATCGCATATTAAAATGAGCAGCTTAACCGACCAAGACATACAAAAATGGGTGGACGAGATCATGGCGAAAAAGGGCATCAACAATTACAAATTGGATATAGCCAATTCATCGGCCAAAGGCGAGGGTTATTTAGGCGAAATCAGTTTCGTTAAAGTAACCACAGACGAGGGCAGAAACGATGAGAAAGTCTACGATATGGTAGTGAAATCAGCCAAAGAAAACGATAAACTAAGAGAATCCTGTCCCATTGCTGAGACTTACCTTAGGTAGGTAAAAATTTCTAACTCAATAAACATTTAATCTCGATTTCATCACAGGGAAATTCAAGTCTACGCAGAGTTATTCCCGATTATCGAGGCCCTACAAAAAGAATACTGCATCAAAAACGCCTTCACCCACTACCCGAAGCTCTACAAAGTCAACAAAGAGGACAAAAAGGAAACCCTGATACTGCAGAACATCAAGAGCTTGGGCTACGAGCTCCACGAGCGATCCAAACCCCAAAACTTCGAGCACATTTTGTTCGTTTTTCGCACCTACGCCAAATTCCACGGCGCCAGTTTGGCGCTGAAGGCCAAAAAGCCGCATATATTCGAAAAACTCGCCAGCAAAATGAGCGACATCATGGCCGAGTTTCTCATCCAGTCCCAGATGATCCCGAACTTCCAGAAACACCACCAGAAGAGCATCGAATTGCTGAGGAAAGCCGGCAGGAGAGACCTCGCTGAGAAGATGGAAGAAGAAGCCAAAGATTTAAAGGAAATACTCACTACAATGACTCTACCGAACGACCGAGAAGCTGAGGCTGAAGCTGTATTTTTGCACGGAGATTGCTGGAACAACAACATGATGTTCAAGTATAAAGTAGGTACTATCAAACAGCTATCAAACAGCAGGTATGCTATAACTTTTTCTCTTTACAGGACAACGATACATCAAGACCATCCGACATAGTTTTCTTGGACTTCCAGTTAACCAGAGTAGCTTCACCGATACTCGATTTGTCTTACTACATCTACGCAGTGGCGGATAAACCGGCGTTGGACAACATCGATTACTTCCTGGAGGAGTACCACAGGGAATTGGGGGATTATTTGAGGCAATATAAAATTAACGTGGAGGATATGTTGACTTTGCGCAGGCTGAAGGCTTCCTGGAGGAAGTACGGGAGGTACGGCTTGGGGATGACTCCGTTCATCCTGCGAGTGGAGCTGTGCAAAGAGGACGAGGTCATCGATTTTACGGATAAAATCGCGGACGGGAGCATACAGGACGAGGAGATAGGCGAGATTCAGAAGCAGGACGAATACAATAGGAGGATTTTGAACATTTATAGGCATTTTAGTGAGAAATTTTTATCATAATTTCGAGCACTTTGTCTCGGAGAAAAAATTAGGCAAATATTTTTGGAGATGAATATCATAATTTAAAATTCGATAGGTGGTTATTATTTTTTTCATGTTAATGATATGTGTTGATTGATTTAGAATATACGTTTCGTTTTTATTATACAAGCAACAGGGATTTAATTTACCTGTTGTTTGATAGATAGTTCATTAAAATTAATAGTACTAAAATTAGAGGTTGTCAATATTGTGGGGTTTAATTATCGAACAGGAAAATCGCAATTAGTTCTCGAACCATCAAATAATATTTATATGTAGGTACTCGTAATTACAATTAAAACAGTAGATTGATACATTCCTAGTCGAGCTATTAGAATAATTATTATCAATAATACATAAGATATTTAACTTAAAAAATTTCCATCAGTCTACAGAGTGAACTGATAGCATTCATTATAGTTTAAATAATGTAAATAAGTGTGGCTCACGCTGTAATAAACTTAATTATATCTAAACACTAGACATTTGTTTTTAATATAAAAGGTTACTTCATTTATCATTTTATCCAGATAACATTATCGATAGCAAAAACAGCGCATTTGCGATTATTTCAACATAATTAGTCGAGGAAAAACAGTACCCTTTTGTGGAAAAACCGTCCCTCGCGAAAATGGTAATCCAATCGGAAGACATTGAAAGATGGATAGGCGAAATAATGAAGAGGAAAGGCATCGATAATTACGAATTAGAAGTGACCGAATCAAACTCGAAGGGTGATGGTTACAGTGGTCAAATGAGGTTTGTGAAAGTGGTCACCAAAGAAGGGAAAAACAACAGCGTTGTCTACGAATTAGTCCTGAAAGCAGGGAGAGAAAGTGAAAAATTAAGGGAAGTTTGTCCAATGGAAGATGTTTATCTCAGGTAATTACAACGCTTATTGATTCTAGCAATTAGAAACAATATGATATAATTTCTTTTAGGGAAATTCATATGTATACAGAAGTGTTTCCTGCAGTAGAAAAACTCCAGCGAGAATTTAACATTAAAACAAGCTACAAACATTACCCTAAACTTTTCAATTTCTGCAAAGAGGATAAAAAGGAGACGTTAATATTCCAAAATATGAAACAAATTGGCTACGAAGTGCACGAAAGAAAGCAAATGCAGAATTTAGAACATGTTCTTTTCGTGTTTCGAACGTACGCCAAATGGCACGGAGCTAGCCTAGCGTTAAAGATAAAAAAACCGGAATTATTCCACGATTTAACCAAAGGAATGACCGATCTTATGGGCGACCTTCTGATCGAATCTAAAATGATTGATAGCATTGGCGATTATTTCACCAAAGCTTTGAATCTACTGAAACGCAACGGTAGAGAAGAAGTAGCCAAGAAAATTGAAGAAAATTGCGATGTAGAAAAAATTGTAACAAAATTGACTCTTTCAACTGATAAAGATGCCGAAAAGGAAGCCGTTATATTGCACGGGGATTGCTGGAATAATAACATGATGTTTAAATATGAAGTAAGTAGTATTGCATTATAGTGATTAATTCTTTTTAACCAAAACATTGCAATAGTTCTTTCGAAATCAAATACTAAATTTCCAGAACAACGATTTATCGAAACCGATCGATATGGTGCTAATCGATTTCCAAATATCCAGACTGGCCTCGCCAATTTTGGATCTATCTTACTACTTATACGCGGTTGCTGATAAATCTACTTTAGAAAAAATCGATTATCTGCTGGGAGAATACCACAAGGAGCTCGGGGATTACCTCAAGCAATACGAAATCGACGTGAATCGTATTCTCACGCTGCAAAGATTGAAGGAGTCATGGAAAAAGTACGGTAGATACGGATTGGTTATCACTCCGTTTATCACGCGCGTGGAACTTTGCGGAGACGATGAAATAATCGATTTCATGGATAAAATCGAAGACGGCAGCATAAACGATTCGGCTAGCAACATCTCGAAGCAAGAAGAATACGACAGGAGAGTCTTGAATGTTTTCGTTCATTTCTGCGATACATTTTTAGCATAATTGCGACATAAATATTCTCTCCACACCCGATCCGTGTGTGTTTTTTTCTTCGAAAACAGATAATTCGCTAATTAATAATTAAGATTTAAGAATCGAGCATCATGTGGGAGTATGGTCGGGATTGAAACTTGTTTATTAAATTACGATTTTAAAAAAATCAACACCCGATAACGATATGAATTAACGACTAACCCTGTTAAAAACACACTAACCTTTGGGGTCAACTGATACATCGCATGTCGAAAACATTATTTCCATGTTTGTGTGTTATTCTTCTAGTTTCGACAATTTCGTGGAGCCTTCTCTTACTCGAGAATTAACACTCCTCAAAGGATAATTATTTTGCTAATTGCTCGCCCGTTTTTTCGGTGATTAGTGCGCTTTTTTAAGCCAGTTCGAGTAGATTTATCTTCCGAGTTAAATTTTTATTTATTTATCTCTTGGGATTGGACTAGAGTTTAATTTTGTGAGTATGCGCCGGCCAGAAGAAGGTAAGTGCTTATTAAATATTAAAGTAGCAATAATTTGATAAAACATTTTGCAAAAATGGACGTGAAATGCGGTATACTTCGATACGAAAGAGGCTTATAAGCAATTGCTCTCGCCATTAAATATTCATTTTCTAATAGACCTTCGCTTGAAGCTTGCATATTCCGCGGATATTCCGTTTCTGCCCCCCAGGAGAAATGCTAAACCGAAAAGAACCCTGTATGTAGGCAGTTATGCTAATCGTAGTACGCATATTTTTACTACCAAATATTTTTTTAGGAAATTTAGTTCACAATTTGAATTTAAAATATCCCGGAGATATATTTAACTTATTGTTATTGAAATTTAGCGCTGTACTACGGAAAATAAACGGAGACAATGGGACCTGACACCTGTTTTTACCTGGAATTCGCAATTCGAGTAAACAAGGCGCATTTCTCGCGTCTTTAGCTTGAATAGTCGTAGATTCGCCGCGGGGCGATGAAATAAGGATTCCGAATGGAAGCGGAAAAGTAGCAGGAATTAAAAGTCGATGATTATGCTCACCGTAATGGGAGTGAAAAGCTTGCTATGAATAATTTTATAAAAAAGTAAGTCGCGTTGAGTGCTACTTATTGTCGTTGATTAGGTACATTAAAAATTTGTAATCTTGTTGAATATTTTATTTCGCATTTCAGCGACGATTTTTATAATTCATGAGGTCGTTGAATGGCTAGTAGACAATATTTTCCCTATAAAATAATAGAGCATTTAAAAAACCCCTCGTTATTATATTCCTGCTCTAAGGTAATTCGACACTTTAATGGGCACTAAGCTTATTAAAAAGAAAAACTCGATTCTGGCTCGAACACAATAATCCACAAAGAAAACTCGGGAATATGAAATAAGTAAAAAATTTACAAGAGTTTTAAAGGGTGTTTTTTTTTTACAAAAGGAAAAACGCGCAGTCGGCGCTAAAGTTGCGACCGACGGCGTCGCGCGTCGGGACGCTTTTCGGCGTCTGTTTTCAGCCCGTCCCCGTCTGAATTTCTGAGCGCTATTTCGCGTCTGCTACTTGTTTGATTCGAACGTGCGAATATTTTACGCCGTTTTCGATTCGCGCCGATTTTTTTTGCGATAAAACTCGTGAAGAAGTATAACAAGTGCAATCATTCCACAGAAATAAATTTTACCATGTGATTTTTTAACGGGAAAATGGTGAGTTTCATACACAAATAATGTTGTATTCTTCTGTGTTGGATAAATTTGTATCTATAATATTTTTATGATGATTGCTGTATCATCGATTGCGTAAAATAATCTACAGGGTGCGTCTCGAAAGTTTGCCTTGTTTTACAAAATTTCATTCTAGTTGTATAAAATTCGTGTAAAAGTACGCGTGTGAACGATAAAATAACTTTAAATAGATTTCCTGAAATATACGCTAAGTGTCCCGATAACCGTGGGTCGTCATTAATTGAACATCAATAAATAAAGGCATACAGGGATTCGATTAAATTAGGTAATCGATATTTTTTGCGCTGAAAGGATAAGGTTAAATCGATTTGCAGTGTTTTCATCGATGTTAAAATTAAACAGTACGATCGAGTTCAATGTTGCAGGAAGCAGCAGGAATTAACGAGTATTTTATTTTTTTGCTTTTAACGTTTGAAGTTTCATTGCCTAGGCTAAGTTACACAGAGGTTTGCTGTATTTATTTTGCAATTCATGAAACTCAACTCGGTCAACTGATGTATTGATTTGTGACCGAAAATGAGAAAAATACAGAGAAAAAGAATAAAATAAAATTAATTAAAAAACTAGTTAGGAAGGTACATTTCTACCCGATTCTTTATTAGGTTTTTAGTAATTTATATCTTAAAACCACATCAAACGTGCTATTTACAATTCCATGTGGATCTTGAACGAATGTGATTCCCTCATACTCAAATAGACATCGGGAGAAAGTAGAATTATTAAAAACGTATAATTTAATACGGCATATATTGCTTTGATATCCTTCTTTTTAATATCCCAAGCGAAAATAAAAAATCCGGTCCGATGAATTCGAAGAATATCGGCTCTTCTAATTCCTCAAAAACATTTCGAAATTATTTGGTTGCTCCGGCGAATTTTCTCAAAAACTTGTGCATACAGGTGGAAATGGAACACGTCCCTCTGACAATGAAAAATTGAATAGATTTCTAAAATTCCTTAAAGGTCCATTTCTTTCGAATTTCGAATGAAGCGCGGGGTCTTTTTACGTGCAGCGAATTGTGAATCACGCAAACAAACAAACCGTAAATTTTTCCAACACAAAACCGAAATCCAGATGTTGAATACAATCAATTTGATTTATATTTCCGAAATTTATACGAACTCTACGTAAATATGTACTGTCATAACGATTAGGAGAGTCAATAATAGTGCAGAAAAAACAATTAGAATTTATAAATTACCGTGCAAGACTAGCTTCAATTTGTTTTTGTAGTACTATATTTGATATTTTAATAATTAATAAATTCATCACATTAAGTTCCTCATACAGTTTTGTTTTCGTTGTTTGATAAAATAACAGTCATTAATATTATTATATACTGACTAGTTATGATTCGTAATTTAGGGTGTAATGGTTAAATTATTACCAGTAATTTTAGGTAAAAACAGGAATTATTAACATATATTTTATCCTATCGATCAGTAAATCACATTTGATTGATGATGTAAAAGAGCATAAAAAACTGTAGATAAACAAAATACTATATTGAATTATACCTTTAGATGCATTTTAATAAAATTTTACCGATGAAAAATGATACAAATACAAATCCATAATCCAATTTCCAGATTATATGTGCATAAAGTCTATTATATCATGCACTCGATTACTCGAAATTAAAAAACCCTTATACCAATAAATACAACAGTTTGATCAATGTGATTAATCTCGCAGCGGAGAATAATAAAGGCAACACGCTAGCTGGTGTGCTTCTACCCCATATTCTTAAAAAAAGAACATCAGAAAACCAATCGAATCGTCGAATGAAAGCTTTCATTAACCTCCGCATCACAGCGAATAAAAAGCTTGCTCCGCAGAAATTGCGTTGAAACAATTCCAAAGGGCAGACGCGCTTAATTAACACGACTCTAGTCGTGCATATAAAGCAGATATAAATGGTAGATGAATTTTTTACGCGGTTCTTATTAGATAAATTTAATCGTCCACTTACGTTTCGCGTGGAACGAACGTGGATAAACATTTCCTGTTCGCAATGCGATGTTCGAGAAGTGTAGATGAAATGACTTGGAAAAACTTTCTGTTGGGGTAATCCGGAAAGATATCGAATAAACTGAGTGGTTGACTTTGTTAGGAAATGGTGATTTTTGCACTGGATTATAATTAATTGAAACGAAATACTTTTTATATATTCCATTTTCCACATTCGAATTGGCGGAATTTGAGATAACAATGGGATAAAGTCTGTTGTTGTATCTCAGGATGAAAATAACGACCATTGTTTTACAAATATTTACTCTGTTTGTATTCGATAAGCGCGTAGATATATCATCTAATGGATATGTAATACCTTGACTGTTCGAATAATGCGCCCGAATTCCGTCGAAAATCAATGTCGATTATCGCTTATCCCTTTTATCTAATAGAAATTCGACGAGCGTCTGTATAGCGATGCCGATAGAAACAGGGAATAAATCGCGAACTTGGGAATAATTCCGCTTTGATATGGCACTGGCTTTCGTCAACGAAACTGCGAAATTACAACAACTATGATGAGAAAGCCTTTTTTTCAGATAAGCAAAATCCGATGTTCTTTATCGGATTTACGAGGTTTTTTTTGTTAATACACTAAACTAAACGTGGATCGTTTGGATTTTATTTTTTTTATCGAAAATTTGGCGGATCAATGAGCGTTCGCCAAAATAATATATCTTGATGGAATTCTGAAAATTTGCGATAGCTAAAAAGTAAATATTTCATCGACCAATAACCCTTTAACCGCCAGGTATTCAATTTATCGAGTTTTAATAATTAATAAACAGGGCGCCGGCGCGAATCGTAATGAAAATATTACTCACACGACATGCCCGTCTATATACCTACTGAAAAATCCATCACAAGTAATTGAAACGTCATTTTCATCTGTCCTTTCTCTCGGGAAACCCGAAATACGAAAATTTATACGGAACATTCGATTCTTGCCATTTTTCTGTTTTATCCTTGAGGAAAAGTCGTCGACACAAAAATTGCCAATTGTAAATTTTTTTAGTTTGACACATATTTTGGGACACTCTATATTAACAATCCATCCCTGAGGAATTTTAATTTGCTTGAAATTTGAAAATTGAGGGCGACCTTCCCCCTTAAGATATTCCGTATTAAAAACGGCACGAAAATCCGCTTATTATTATAATTTTTTTTGTGTACGAACGTATTTGGACTAAGATCATTTCGAAAATTTCCCTTTCTAATTCGCGCAATAAAACCAACCCGGCGAGGAAATTGGACAATTCAGCTTTATTTCAGCTTTGTATTCATCATTGTAATAATTCCACTCAGAGCATTCAAAGCATTCTCTAACCGTGTATGAAATATTTGCAACAAAATAGAGTTAAATATCAACAGTTTAAAGTGGTATGAATAATAGGTCCATTAGTAAGTAGGAATAAATAGGAATTATTAACACAACAATAGGTACAAATAATCGTTTAATTATCCATATTTTAATTACTTTTGAATTAGGAATGAATTTTAAGCGGATCGAATGGTAATTATACAGGCAAATTTAAAATTGAATAATTTAATCCATGAACCTGTCGAGAAGTAAAATTCCGGAGCGAAAACGAATTGTATGGGTGAAAACAACGAATTAGGAAACTCATTTTGCGAGACACTCACTATTCTTCACAGTTTCTTACGGAGAAAAAAATTCGAATAGAAAGGTCGAGTCGACTTAAAGAATAGATTTAATTTCAGCCATTCCTTCATTAAAACAGCGCGAATTGCAATCTACTAGCGAACAATCTATCATCAGCGGAAGATGCTTGAAGTTCAAGTAGGGAAGTTTATATTAAATCCTCGAGCATGGGCGTTTCTTAATAAAATTTTATGAAATCCTCTAAAACGGATTTTTTGAACAATTTTTAAGCTACTTTGGAGATTCTTCTAAAATTTATGAAAGCTTTTATAAAGTTTTTTTATTATTAAAATCATTTCACAATATGTAGTTGAATGTGTAAGTTGAATAATATTAGGCAAATCAAAGTAATCGAAGATGCATTCATTACCTGGAGAAATTGATCCCTTTAGCCCTTTTGCCGTTCAAACGGTTTTAATGTTTGAAGCCTCGTAAACTTTCCCCATTCAACACGTTCTGTGAACACATCTGTTACCCCTATTTACACTTCCCGCTCATCAATCAACATCCAGCGGAAAAGTAAATTAAATTAAAAAAAAGTACTAACGTTTTTTAATTGCACGATCCCCATTCACGAGACTTTTCGATTCGGTATTTCCTGCCAATTAGAGAGCGAAGTTGCCAAGCCAAACGGATGGAAAAAATTCACCCGATTATACAAGCAAACTCGCATCGATTACGAAACTACTCTTTTCAGAATTTCACCCGAAAACCGAGCAGCGATGAGAAGGAAAAAATAAACAAATAAAAGCACCGGTAACCGTCGCCGAGTTAATTACCAAATGGCAATATCGATCTGTAAGTACACAAAACTCCAGATATTCGCGACTTAATTTACCCGGCAAATTCCACTAAAAATTTACGAGACAACTAATAATAAATGAATGCTCTTTGAATATATACCAAACCGAAAATCCCTCATAAATAAACCTATATAGAAAATCTATACAATGTTTCAGGTGCAAGAGAATAGTATCTACTAAGTGAATCATTTCTACTGTTACTGAAGAATTATCAATTGAAGAAACCATGGATTCCGAAATGGACGAGCACGTGTTCGACCACAGGAATTTGGCCCATTGGTCGAAATCGGTGGGCACCAAAAACGAGACCGGCCTGCCGTTGAACATGCAGTTCAACGCCGGACACAGACTTTCCATAATCGTGTACAGTGTGCTGATGGTGTTCTCGGCCGTCGCCAATATTACTGTGTTAGTGTTGTTGTTGAAGAGACGCAAGAAGAACCCCACCAGGATCAACACCATGCTGGTGCATTTGTCTATAGCCGATCTTCTGGTAAGAGATTTTTTTACTGGAATTAAACGTTTTCCAATATTACCAATCAATTTTTTTCGACTGCGCAACAATCGCATAAGCCGCTTTGGGTGAAGAACCCCTCAGAGATTGATCGCTTAATTACGAAATTCCGCGTTGAAAAAACCATCAGCTAAATTCCAATATCCCTGGCCGGGTAAAAAAATCCTTTCTTATGAAATACAAGCCGGAAAATTCAAATTTAAAAGCCCGTTTAATCCCTCATCAATTAATCACAACCCGGCCTTTGCTCTTCTAATAAATGTGTCCGTTTCGCCGGAATAAAGGTAACCCCGAAAGTTTAATAGCGCGATATCCTCCGCTTTGAAAAGGGTCTGATTCCGGTCATAACTAGGTGTATGTCACGTGTGGAATTTGATAACTACACCGCGTTCCCTAAAGGGATTTAACAAGGCTTAGCACTTCATTCAAATTAATTGCGCTGTTAACACTACATTCGATGAATTTAGTCCAAAAAAAAGCGAACTGGTAATGGGAAATGCTTGTATAGACGCTAGAGCAAACTTTAGCGAGTGGAACTTTTCAAAGTGAGTCATTAAATAAATAATCTAGGCGGTGTTTTATGCGCGTTATTAACGTTCGGGGCTTTCTTTAAATCCCCCAATCGATGGATTTTTGAGCGAAATCGAGGGTCTTGTTTGTACAGCTTAATTAGTATCTAAAATTTTGAGGTTGCGATACGTTCCGCGAGCGCCTCAAATATTTATTCCCGTAATAAATCCTGGCGAATTCGGGCAACGCGCAATTTTTCACTCAACCGTTCCAACGAGCTTTATAAATCGCTCGTCTTGTCAAAGAAAAATATCGTTGTAAAAAAAAATTGTAAGTCCACATATCCGATATTTTAGAAGCTCGGAATTAACTTCAACTACGGCATTCGTTTCCTGCAAGTTGTAACTGTAGCTTATTTACAAGATCTCGAAAGACGAATGGGAAATGGAGCTTGCGACAATTTATCAAACCAGTAGTATTTCCAATTTCAGGTTACATTCCTCATGATGCCCATGGAGATCGCTTGGGCTTCGACGGTCCAATGGCTGGCTGGAGACGCCATGTGCAGGATAATGATGTTCTTCAGGACATTCGGTTTATATTTATCCAGTTTCATTCTCGTCTGCATCAGCGTAGACAGGTAATAGAGTTTATGCAGCTACTAGATATTAAATTATTTAATCCGGATAATTTGTTCGTTGCATTTCCATAGCAAACAGAACCGTTATGCACATACAAACATTGTGTTATCTTGAATTAGTTAATTAGAAATCCTATTCGAAATGCGGACCGCCCTGTGGAAGCGCATTAATGTCGTATTCACTTTATTTCCTTGCAGATTTTACGCTGTGCTGAAACCTCTCGACATGGGCGGTCAAAGGGAGAAAATCATGGTTCTCGGGGCTTGGATCGGGGCCAGCTTATGCAGCGCTCCGCAGGTAATATGTTTTATGCATTTATACACGAGATACGAGGGCGGGAGGGCGGCGAAACAATCATCCAATCACGCACCGCAAAAATTTCTTCGAAAGTTTTCCGCTCGATGAATACTTTACGAAGAAAACCAAATTTCCCGAAACTCGACCTCTGCATCTTTGAGGATGCTCGCTCGAACTTCCGAGAAACTCCGCGAAATTATCTCAAAGCCATTCTACAACCTACAACAATAGCTGAAAGCTATTAGGATCGCGGAAGCGAGACGAATTGCGAAAGTCTAATTCTGATTAATTATTGACAATTCCCGGTTACATTTCAGATGGTTATCTTCCACGTGGAGGTCCACCCGAACGTGACCTGGTACTATCAGTGCGTCACCTACAACGTTTTGCCGTCGGAAGCGCACGAATTGGCCTATGTCATAGGCGGTATGCTGATGATGTACGCCATACCTTTGCTCGTCATCATCTACTCCTACGCTTCGATACTACTGGAGATATTCAGAAGAACCAGGAACCCGACTAACGGTAAATTAACTTATTTTTATTAACTACCTGCAATTCGACCTGTAGCTTTGCTAGGGGGTTTTTGATGGTGTCGTTAAACTCGCATCGGACACCTGGTACTTATTTTTAAAGATATAATACATTTCTTAAGTGATAAAAGCTGCCTTAAGCGGGTGATCTATTTTTTTTCTCGTCGCCCGACATTAATCTTCTCTTTCGTTTTCTTTCGATAATCCCGCTGGGAGCGGTTCAAGCTGCGAGGGGTTTCCACGGGAGAATCGGCGAAAAATGTAAATTAACTGAGTTGACGGAGAATTTTAAATACTAATTACCGATCCCTGCAGACTGGATGTAGTGTAATGAAGTCGACTCGACTCGACTCTATTGTATTATACCAGAATTATAAAAAATGTGTGTTGTAGGATCAAAGCTATTGTGGATTTTGTTTGTTTAGAGACTCGCAGAGAGTTTTTATTTATTTATTTTCTGTTTCGTCCTATTTAGCCGATAGCGTGACTAGATCGAGCTTGCCGTTTCTGGGCAAAGCGAAAATACGGACTCTAAAGATGACCATTATCATAGTGTTTGTCTTCTTCATTTGCTGGACACCCTACCAAGTCATGAGCATCTGGTGAGTATACACTCAGTTTTAATTAAATTTCAAAGTTTTATACTCCAACTAACATTATAGCGTATTTACAGGGTGAGTAAAATTAATTAGACATATACCGGTTGTCCTAATCTTGAGAAATAATATAACTATAAGTAAATATAAATATAATAAGTTATAACAACTTTAATGGGACATCCTATGTTCAAAACATTTTTGAAATCTACGTAAAATTTTAGGGTACCTTTATCCAAAATATATTCTTCCAGAAATGTATACTTTTTGGGTTATTAATTTTTTTTTTATAAAAAATAAGACCTTTTTAAATTATTTTTTACGAGGATATGCTGAAAGGATTGGAAACGGTTTTTGTAGAGCGGCTACTAGCAAGGTTAAAGGTATTTAAAACCTTTGTTGAAAAAAACCCTTAATTGTATACAGGGTGTGTATAAAATTGTACAAAGTTGAACATCCAAAAATATCAAATTCTTCATTTTTTTAATAGTTTCATTCCTTCTGCATTCTTCTTAAATAAATCGGTAGGTAGTTAACAAACAAACCAACTTTCTCGATCGACAATTAATATTAAATTATGGCAATTCCCTCCCGATATAGCGAGACTCATCCTGTATAATAATGCCTGTAATTCATACGATACAAAATCTCGAATAACGGCGAATTTGAAACAACATTTCCAATATGGTGAATCCCACTTGTTCTTTTTAATTAGCGAATACCCGAATGATGGGGGTAACCGTACGCTCGACCTTTTTCAAGCAAAAAGCGACCCCCTAATTCCTTGCCATGCGAATATATGTAAACTCTGAAGGGCTTAATGAAACAACCCCGCGATTCCAGTGTATTACATCCATTAGAAGGCGCTCCGAAAACTCGCGAATACGCCGTTAATCCTTACATCATAACAGGTTAAAGTGTCTGAAACGAGCTTCAAGCGCCCCGCGAAATATGTTTTATTGGCATAAAATCGGAGAAGCCCTTCAGAGTTCGACGGTATTAAAGCGACGGAAAATGCTCGCGGTAATTCACCTTTATTTTTGCCCGGAATAATGCCGAAAAAAAACCCGTTTCCATCGAAAATTCGAAATTACTTCCGAAAGTGTTTACGCGTGAAATGATTCTCGAATTCGTCAACATCGTTAACTTGGATACAGCGCCCCGAAAGATATTTAAAATGTTGAAAACGGATGGAAAAAGGGAGTGTGTGGGCTTGCCGTTTGAATACTGATTTGAATTTTTTCCCCAAACGGAGGGTCGTTGTTCTGCTAACTTCATGAAATAAAGGAAAAATATCGAATCGGCTTTGTGCATACTAATGCCTCTCACCCTGTATATTGATAGAATTTACACGTTTGCATATAAACTAAGTTAAAGTATCTATAAATTTCAATAGTGTTACATAAATATGCATGCACGTAGGTGTAGTGAAGTGGAATACAACTTTATTGATTTGAGTTGGAACTTCACAAACTTATTGTACTCCATTTTAAAGTTACTACCCAGCTATTCAATTTGCATGGGTTATTTTCTTCCTTTTCTGTATAAAATACTTATATCCAATTTTATCAAAATTCACATTTTGACGTTGACGTTTTAATTTAAATATTTAATATGACATTTGAGTGACGACAAAAACAGCCTTCCTATAAAATCCATTTAATAATTCACAGACAAAGATGAACTCAACACATTTAATACGCTACAAATAAGGATAGAAGTAAAATATCGCATTTCTTCATTTCTAAAACGCATTAAGGAGCTAGTTTTCCGATTTTTAATTTAACGTCGGATACAATGTAACCTCAATCAAGATTTTATTTCCGACATAATAAAGCGATGATTTTACAAAAGAACACAATAATTAACGCGTGCTTTAATTACGAGGATACACTGAGACGGGAAACTTCGTGTTAATTACATTCAAGGATGACGCGATCTAAGTTTGCGGTTGATTATGTAACATAAATCAGTAGTAAAGTATGTTTTAATCAGGACGAAGGTGAACCCTAATGCGATTACGGCGTTTCTCTAGCTAGTTTAATAAAATTATTTGTTGTCTTCCCGGATAATCTACGCGTAATCATTCAAATGCTAAGCCCAAAGCTCGCGTTACTTTTGTTTTAAACTCCCAATGAAAAAAAGGGACTGGTGGAATCTCGAGGATAATGGAGATGAATTGTGTAAAAGTACATCCTGGCCCGCAGGAGAAACGTTCCGGATTCGTAAACATCACCCTAGTTTCAACGTACAAATAAATATTTATTTGAGCACACGGTTAGTTGTGGAGTTAGCAGGAAACCGGAAATACAATCCCCATATTTGCAGCTAAGTTTATCAAATACCGAAGCAATCAGTAATTAAATTTCAATTAGAGTAATTATCCGCATAGAGCCGAGGCCTTGTTAACAGACGTTCCGGCTTTAATTAGACATAAAGGAATTTTCTCCGGTATCCTTTATTCTTCAGCTTTGTTTCCCGCTCGTTTATTTCCCTTTCATGCGGCGGTTTTCACCTAAGAAAAAGTCCCGAGTAATTGAATAAACGCCGATGCTTAGCTTTATTTACGTATCCGCTGCCGCTGTTATTCGTTTCGAATGAGAAGAAGAAAAAAAAACTTCCACGAATTCGCACCCCACGCGTCGATTAATAAGTCGAGTTAAACAATGAAAGGCTCTAGTCGGTTAAGGGCGAACATAACGAACCCTCAAGACATCCGCGCCTTGTTTGTGTCGCTTTCCCACGGGATTTTCACTGTTAACAAGCGTCCTTCAATTGGAATAACGATAAACATCTACATCAATCAGTTGATGCGATGCGGCCAGACAACCTTACAAAATCGATAGATAGTAAAAAGACGATGCGTATTTTATTAATCAACAAGTATGCAACGTATCTATTATTGCGTTGTTGAATTTCTTCCAAAGCGTGACGCTCCATTTTGTCAACATGTATTAATGAGTAGAGTGCACCGAGAACTAGGAAAAAACTGTCCTACTAGCCGGGAAGCTTCGGAGAATAAAACTGAAAAATTACCACATAAATCTTGATATACTTATACCCCGTAAGTGTACCGAGTTATTCCGCTTCGATTGTGTACGAGGAGATTTATTGCGCCTATGTGAAGGAGAGCATTTCTCCTCTTTGAATCGATACTTACGGAGTTAAGTGTGCAACCGAGGAAATGGTTTTTCTGTGCTAATATTTCGCCAGTTTTTGCCGTTTCGCCGGTTCGAAAGAACGCGCTATTCTCTTTCACAAAAGGCCGCTCGAAATTAAGAAGATTAAAATCCCAATAGGTTTACTTTCGAAACATTAACGAATTTATTTACTTTGTAGGTGGTACGAATTAAACGAAGGAAGTTTTAGCGAGACAAATAATTTTGTAGAAAACTTTCTTCGCCAATTAGCACGCATTGAAATCTACTTATGGAACTAACAAGTTATAGTCCATTCGCTGAAATTACGCGGGTTTTGGATTACAGTAGATAAATTGCAAATAAGCTACCAAATTTTACTTGGGTAAATATGAACTGGTCGAAATAATTGAAAATTAAATCGAAACCAATCCGCTTATATTTGAATAGCATAAATCATTGTTAATGCTACAAAGCCTTAAATTCAACTAAAATCAATAGGTATAATTTATTGTAGAAATGAATAAATATAATTTAAAAGTTAATCAACCTATTTAGTGCATTTGATCCGAAATTGACCATTTCAGTAAGTTCAATGAATAGACTATAGAACTTTTACAAAACCTATGGAGCTCAATAGAGCCAATTTTCCTTCATTACAACGAAACATCAACGATTTGTTAACGGCATTATAAAATAATTCTTGGAGAAACTACTCTACTATCATTAACTATAATCTTTTAATCCAAAAACCCGAATAAATTCAGTAAATGGACTATACAGTATGCACATCATTAAACATTAACAAAGCGAGCTTTTAAAGCACCCGAATAAATAATTATCCGCTCCAGGTATTGGTACGACAGGGCGTCGGCGCTGGAGGTGGACGAGCGCATCCAGAAGTTCCTGTTCCTGTTCGCCTGCACGAACTCCTGCATGAACCCGCTGGTCTACGGCATCTTCAACATTCGGACGCGCCGCAGGAGCAAGGTGAGATCTAGAACGTACACGAATAGCACGAACGCCAACGGCGCGACGCCGACGATCCAGTCGCGCACCGAGACGCGGCTCTCGATCAAAAGTTGCCATTGAATCCGGAGCTCGAATGTTTAATTTTTTTTTCTCTATAAGTGGCGACTGATGTAATTATTTCTGTTGCGAGTAGGTATGGTGAAAGAGTGATGTTTCTAGAGGGTGTATTGATATGCCTGGTTAAATCTCGACAACACACTGTTATATTTTAATCCGAGATTTGCCCGGGGTAGATCTCTAGATTTTTGTGGTTACTGACTTATTAGAGCTGATAAAATAGAAATTTTCACTGTTACCTACAATTTTTGAGTCTATAGGTGGTAGATATTTATAAATGGAATCTTAGATTTGTAGAATACTCGTAGATGTACGTGTTGCAATGCTTTTTACTTTTTATGTTTCTTATTTGAATTAAATGTATATGTTCTGTAATTATTTTTTAATGGTATCAATAGCATTTCTTTTTAAGTAAACCGCTTTGTAAATACCCGTTGTGTTAAATAGATATCGAGTGTGGTATGTAAATAAATTGTTTTCAGTTCATTGCGTTAGAACGCCAATGAACGGCTTGTTTTTATTTTGTTTTAGTGCAATTATTTGTACATTTGTATAATTTTTTTTTAATAAACATTTCATTCGATTCGTTCGTGCTTTGATTGCTCGCCGTTTAGATGTACACCCCACAAGCTTTTCGTTTAATTTGCGCAGCAATTCCATTTTCCTCGCTTATTCATTTTAAGTAGCCATTTCCACTTTTGTAAAAATCCCCCGTGTTCGTGCATTATTCATCGGAGCCGCCTCGACGAATGCAAATATCCCCTTCGCCCACGAACCGAAACAAAACAAAACACACCTCCACTTTGATTCGGAAAGATTCCTCTTCATTTGATATTCGAATTTTCCAACACTCGCCTTCACGATTCATCCCACTTTTACCCCGTTATTTATACTTTCCCCCCAAGTTATGCAACCCTAAAAACATGTCACACATGTTTACACTACTTCTGGAAATTCCAAGAGAGGAAATTCGATATAAATAAAGGAGGTGTCAAAGTGAATTATGGGAAACATTCCAAAACAAACTTATTAGCAGGATAAATAGCCCAAGACAAGACAACCAAAAGACAAAATGACCCAAGACAAGACAGCCCAAATACAAGATAACCCAAAGACAAAACCGCCTAAGTCAAAATAGTCCAAATCACCCAATAATTTATAGTACCCCGTCAAAATAGCCCATGACAAGATAACCCAAAGACAAAACCGCCTAAGTCAAAATAGTCCAAATCACCCAATAATTTATAGTACCCCGTCAAAATAGCCCAAGACAAGACAACCCAAAGACAAAATGACCCAAGACAAGACAGCCCAAATACAAGATAACACAAAGACAAAACCGCTCGAGAAGGAGCTCGCTAAGAGAGTGCCTGGTGTTGTTTCAGTTCCAGTCGATGATGTCGGGCGAAGAGCCGAGCGTCCGGGGCCGCGGCGAGTTCGTGTGCTTCGTGTCGTGGAAGAAGCCCAACGCGACGGTGTCCCACCATCGGGAGATCTGCCTCAGCTGCGGCGAGACCTTCGAGATTCCCTGCCAGAACGGCAAGTGACGTCGAAGGGGCTCGTGCAAATGCGGCCGGGACGCCAGGAACAGTTTATCGGCGAACGAGGGAAGGCGAGCGAAGGAACGGGCGACGTAGCGGTCGCAGTAAACCCGGGGAACGCGGGCCGGTCTTGCAATTGATGTAAATTTGTGCGAAAATAAAGTAAATCGTAGTTGTAGAGCTTGTTTGTACGAGAGAATTAACGTTACGGAAAAGTTTCTTTCCTGATACAAACGGCGAATCTAACGGAAAAAGTTTTACAGGAATTATAAGAGAGTAGGCATCTGAATCGTTGTATTTACATAGTGTAACTCTTCAGTAAATTATATTAATTACAAATACAATGGTTTTCTAAATATATCATGGTCAACAATAACAAATACCCGCGCATTTGCTGTATAATAATACTCCGTTAATGAAGATATAAAGATAATAATCGGACCTAATTCCAACGATAAACTAATCAAATATTCCATATGAATTAATCATAAAACGAACCTACAGGAATGATCTGATAAACTATAATCGATTACGAAAATAATAAAAAAGTACGCGCTAAACTATATACACAAATAGATGAAACTTACAAGCACTACCAAAACGAATCCGAGAAACGTTAAAAAATAATTCTAATTCGATATTCTATTTAGCTTCGACCTTCTTCGAATCGCTTTTATCGTCGTCGGCCAGAGAGAGCAACGATAGACCTTTGTAAGCCTCCCTGTCGCTATCCGGCGACTCCATTCTCAATTCCAAGTGAGCTAAAGTATTGCTAAAATGCTTCGCCACCTGCGCTTCTTCGTCGGATTTCTCCAAATTCGCCAATTCGCTTCTTATCTTAGCAATCAGCTGGTTCAACACGTCAACATCGACCTAAAAAAGAAATCGATCATCACCATCAATTATTCCAACCACGGCCGTATATTTCTAAGGCCTAAAGTTATTTGAAGAGTTTTTGAGCTTCACTTTTGCGCCGCGCCGTGGCGAACGATCGGAGGACCAATTTATTTTAGCCAATCAGCGTCGCGCTACGTATAAATCGCGATTGTGAGATGACAGTTCGAGCTGTCAAAACTTCAAAAATTATTTTTTTGACATTTCGAGGAGAAAATGGCGAAATACATTAACCGAAGATACGCGAGGCATGGCGTCAACAACAAAATCATCGCTGATTTAAGTATATTTTTATAATTTGTATATATTTTTAGTTTAAATAAAACCTTTTTTAATGCTAATTCTATATAATTCGTACGCAAAAATCATGATCCTTAACTTATAATATAACGGGACACTTTTTCGACCTATGGTTTCAGAATTAGAAATATACAACCGTGATTCCAACGAACCCACCGTACTTACTTGATCGTTGCCTTTCTCGAAGAAGTATACATAGTGGTTCAACAATTCCACGAACAATTGCACTTGAACGCACACGTCCATGCATTGTTTGGCCGTTCGAATACCTCTCTTCAAGCATTCCACGACTTTTTTACCGTCGCGCGCTTCCTCGCCGTTATTGGCCAGACTCCGGCCGCTCCAGAACAGATGCGAACAGGTGGCGACGCCTCTGCATTGATCCGGTTTCTTGAGCAGCTTACTGGCCGCCAGGGCGCACTGCGATCGCAACGGATCGGAGTTCTCCTCCGAGAAGCAGCTGATCTGTTCCAAAGTACCTGCAATCGATGAGGATATTCAGTAGGGATTTATTATTTATTTGTCGAGCGATGACTTACCTACGATGAGCGTAATGGCGGCCAGTTGAGCCTTGGAATCGGATATTTCGTCTTCGTACAACGAAAACGCCTGCGACATGAACTCGTAGGCTACCGTCTCGTGGTTCTCGAAGCCGATTTGGTCGATGGCCAGGGCGCCTTGCAGGAACAGACGGAGCGGCAGCTCGGCCAGCTCGGCCTTCACCAAGGCCGTTATGGTTTGGTGGCAGAACTGGAAGATTTTCGTGCATTTCTTCTCCCACTTTTCGTCCTTCAGCTCCTTGTATTTGAAGGCCAGTTGGTAGGCTTGGAATACCAGCGGCGGTAGGGTGTATTTTATTCTTAACGGTCCACCGGTGCTCAGAATCTGCAATTTATTTAACCGATTAATCTACTCGTATAATCGATTTTAATGTACCTTTCGAGCAGCTGTTAGTATGAGGAATTGGTCATCGGGAACGGTAGATTTCATCTGGTGTATAAATCTAGCTAATAAGCACTGCTCTTCGGTTAACTCTTCCATATCGATATCCCCGACGGGATGGTCGTTTTTATCGTCTGACACTAGAGTGCTTAGAAGAGTAAAAGCTTGTTCGGCCTCTTCCGCGGTAGGTATTACAGTTTCGTTTTCTAAGGCGTTATTCAAAATGTAAATGCTCAGAGATTTCCTGCCGAAATAGTCGAGGTGCTGCATCAAACCGGCGTAATGCTTCAGCTTGAGCACTACCAACAGATTATTGTAGTTATCCAGAGGGATTTTGAGTAGTTTAAGTAGTTCTTTAGCTACCGAAGAGTGAGATTCTAGGTGTTCGATACCCAAACGCTGGAAAACCTGCAAACAAGTTCATTAATAATTAGAAATTAAGTAATCGGGTAGACTTACTTCGACGCTCGATAACATAACGTTATCAATATACTCAATTTTGTCCGGATAACATTTAAGAGCAAGGTTAATCAGAGCTACTTGCAGCGCGACCATATCTTCGGGAGGTAAGTATTGACGATTGGCAATAATAGAAGACACTTGGTTGGAGAACACTTCGAATAATTGAACTTCCTTCAGCATGCTGGTCTCTAAAACAATTTAAATTGCGTTATAAAACGCATCTTTTACAAAAAATGCTAAATACCTTGAGCTCCCATAGTATCAGATCTTTGACTGAAAGCTGCCAGCCTTTCCATCAAGCATATGACGATGTTCTTGACATTGACGCCAGCTTCGAGTTCAGCGCACGATTTCAGAAACGGATTCAACGTTTGTATGTGGAATTCATCGGGGAATACTTGAATGATACATTCCATTAGGTATTCCTGGGCGATCGCGTCCCTGCAGCTCACCACCTGCTCTAATATCCCCGGCAACACCGACTTCTGGTACTTATCCAAAGTAACCGACTCCAACTGGCTCAATCTCACTAAATTCGTCCCGACTAGTATTCTCAGTTCTTCGCGCTCCTTCTCCCTGTTGCGCCTGTCCCTCGAATGGCCCTGGTGTTGCATCCTCACCCACAGTTTATTCATCTCGGCGAAATTCATTAGCACGAAATCGATGGAATCTTTCACGGTGCCCTCGGGGCACTCGGCGTCCGTGTCGGGCGCGTCCGGCAGGACGTTTCTGGTGCATTGCAACAGGTAATTGCGCAGGAACAGTCCTCGAAGAGGGTGCTGTACGCCCCTGCACATTTCCACTAGATCTTTAAGGAGATTCCGACGCATCGCGGTGTCGGTTTTGATGTAAACCAGACCGACGGTGATTAGCAGATATAAACGCGGTACGATATTACCTGCGTACTGTACCAGCTCGTATAAATCTGGTACTTTACTGCCTTTCTGGAATTCGTCCACTAGGTACAATTCTAAGTGCCTCAGTTCGTCGGAAATCGCCATGTCTGGAAAAGGAAGCGCGTTAAGATGTCGCGAAAACATCGTAACATTTCGATGTACTTACAAAGTTCGTAATAACTTTTTGGCGATAGAAGAGATGTTCTCAATTCGGCCAGCATGGCGGAGGCGTTTTTCAAAGCGTCCATCAGCTTGTTCTTGTCCAAAGCTCTCTTCATTTGGAATGCCTGAGCTTTAACTATACCCAATGCGTCGTGCAAGTATTTGTCCTGCTCCTCCACGGGGGAGATTTGAGGCGGTGTGGTAGGCTTAAAATGCGATTCGTTAACGTATTTTCGATTGGAAATAAACGGATATTTACCATTTTGGGCGTTATCTAATTGTAAAAAAACACCAAATCATATACACCTACTACATGAACAAAATTAAATTTTGACAATAATGACAGTAATCAATCTGTCACTGTCATGCCAATGTCATGTCATTGATTTGACTCATTTGACATTAATGACATCTTCTTTTTTATCGTTCTTAAGAAATTTAGTGATCTGTACTTAATGATAATGCAGTGTAATTCAAATTTTGAAAAAATATTTTGAAATTTGAATTTAGTAGGTAAACTTAAATGAGAAAATTGGTTATTTAATTAAGCGAACAACAAGAAATCGAGTAAAAAAGTATTGTAATAGGAATATATTGTTTTAAAATAATTTGTTATGGAAAATCTCTCGGCTCACTTAAATTTTTGTAGTAATAAAATAAAAAAATTTCCTTATTGTCATGTCTTGTTTCAGGCATGCTGTCAGTTTTAAATAAGCAAAATTCGTAAGATGAATGAAACTGCTCATAAAGCATTTAATTTTATTTTGGCAATATTCGTAAATTACTCGCTGCATTTTATAACATACATCATCTTTTGTAAAGACGCCCAAAAATCCTGCGTGATATTTCCATGAAGCGCCGCCGCCATGAATAAATTCACGAACACCCCGAAGGAGATCGACCATTACGTCGAAATAATCAACAAGCAATTGTATTTCGCCGTGTTGAAGGAAAAGCAGATCATCAAGCTGAAGAACAACGCCACCACGTTGTTCTTTTGCATCGATCAAGAGCTGGTTTACGACAACTATTACAACGATTTCGGTCCTTTAAATGTCTCCTGCTTCTATAAGTACAGCTACAAATTGAAGAAGTACCTCCAGTTCGCCAACGGTACTAAAATTGTGGTGCATTACACGTGCGATGATCCGGAGAAGAAAGCCAACGCCGCTTGTTTGATGGGATGTTTCAGCGTGATGTACCTCAATTTCCATCCGAAGGAAATCTGGTGTATTTTGCAGGAATTGGGGCCTTATAAGTAAAACATCCAATGATTAATCGACTGTAATTATAATTGGTGTATCTTTTTAGAAACTATTCGGACGCTTCTCAACAAGTAAGCAGTTTCACGCTGAAAATAAAAGATTGCTTACAGGCTCTGCAGAAAGCGTTGATGTACAATTTCATAAATTTCGACGATTTCAACGTGGTCGAATACGATTTGTACAACAAACTGCAATACGGCGACATGAACTGGCTGATTCCGAGGAAATTCCTGGCCTTCATCGGCCCGGCGGAAAATTATTCCGCCCATCCTCCCGAATTCTATCTGAAATACTTCCTCAAAAACGACGTCAAGACCATCATTCGACTGAACAATCCACTGTACAACTCCCAAGTGTCAGTACAACCGAAATTTATCACGAAAACACCATCAATTTCTTTAATATGTGTACTTATAGGTTCACCCAGCTCGGCATTCAGCATTTCGATTTGATATTCCGCGACGGGTCCACTCCTCCCAAGGAAATTCTCATGAAATTTTTATCTATTGCTGAAATGGCACCAGCTGCTATTGGTGTACATTGCAAGGTAAACCAATTCACGCAAGCCAGAACTCGCTACTTCCATCATCATCCCCACAATTAAATGAAACACCATGTATCTTGTACTCATCCCAAGATATTCCCACTATCCCAAGTTAATTGACTACCCACCATATTTGAAGCATCCTGTATACTACCACATCTTGTACTTATCCCAAGATATTTTCATTGCCTATAAACCTTCTTATAGCCCAATGTATTTAGCTCGCTTGATTGATTTGAAGTTTGCTTTGATCATTAATTTCTGGATAACAATTCAAGGCGGGCCTGGGAAGAACTGGTTCGCTGATTGGAGCTTACATCGTGAAGCACTACATGATGACCGCCAGAGAAGCCATAGCCTGGATGCGATTGTGCAGGCCCGGCTCGGTGATAGGCCAACAGCAGAAATGGCTGGAGAAACTGGAATCGTGGCTGTGGAAAACCGGAAGCCAGTACAGGTAAAACAACTCCGGCTATAAGAGTGGGAATACTATAAAGTCGGTATATATAGAATCCGTCAGTACGGTGCTGATAAAATTCCGAAGCACAAGTACGGCATATACAGCAAGGAATGGCCGATGGAAAGGGAAAGGATAATAACGGACGCGAAGCGAAAGATCCAGGACTCGTTCACCAGCGCGCAAATGGAGAGGACCTTGTACAGGAAGCGCATATCCTCCAGCACCGACTCGTTCACTAGGTAGGCTCCGATAACTCGCTAAAACCGTGACATATTCCCCGGTTTTTTTTTTGATTCCGAAGGAACAGCGTCCAAGTGTCGAGGAGGGTGGGCTCGTCGAATTCGTTCAAGATGGGCATCAACTCGAAGTCGCAGAAATCGAATCAATGCGAGGCGAAGGACGCGTCGGGTATGTGGGAGCCCGTGCAGGCGAAATTCTCGAATTTTTCGAGCGTCGAGAGCCACAATGCGAAGAAGAGGCGCGGCGAGATGTGTGTACAGTCGAATTGGAACAGGAACTCGCAGGGCACGCAGGGCGATAAGTTGAATCTGATCAAGGCGAATTGGGGTTATAATATGAACGAAATTCGCGGTTATTCTTCCATCATACCGAAGTAGTTTTTAGGAAATGCGATCGTCTAATCTACGTTGTTTTTTTTTGGGTCAATATGATATCGGGATTAAAGAGAAGTACAAGCTGTGTGTTTGGTGTAAGTATTTTTTGTGATGGATTTTTTTTCTTCTAAATTTATTGTGAAAAATGTTTTTTTTCACGGCTGTGGACGCTTTTGAAACGAATTCGTAAGGCAATATGATTTTTCGACCGCAATTTCTCCAAACTATCCAATTCTTTAGGCGATTTTACGGTGAAAATCTACGTAGTAGATATCAAATTTTTTTATACTTTTTTTCAGTAATCTCGTTTGAAGATCGTTGGAAATATGACGGGTTAAATTTCATGTTTATAAATTAGGTATTTACAGATATTGGCAATAAAATGGCTGCTACTTTGTCACATTTTTAATCCAGTAATTTTAATATACACACGAGAACATCATTGAAATAAATAACACAAATATTAATTCGATAAGATATATTTAACAGTTAGTTTTTTTACAGTAACAAAATAGTTAAGAAAACGTAAAACACATTCAAGCGTACAACGTAACATTACCGGCAATGTACCAAATTATTATTAATTATTAGCAAGCCTGTTTTTTTTTTCTTATTCGCATTGCACAAGTCTAACAAATAAGCACATCCTTTATTAAGTACTTAAAGGTAAATGTTCTTAACGATTTCTTTACAGAAAGTTCTAAATAGTTATTGTCTTTACACAACAGTGGTAAAACTTTTTTTCAACCAATGACCAAAATCGAAAAATTAACATTCTATTCTACGTTTTTTTTGTACAAACTTCGACTAGAAAAGTGTGGTCGAAAGAGATTTTATAGATACATTTTCGATTTTTTTTATTTGTAATTTATGAGGTATTTGAAGGTATGTTTTCAATTAGGCGGGGAATCAAAAAATGCATCTTTAAGCAAATTTGAAGAAATTAAATTAATTTCATAGAGAATGTCCCAGGCTTTGATTCGAAACCTAATTTATTTAGAGGCTGAAAAAAATATTATGATACATGTTTTAGCCAATTCATTCGTAGGACACCCTGGATATCATTTCAAAAATGGATCCTGTTAACTGTATTAATAATCGTGTAAACTGAATTTTTAATTTAATTATATTCAAATTTGTCTAATTTCTACGAAATAAACGGAAAGTATTGACCATAAGTAGGAAGAAGTTAAAAAGTTGAAAGTTACCTATTTACAATATATGAAAATTATTCGTGTTATATCTAAATTTTATCAACTATTTACATTTGATTTTCGAAATGCAATAAAAAAGTAGATCAGTAAAATCCATCAAAGATTTTACATAATATGTTTATGTACATAATTGGAAGACTTAGTGACTCTGCTGTATTTCATTATACAATAAATTTTTAGGAAATGTACATACAATTTGTTCGAGTGATATGTTTCGTGAAGATATTCTATGATTCAGTAATTGTTTTAGTTGATTTTAATTTGAAAACGGTGCATATGATGACGAATGATGTAGTAGTTGACGGTAAAATTTATATTATATTATAGGAAACATCATTATTTTATTAAAATAACTGCTACTATTATGTCTATTTATTTATAAAAATGTTCTATCAAACACGAAGTGCTATAAATTTGGCATTAAATAGTTTTTAACAACGGTAGAAAATAGTGTATCGTCAGAAAGACTATAATAGGCAGTGCAAATGAAAAGTTACAATCGCAATTAATATTATCCTCTGTATATAAATAATGAATTATTTTAACAATTAGAATAGCACTTGCACATTTAGAAATAACGCATTTTAATCACATATTTTCACATACATTTTTTTACTCGATAAGCTATATTAAACCCAAAATTGATGACGAATTTCGCGCTACGATCGACCAACGCTCCATCATTACCTAGAAGATTAGCAAAAACTAGTAGAAGATTGAATTATTAAATTTTTAGTAATTACTGGTAATTAATTACTCCCGGTGCAAAACGCAATGATTTTTGGGTGGATTCTTTAGGTAGGGTTGGTGTACCAATTTGGGAGATTTTTTTGGTATTGTACATAAATTGTCACGCCTATAGTTATGGAAAATTTGTATTATTTTCATCATTTATTACAGAATTATGTGATTAATACAGAGTTTCTGAACTATTTTTTTGTGTGGCCAAGACACTACTTATGGTGTCATTGAATTGAACGTAAGAAGATTGAAATGGACTACACTCACCCTAATTTAGCGAATTCAAGTAGCGATAAAAAATGAAATTGTGGATAAGTAAATAAAAACTCACAATTACAGCGGCAGCCGGTCGCAATTGCACGCCGCCCCGCCGTTGCCTCTGCCGCACTGCTCCAAGCACCAGCTCTCCCAGTCGAAGGTGGTCTCGAATCTCGTGTAAACCGCCAAATTACGATTCCCCGGCACCAACGACCTATAAATCGAACATTTCTGGCAACCGCTTATCCTGTAGTTGTACGTGACGCAGAAGAAACTGCAGACTGGAAAAAAGGTACAACAACCGCCCGTTTACAACCGCTCATAATGAGAAAAGTATTCACTCACTTTCGAGGAAATTGGCCTCGCTCCGGCGGCTGGAAGTCGCGCTCGTGTCGCAGGTGCACAAGGGCTGGCCGAGGCCGTTGAGGCACAGCACGTCGCAGGAGGCGTCGCGCGTGATGTTGGGGCTCTTCTGCGGCGAGCCGGCCGCCTTGCCGGCCCTCACGGACGCCTCGACCGACTGGACGGGCAGGTTGGTCGGCGTGATGTCGGCACACTCGTCGCCGCACGCCGAACCGCCCAGCCCCGACAGGCACAGCTCCACGCATATCCTGCGCTTCTGGGAGTTGCTGACGAAGGGGCGCAGGATGTCGCCGTCCTCGTCGGCGTAGGCCGACAGCGAGGCCACGCCCTGCAGGAGCGCCAGCAGCGCCAGGAAAATCGATGCTCTGCCGAAGGAATGCCGGACGATTAGGATGGTTTTGTATCCGATTTTTTTCACCAAGGATTGCCACTCTGTGGCAGAGGTACTGAGAAGGATTAAGGAGTTGGAAAAGTGTACTTGAAGCAGCACATATGGAAATTAAATGGATGGATTAAATTTGGATAGAAGATTGCTTAGAAGAATGCTTAGAAGACATCAGTTTGGATAGAAGATTAATTGAAAGGAAACAAGGAAACATCCTAATTAAATAATACAGAACCAACTGAACTCTGAATCGAATAAATACTCGAAGCAATTTCCAAGTGAAAATTTGTTATTCAGTTGCCGAGGATTTTCCCGGGCGGAGTTATTTTCGGGCGGATTTTGCCGGAATGTTAAGAGCCTTAGAGGTGTTCGTTAATGCCGTGCGGGGGATGAACGAAAACGGCGCAATTTAATTATTTACGCGCGCCATTTTCGCCGTAATGGAGTCGCCCGCTTTTCCGGCAGATGGCTATCTGGAAAACTCATTATAGCTGGCTCAAAACGTGGCGTTTTCCCAGCGAATTTCCACCGACAAACTCTGCTTTGTACGGTTAATTATTTATGTAAAATGAAGAGAAGCGCTTTTTTTAAATGTAATTGCACTACTAAAAGTGATGGAAAATCGCTATAGGTACAACGATGGACACCTTGATGTCGCACCCCAATAAATGTACAAACAAATTTGCGCTTAATATTGAGTAGTAGTTTACAAAAATTTTCAATTTGTCAGTGCATTTTTTAAGTCAAAGTCAAAAGCTCTCGATGACAGGCAAACGGGATTTGGCGGCGGTCCGCTAAGCGTTTAACCAAGCGGAAAATGGCAACCTCTGGCGGTGACGTTCGATGTTCAATTGCTCGTGGTAGAGAGGGCGAGCGCCGCGGCGGCGCGGGCGCGAGAGAGACGGGGCGATTCGCGGCGGTGCGCCGGGACGGGCGTCGGCTTCGCGACGCCCTGCAACTGACTCGAATTTATGATGTTTTGCGAGGGGGACGTGATATATTTGCCCGGATGATGACACTTATTAAATCGTTTGCTCTGCTAATGCCCCCGGAGTCGCTCGCTCGTTAAATCGGCTCTTCGCTGGATGGAATGTCGTTTTGATAGACACGGATTAAATTAATTTTTATTATTAATTTGTTTTGTTGTCAAAGGGTTGTGTGGTTTAATTGCATATATTAATATTTTTATTAGGAAAATATATAGGTTGCTCCATTTTTGATCGCAACATAGGTTATATAGGCCATGGGTGCGATAAAGACTACTTCCATTAGACACTTATAAAGGAAAAGGAAAGAATGACATTTATGTCATTGCAACTCTTCACTCTGACAACTGTTTTTTATTAACCTTTCTTTGTTCCACTCATAGAAATCACCATGTTGCAATCGGAAATGCTGGAGCAAACGAAATAAGTATGGTTATATAGAGTGAGATTGGTTCTCAAACACCTAGTACCTCTGAATTCAACTTTAAGGGTTGATTGGGAAATTTAATTTAATCGTAGGTTAAAGTTAGGAAATGCATCAAGTAAGTAATTTTTTCGGATTTTGGGTAAATATACTAAGTCCTATAATTGCAATTATATGAAATGAAATTTCTAGTAAATACTATAGTAAATATTAACCGTATATGCTGTAGAGGAATTTATCTATTTATTAGATATTAAATCGAAAATATTAATAAAATAATAAATATTATTTATAGTAGATATTATTAAACAAGTTCGCAGAAATAAACAAAATGATAAAATTAAAAAATGTACAGTTAAGTGCAAATTTGTAAGCAATATCGTCTATGGATGCAACAAAGACAAGTTCCATTAGTCTCATATAGAAGAAAAAGAAAGTGGTATTGTAAGATTGCAACTTACTCACTCTAACCACCGTTATTATAATAATAAATAATAAAAAACAGACAAACAACATTTTTTACAAAAACAAAAATAAAAATATGTTGCAATGTGAGATCGACCATCAAGTTAATTCATTAAAAACAAAATAAAGTTGATGACAAATATCTCTCATTTCCCTATTAACTATCCTAAATCACTTACTTTTTCTGTATCATATCGCAATTTTTCTTGTCGAAAACTCACCACGAAAGTGCGAATCAGGTGTCGCAAATGCTTATATACCGGCTCGAAAGACTTATCGAATTATCTGCAAATAAAATCCGATATCTGCCGTTTTAATACCCCGACATATGGTTGAGAATTTGTTTATCGAATTAAGTACATAAAAACGTTATTTGCGCCGCAGCAGGGAGAACGATCGAAGGTTTCCCGGCGACCTAGCTATATAAACATCTGAGATAATAATCTATAATCATACTAACAAAAATTTTTCTATACTCATCAGTGTACAAAAGTGCAAACTCCATCTTCCTATATTTGCTCAACCAAACAGCCTTTTACCACTAATTTTACCCTTAATTAATTCGGCCCCCGAAACCGCTCCAACCGCCACCCCCCCGTGACCCGCTAAACTTCCAAATCAATTACGGAAATACCAATGGCCGTCGGCCCGCCGCCTCCGACGTCCCGTGACGTCACTTCCGGCGGCGGCGGCGATCGTTCGAGCTGGCGTCGCCGTTGGGCCGGGCCGACGGCGGGCGTGGAGAGCGCCGAATTCACCGCCGCCACCCACGCGGGGGCTATTTTCTAGGTCGGCGGCGGGTTATCGGTACCGCCACGTCGGGATCAATATGGAAATTGTTATCAACAATGAGGGTGTGGGAATTTCACGTCCGGTTGGGGGTTGTTTGTTGCCGAGATGTGGGTATACATTGTTGTGGAGATGATAACATTTTTGTTTTATTGGGTAGGTTAAACTTGGGTGAACATTTTAGGGTTAGTTGCTGGGTAATTAGATGAATTTTTTTGAGTAAATGCGAAGGAATGTTCGATTTTTCTACATAGGAAAACATTAAATTTACCTCTTCATAATTCGAATACACACCAGAAAATGTTTCTTTGTTCGATTCTCGAATAGAAATCATTGAATTTACTACTTGGAAATTCCAAAAAGCTCCAGAAAGTGACCTTATTGGTTTTCCTGGGTAACAATTTATAAGTACCTACACGTGCTAAAATTAAAGCAATCGACCTGTATTTTAAGTCATTTATAAAATTGAATTAGGATTAGGATACTAGCACTGTAAAAATTCCTATGAAAAGGAATTTTATGAGAACTAAATCTCTTGGGAATCATTTTAGATCTCATTTTTATTGGAAGTTTCCGTTGCTGTCAAATAATTTCCCAAAATATTCCACTTAAATTTAATATTCTCATTCCATAATTATATTATTCATTATTCAATATTGTGTCCAATATAGATTTTTAATTAACATACAAATGAAAAAATTATGTAGAAAGTAATTTTCGATATTAAATTTATAAAAAAAATTACACAATAAGTTCATTAAATCCAACATTGCACAGCGATTAAGTCAATGTTAGTTTACGCATTAATTTGACAATTTATATAAATTATTTAACGCGATTCATAATTTAATCAGTTGTAGGTATACATTATTGTGTTTGCACGAGCTTTCTCATTGCCTTTTTTCTCCAATCAGCCCGAATTGTATAAACGTCAAGGCGATTCATTAGATTAGATTAGCTTTTTGCATAATTTGTTAGAACACTGTATAAATGAATAAGGTCTACAAAATTTTCATAGTTCCTGGTTGAAAGAGCTACTTAGGTATTCTACTTGAGTCCGTCGATTACAAAATATATTCAGTAAGTATACATTCACTAACAAGGGTAGTTATTAGTTTGCACTTTGGAGGCAGTATGGTGGAAATTTAATTCTCATTTTCAAGTAGGAATTGGGTTCATTGAAGACTTTTTTTGACAATTTTTTGACAACTTCCACTAAAGTAGATGAACTTGTATTTCTTATTATAATGCATAGAAGAAGGAACCTTTTCTAATAAAATTTAATCTAAAACGAATCTATTGCATAACTATAAAGAAGTGGATTCAGTAGATTTTTTGAGTGTACCTTACAATATAATATCAACCATTTTCAAAGTAACTTTCAACTAAAGTAGGTGAACTTATATTTTTCATTTTAAATCATAAAAGAAACCAAACTTTTTCCAACAAAATTTCACCTAAAACGAAACTACCCCATTCTATATTCAAACTTTATCGCGAAACTAAAAGTTTTTAATACAACGTTTCTCGTTGTTCCAGCATCCCCATCCACATTCCTCTACTAAAAAAAAACCATCAAATTTCCTCCACGACGGAGTTCTCCTTCGCGCCGTGAACTTTATAGCCTCCGGAAAAATCTCCTTGGCAAAAAGGGCCGAACAGCCTTCGAAGGGCCGTCTCGTCGGCGGGCACAGCCCCCGAAATCGCCGCCCCCGTGCGCGCGCCGCCTCTCTAACTGGGTCAGCGGGCGCTGCGAGTTCCGCGGAAGAGCTACCATCGGGAGTTAGACGTCACAGAGCTTCCATAAGGTGCTGCTTGCCTCCAACATGGCCGCCAATACTTCCAATTACAAATTGAGTGCTGCTATTGCCAACTTAAAGTACAATGGTGAGTTACATAAGATTTTTACATGTTAATAATGAATTGCTACGTAGCAGGAAATCGCAGGAGTTCGAGAGGTGAACTTTGAGAGTTGCTTTTTGTTAGGAAAATTGTTCTATTGGCAGGGATTTCGATTTGAAATGGTATTTAAGGAAGGGTCGGATTGTATCGATTTACTGTTAAAAAATCGATTCTTGAGACAATGAGGTAACATTGCGCATGGTAAATGGAGATCTCTGGAGAAAAGTAGGTGAGATTAGATTGGGTCGATCGTTTTCCAAAGCCTTTGGTAATAAAAATTGTAATGAAATCCTGGATGATCCTTGATTGCTGAAATTTACGTAATAAAATTTTATTTGGAAAAATCTTTGGTCTGCGCATGACAATTAACCCATGGTATTTTAGTAGGTCAAACGTGAATTGGATTAAATTTAAGTTTTAGTACCTAAAAAGTACTTTTTTTATATTTCTGTTATTTATTTATTTCTTATTCTAATGTGAATGATAATGCTTAGGTACTTGTAATACAAGTACATATTTATTTCTCGATCAAATTAAGGTGCTTCCTTTAAACAGTAGAGAATATATCCAGTAAAGTGTTATAATTTTCAAGCGGAAAAAACCTATATAAAAATAATAGTACAATAATATTTACGTTTTCATTAGAAATTGTTTGTTTTCAGCAAATTTATTAAGCTTATCTACTTTGTTAGGCACATACTTACTAATTATTTAACCTTAAATTATGATAATTAGTGTTAATTCTTTAAAATTTTATTCATATCATTTGATACTGATAATTAGAACTAATTGGCCCATATTTTATAACCACTTTATAACTTACTACCCACCTTAGTACCACTTTAAAGTTGCTTCTCTAACTTGACAGTTGTACATGGAGTAACTAGGGACTTTGTTTACCTTAACGTGACCCTTTTTGAGTCATGTTAAAAGTGGGGCGCTGAACATGGTTCATTAAATACAAAAAAAAAACTAATTTTTGTTAAATTTTGCAACATCTGATAGTCCCATAATCCAAATACTCACGGTCACAGTTTTAGCAAATGAGTACAATTAAATATTTAAAAAGAAAATTTCGCAATTACAACAAAAAATAACTAATCCCATTACTTTTGAAATAATTGCACGATAAATACTACAATTTGAAATTCTATATGAGTTGACAATGAAAGATTGACAATGAAACAATGAAAGATTTTTTAATATAAAATAACAGTAGTTTGAGTGAGAATGTTGCATTGCAATCCCACAATAACACTCTCCCTTTCTCCTTTATATGAGACCAATTAAAGTTGTCTTCAATGCCACCTTGTTGTTCTGTCACTTCGTGTATATACACCCTGTACATAAATCAACTACCCTAAAGAAATCCCTCAACTTCAACGTGTTTTATTAGTTAATCCCTCCCCGCGGTTATTAAAATCCGAAAACTCCCCTTTGTTCGATATTGCATTCCGAATTCCAGAACCCATATGGTTATCCAGCCAACAATAAGCAAACACCCATCAAGCATTCGGATATATATTCCTCTCCCGGCCGTCGGGTCGCGAGATGATCATTTTCCGGGCGCCCCCGTCGAACGAGCGGGCAACATCTGCCGCCAAAGCTGCCGCAGCTTGTCCTCGAGCCGGGGACGGGGAGGCCGGGAGCGGCGCACAATAGCGTAGGCGGCGCGAAATTGATTTGGTCGCGTAGATGGAAATTCGATGTGCACGTCGATACATCGGGTGCGCTTCGACGGGAACGTTCCAAATTTTTTATTTGTTTCCATTTATTAGTCGAATTGGGATTGGACGAGTGGACGGTAGAATCGTATCCCCGTGATTGGGAATTTCGTGCCTGCGACGCTGGGCGATCGCAAACCGCCGAGGGTCGGTTCGGTTTAATTAAAAATCCCCCGGGCCCTTTTTCGACGATTATACGTCGGAACTATGCGCTGGAATACTTCGGAATTCCCCGGCAAACTACTCGGGACAAAAAACGATTTTTTACTCCACAAACGATGATGATTGATCGCGGCCCCAAATCCTCGAGATCCTCTTCTATAAACTCCTCCGCGAGCGGAATCGAAGCGCCGTTTTGTAGGAAGAAAAAACCGCTCCGTCAACGTCTGAAACCATCGAAATATTTCAATGGTAATCCCATTTCCCTTGGTTTATTTACTGCGGTATTACCGGTATTAGTCTTGTCTCTTTTGCTCAACGGAAATACTCCCGGGGGAGGAGATTTTGCACAGAATGCGCTATTAATAATAATGTAAACGCGAAGTGAGAGGAGATAGGGAGAGCGAGAGGCGGTTTTATAGTCGTGAAAAATTATTTTCGACGGCCGGATACTTCATATTATTTTTGTTATCAGTGTTTGATAACGTCGACATGTGGAGGGTAAAAAATTGAGTCTTAGGAATGAGGGAACTTATATGTAAGGAAAGATTCTTATAAAACTTGAGAAAGTTTCCGTACTATAACAAGTTTCCCATATTCTCGAATTCCCATAATCTTTAATTTCCACTTCTTCAAACATCAATAACTCCAAATTCCAATTATGCAAATAAAACTGGTATCGTTTAAAAAATATTTCCACCAAATATAGGTGATTTCGAATAAATCCTGCTGTATAAAGGTTTCGATTTTCCGCCCAACTTCCATTACTTTCGCCCCGAAAATGTGTTTTTTTTTTCTTCGGAAAGAAAAATGGGAAAAGTCCCGAAATTTATAGTCGAACGAGAAGGTCTTGTCAAAATGTACGAACTCCCGATCGCAATGATAAATAGAATTTTGAAATCTTTGTTTGCTCGTGAAACGGAGCGAAATGTATCGACTGTGGGGAAATTAATGAAAGGAAGTGAAACCGATAAGGGAATTCAATTAGCCGATTTCGAAAGTTTTCGATGAATGGTTTAGAAATTCTGGAAACTGATTAGATTTTGTTGGGAAATACGTATAGATAACAATAATTTATTTCGAGATTAATATCATCGGGAAGATTTTGCATTCATTAATTTCCAGATATCTCTGGATATCTACTCTTCCTGTAATCTTCAGTTCAGATCCTAAACGTTTGTTTTGATAAAAAAGCAGCAAAAACTCGCCGACTAATAACTCAAAAGCGAGCAGAAAAGGATCATTCGAAGCGGAATTAATGACTTCACAAAAGGACAATATTCTAATGAAAACTCCTTTCTGAACTGGAATCTCAAATCTGAGCAACTCCGATTTCCATCTGCCCTGCGAAAAATATTCTTCTAAAACTCCGAAATTAAAACATTCAATTAGCGAATCGATAATTACGCTGGGCCGTAATTTGCGTTTAATTTGCATGCAACAACAGCGGCTCTCGCTCTATCCGCATATAACTAACTGCACGTCCGCTCAGCTCGGGGTTCTTGAATGATTAATAGCCCTGTTTAGGCCTCTATTAAGGGATGAAGTTCGGTTTGATTGCACCTGAGCCTAAGCCTGCAACTATTCGCAATTAATTGCCGAAATATACGACCGAGCGCAGGGCTTACGCTGGTTAATTAACCGCATTCAATCGAATTGATATTTTATTGAATAGGCTGTAAATTAAAGTGGATTTATTAACATATTGAATAAACATTGTATTGGTTTACATGCAAAATTGTTTCCAGTATTGTCAATTCTCTGGGTTGAACGAAGGATTATTAAAATGAGAGTTAGAGTGATAAAGTTGTACTCTCTTTCTTTGTCCTTCATGTGAGAATAATAGAAGTTTTCTTTGTTGCACTTTAGTCTATATTGCGTATAAATTTGCATCTACCTGTATATTGAATTTTCAAATAAATGTAGGAAGGATAACTTTAAAAATCTTTGCATAATTGAATTTACAAAAATCTAAAATCTTAATTTCAAAATTTTTAAATTTGTACTCAAATAATACAAACAAAATTCCCTAGCTTTGAATTTTAATTATTATTAAATTTATTCTTGACCAGTATTTCATTAAATGCTAACGAGATTTTTATTAACATTTTAAGCGTATTAATCAATGATTAAATATAAAAATATATGTTTATTAAAAATAATAAAATGAATTAGTAACCTATTTTAATTTAATACAACGTTTTGTGAACAAGTCTGTAAGTTTCCGATAGCCGTGATCGTCTAGTGGTTAGGACCCCACGTTGTGGCCGTGGTAACCCAGGTTCGAATCCTGGTCACGGCAATGTTGAAGCATTGTCACGGAGGAAACATTTTTTTTTATTTTTTAACTTATCTATAATTTTTATTGCATTTACTAATCAAATGTATTTGTCAAACCAATGTGTCAAAAAATGACTAAATTCGTATTTATCGTCTTAATATGCTTATTGACCTTCTTTCAAAGTAACGAGGGACGATCAACTTCAGTTTCGTTGAAAACGCTGGAGGATTTTCTCATGAGCTGCTTCTCGACTATAGTATGTAACACCATTGTAGGGTTAGTGTATCCGCCTTTGAGTCTGAGGAGGCAGTATAGGGGTTTCAGAAATTTTTAACGCATAAAATGCTATTAAATTATTCGTTATTGTAAAACCGGCTAAATAATTAAAAAATGTTTGGGTGTAATAAATTAATAAATAAATTGCGTTTTAAGAATAAAAAAAACATAAAAAAATACCGCCCGAGCAGGGACTTGAACCCTGGACCCTTGGATTAAAAGTCCAATGCTCTACCGACTGAGCTACCCGGGCTGATGGGTAACTTGTTTAGGAATCCTTTTATAACGTTGAATTTAACAATTTAAGAAATCGGTTAAGATTTTGGAAATCCAAATACTAATTTTAGTAATAAATTAAATGGAATACATACAGTTTGCAATTGCGACGCTATGTTTCATATTCGATGAGCAAATACATAATCATTTTACAACTTCAGTACCAAATGACACTAGTAACAGTACTAGTGACATGAAAAGTCAAAGAAATTTTTGAAATTCTTCTTAAAAAGAAACTATTAAAAAGATTAATTAACAATATACTTTTTTTTATTATATAGCTCATTTATTCAGTTGTTTAATAATAGTTACATCTTAATTCAACACACAAATTAAGAATACAACTTTTTTGTTCTAAATGGCCTCAACAAAGTGGGTCATGCGTCAACTTTAAGACCTAAAAAAATATTTTTTTTTGTTTCAGATCTCATTCCCTATCCGAACGCCAGCGACAAAACCACCCGCGAATTCCTCCAGAAAGTCGTCGACATCCTCATGGACTACATCCAGAAGCAGAACGACCGCAACGAGAAGATCCTGGACTTCCACCACCCGGAGGAAATGATCAAAGTGCTCGACCTCAAGATCCCCCTCGAAGGCGTGTCGCTGAACCAGCTCATCCACGATTGCGCCACCACCCTCAAGCACCAAGTAAAAACAGGTTCGTTCCGCATTTGTAGCGATTTCGCCCCGAAACTCGCCGGAAACTCGCGCTTATCTCCAACGAAATCCTCCTGCGGGAAACCCGTTTTTCCGGCAGAAGATTGCTTTCGCGCCTATCGACTTCGCTATCTAGCCCGCAGTCATTTCAATACGTTCAAACTCTCCGCATTTGCGTCACCAACATCTCCTCGAAAGAGATGAGAAACGCGGCGAACTCGACGCAATTTACCAGCCTTTATTTCCAGCTTCCGAAGTTAGCTTTAGCCAAACTTCGCGCCGAACGCTGCATATATATGGGCCCTACGGAGGGGTGGTTGATTGAATGCAATCAGGGTAGTTTTGAGGCTCGAAAAAGTGATAATAAACCAACAATAAGTCCCCGGAGGAAGTCGCGTGCCGTCGAGTGAAGGCGATACTCGCTTTCCTGCGGCTTCATTTGCATAAAGGAATTAGGAAATGTTTTCCCACCGAATTAAATAGATCGGTGAATTGGATTGTGGGTTTATATCCATCTCCTAGAGGAGTATAAACGCCTTACATTCCTATATAAAAAACGCACTATTTCGATTGAGTTATTTTAAATAGGGACGAATTCACGGGGAAAATTGCCGAATTTTCGGGCCGTTGGAATTTTTCAATTAGCCCTCCTCCCGTCGGCTTATCGAGATTGCGGGCGCGCCTGAAATAATCTGGAAAATTTATGTAAGCCGGTAAAAAGATGCACCCCCTATGTCTATTATTATGCCAACCGCAATCTGCTCGAGGGTAGATAACATATTATCGTCGAATTACAAACCGGCCCGCGCTCTCTTCAACATAAACAAACAGAAATATTTCGAGCAACAGGAATCGAAAGATCCTATCGCCGAATCGAGCTCGAATCGTTGATTGTTAATTTACAAACGGTTCAGAGAAAAGAAAGTATTGGGAATATTCCTCCGCTCGTGTACGAACGCCGCCGCCCTTCCGGTTTCTGTCGTGTTATTTTCCGTGCCGCTGGACATGATTCCTGCTGCATTCAGACGGAGATTAGTGTAGGAGAGCGCGATTCCTGCCACTCCGCTCGACTCCCCTTTTTACTTAACGTCGCCGGAGCTTTTTTCTATCTCGTCTAAGCCGAGGATTTACTAAATGATGCCATATGTTGCATTCGGAGGAACGCACTCCTGCCAGACGACGTCGGATTACCTTCGAGCGCTTTTTATACAGTTGATGGAAACGTAAAAATGTACAATCGAATTTTTACTCCGCCCCATTGAAATCCATCCCCCGCTATATCGTATTTATATTACACCACCAGCGAAAGTAACGAAAACGTATTGTGCTGGGTCCCTCGGGCGAGGAACAAACATTTCCTAAACACTCCTGCAGGAGATAGTAATTGAATCAGTGGCAGATATCTGCGGGTGAGCTATTAACAGGCTATTGTGGACGGCGGGGGCCCTCGCGCGATAAGGGCCCGCTTTTATCGCGACATTTGTACTCTTCCTGCTACCCCGCGCCGTGACCAAGCGACCGCAGGAATATCAATAGACTTCAATTTCTAGCAATATTATAATGTTACGAAACTACCTTTATCGAATAGATTCCGAAATCGTATAAAAAAACTGTTCTCGGAGCGGAAACGAGGATCCTGGTTGTAAAACCTCGCGCTATTTGCCATCAATCTAACATTATTTCGGGCTATTGCTCGCAATAATTGAATGCCAGTGGACTTGAAACAAAGATATTACTGCAGGTCTGTGCACACCCTTCGCCCTTTGCGCGACACGTGACCTTGGATTACGGCTAATCCGGTTTTAAGGGATTGAAACATCAAAAAGATGATAGCTGCTCGTTGTTGTTTGGAAAAAGCGTGTTTTATCGAGGAAGATCGAATATAAGTGAGTGAATTTGGCGGAAAAACATCTACGCAAACATGACGGATTTCGACAATTAAACATGAAGAGGTACATATGGTTTTCGAGTACATCGACAAGTGTAGTAAAATATTAAACAAAAAGCCCACGGAGATAAACATTTTTGTGACGTCTATTTGCTATATCGTTATGTTTGTTAACAAATCAAACACAACACGTTAATTTTTCGATGCGAATAATCGTTAGGAATAGTTTCCAAAAAGCATTAGTTAGTAAGCATTAAACTTCCTCCTGCCCGACCGACAATGCAAACAGCAAAGTTTGCACCCTCCGGGATTTGAGAAGTGTAATTAAGGGCACTCAAAGCGCGCCCCCATCGATCCTGCGATCCAGCGAGTGTCCCACGCCGGATTAAAACCCACCCCTCCGGCATTCCGACGTACAGGAATGTGCACTTTTTTTAAACCCTCATTTCGCCCTAATCGTTTTCATTTTTTCCGCTCCTGCAGGCCATCCGCACTTCTTCAACCAGCTGTCCAGCGGCCTGGACCTCGTCTCCATGGCCGGGGAGTGGCTCACCGCCACAGCCAACACCAACATGTTCACCTACGAAATCGCCCCGGTCTTCATCCTCATGGAGACCGTCGTCATGACTCACATGAGGGAGATCATCGGCAGGTGTTGGAGGAAAGGAGATTCCATCTTAGCACCGGGTACCAATTTCATCTGCTTTATTCGACATGTATTAACTCCATCGAATTTCCAGGCGGTTCTATTTCCAATTTGTACGCTTTCCTGGCAGCCAGGCACAAAATGTTCCCCAACTACAAGGAGAAGGGCATCGCCACCATTCAAGGCCAGCTCGTCATGTACACCTCCGATCAAGTAAGCAAAAATCCGATGACTAAATAAACGTTAGTACAATAATTGGGTTGGATTTAGAGCCACTATTCAGTGAAATCGTGCGCCTCGATTTGCGGCCTGGGAACGGACAATTGCGTGATGGTGCCTTCGGACGAAAGGGGCCGCATGATTCCCGCCGAATTGGAGCGATTGATCGTCGACAGGAAGAACAAGGGGCACATTCCGTTCTTCGTGGCCTGCACCTCGGGCACGACCGTGCTGGGCGCCTTCGATCCCCTCAACGACATCGCGGACATCTGCAAGAAGCACGGCATGTGGATGCACGTCGATGTAAGTTGAACCTTAAAAATAAAATCGGGATACCGGATGGAATATGTTTTCGTCTTACAGGCCGCTTGGGGCGGTGGTCTTTTGCTGTCGAAGAAGTACAGGCATCCTCGCTTGTCGGGAATAGAACGGTAAGCGATTTATATACAGTTATTAACCACTCGTCCTTAAAGAGTACAACTTTAACCCATTAAGTAGCGACGAGCTTTAAAAGCCTTCATTAATTACGCCATCATTAATCATTCCCGGGTGCTTTAATGATACCTATTCTACCCGTTTTTTTTAATAACAAACTATTTTTTATACCGAAGTTTCGAACAGTGCTATAATAATTGACTCTGGAATTATTAAATCCGTTGACGTTCGGTAATGGATGAGTTTTAAGTCAATAGAAAATGTTTTATCCCCGAGTGCTTTCGACACTTTGATAGAGAGAAAAACCCCATAAGTAGTTCGGATGCAAATTGACGCACACTTTACAGCTTAAAGGGGATTTTAACGCGGGGAACCTTCATCCGATTATCGATTTTATAGGGCCCGCCACCGCGGGCTGTTATTGGCCGGCCCTATGTAGTGGATTTGTTTTTAAAGGGACACTCTGAGTCGATAAAAAACGCTGTATATTATAGAAAAAAATTGAGATTTATTGTATAAATATTCGATTAGAATTTCGCGTTGACGTTCAGCATAACTCCTGCTTGCGGTTTTCCCGTACCGCCTGGACCGCCGAAGTGTCTTCCATATTGTCCAGTGACATCGGCGTTCCAGTTTTTGCCCCTGGCGAAATTGTACTTAGCCCCCGCGTTGACATCAGTGCCCCAACCTGGAGTTCTATCGGCGCTGACGAAGGCTCCCGATCCGCTGCGTTGATGGGAGTAGTCCACACGGCCATTGTACGAGTCGGGTTTAAGTCCATGTGATCCCCAAGCTTTGGAGGCTCCAATCGTGCCATCTACTTTGTGGTTTCCGTTGTCGAAGAGAGTTCCCTTATGGCCTAAACTGAATCCACTTTGATTTGCTCCCCAGGATGTTTGCCTATTATAAATTAAATAGGAATTATAGTAGGAACATCGGTTATGAATTAACGAATAAAGTTGCATTTTTACACAATCACATAATAAATTCAAGATCAAGTGAGGTGAGAAAATTTGTAAAAAAACTTACCTTCTTTGCCTTTGAAGAGGAACCAGAGCGAATTCTTCGCCGTTTTCATCTTGGAAAACTGCCAATGGCGCTGCTGCTGCTACAGTCAAACTCACTGCTAATAATACGAGAAATTTCATTTTTGAAATTTTGTTTTTAACTAGATGTAGAGAGCTGAAGACACTGTTGTGGATTGGTATGATTTGAAATTGCATTCGCCACACTATTTATACTCATAAGACTGCGTTATCTTTAGTAATTCACAACTGGGAATCATCTTAAGTAATTCCCTCGGCGCGCGACGTGATAAAATTAATTGGGTATTTTGACTCCGAGAAGACTGATGAATTCGCTCGATTTTGGTGAAGTACCTACCATTTTTTATGGTGGTTTTTCGAAAATGTTTTTTTCTTTATTTCTAATAAATGAATAAGTGTTTATTAAGTAAAAGACTGTTGGGTATTTATTAATAATTGTTGATTTTACTTTTACTTTCTTGTTGCATGTGTGCTATTCATGGTAGTTATCAAAAGTAATAATAAGTAATAGTTATCAAAAGATAACAGCAAGAAATATGTAAAAATTAAATTATTTAAAAGAAAAATGTAGGTACCTACCTATAAAATATTAAATCTATGCGAATAGAAGCCCAGTATAGGATGCCCTATTTAATTTTTCTGTTTATTTTAGCAAGAGACTTTGATATTTTCGAATTGAAATTTTAAAATAATTTAGGAACTAATATTCAGAAACTATTATTTATTTAGAGGCAGTTATTTAGAAACTATTGAGTGACTATCAATTTAAATTTATTAATTTATAGGATAATTAATTTATCATCAATTATTTATAATGTATTTATTAATACTCATTTTTTGGAATTTTTTCTCCATTTTTGGTCGAGTTTTAAGCATAAGAAAAGATTCTTATGCTTAAATGTGATCCCCAAGAAGCAGAATCTTAAATTTTTAAATTTATTAGCGTCATTGTTTACTAACATATACGATTATTTATCTCAATACTTTCAAATTGGTTTAATTTTTCTGTTCTCATACCCACACAAATCGTATAATAATTATACTATTATATGAAAAGTATTTGATTGATTTTGTAAAATTATTTGTTACAGTTTGTTGTGATTTTTTTTATTCAAAATTTATTCTTTAATACATAGGCATTAATTATTTCCCATTGTATTGAATCTCATCTTATGTTTTTTTTGGTATTCCTATCTTTTATTTAAGATACTTTTCGAATCTCTCTCATTTTCATCACATTTTTGTTTTAATAATAATTTCATTCCTTTTTAACGCATTATGTTTAACAATTAATAGTTATTTTAAGTAATTATTGAATAAGCCACCCTAGATTCTCGGATAATTAATTTATCTTTGACAACAATGCCGAATTTATTTCCATTTCAACTGGAAATTGTTTCATTATTATAATAATGGATATAAAACACATTAAATTTGATACTAATTAACTTTATTATAATTGTATTCTAATTAAGTATGTACATTTTTAATTAAAAGAGATCTATTAAATTAAAGCTTTGAAAATTAGAATTTTCCTCCAACGTTCAACATAACTCCTGCTTGTGGTTTTCCGGTACCGAAGGGACCTCCGAAGTGCCTTCCATATTGTCCAGTGATATCAGCATTCCAGTTTTTCCCTCCAGCGATATTGTATTTAGCTCCTGCATTGACATCAGTGCCCCAACCTGGCGTTCTATCGGCGCTGATGAAGGCTCCTGATCCGCTGGGTTGGTGTCCGTAGTCCAAACGGCCATTGTACGAGTCGGGTTTAAGTCCATGTGATCCCCAAGCCTTTGATCCGCTAATAGATCCGTCCAATCTGTGGATTCCGTTGTTGTATAGAGTTCCCTTCTGGCCTAAACTGAAACCTCCTTGGTTTGCTCCCCAGGTCGTATCCCTATATTTTAAATAATAAATATTTACTGCATTGGTCATCATGAATTAAACCAACAAAGTGGTATTTTAATACAATCACAAATAAATTAAAAATCAAGTGAGGTGATAAAATTTGTTGAAAAACTTACCTTCTTTGCCTTTGAAGGGGAACCAGAGCGAATTCTTCGCCGTTTTCATCTTCGAAAACTGCCAATGGCAAAGCTGCTGCTACAGTCAAACCAACTGCTAATAATACGAGAAATTTCATTTTTGAAATTTTTGGTTTTCGCTTCGAACTTGAAATGAAGAGCTGAAGACACTGTTGTGGATTGGTATGATTTGAAATTGCATTCGCCGCGCTATTTATACTCGTAAGACTACGTTATCTGTAGTAATTCCCAACTGGAAAACATCTTAAAAGTTAAAAGTAATTCCCTCGGCGCGCGATTTGATAAAATTAATCGGATATTTTGACTCCGAAAAGTCTGATGGACTCACGCGATTTTGGTGAAGTACCATTTCCATGGTAAATTTTCGAGATTTTTTTAGATAAATGAAAGATAAATATAAAAAAATTAAGTAAAAGACTTGTGCATTTACTTGTTGGACATTTACATGTTTAATTACTAATATCATATTAATAATTATGAATTTACTTTTTGTAATTGAATTATTTTTGAAATAGAAATAGAGCTCAAACGATTAGCAACAAATATTTTAAAATTAGAATATTTGCAAAGAATGTATAGAACCTCAAATCTTAGCGGATAGATCCCAACAATACAGGACTCTAAAGTTGATTCTTCTAAAGTTAATTTTAGCAAGAGACATTAACATTTTCTAAATTTGAAAATTTTAAATTTTTCATTAGAGACTATAGGTATTATAATAATTCTTCAGGGGACTGATATTAAGATATTATTTATTTAGAGGCTATTATTTATAGACGATATTTACAGAATGTTGAGGTGATATTTAGAGAGTAGTAATTCATTTGTTGTTAGGGTAAATTTATTTATCATCAATTCATCATGTATTGATTTATTTTATGGAGTTCCTTGCACTTTCCATTCTTGGTCTATTCTTATGCATGAAAATCATAAATGTTAAGGAGACAAATGCTCACATTTTGCGAAAATCATTGTTTACTAAAATGATTATTTACATGAAATAATTATTTAGCTCAATATTATTTAAGTGGTTAAGTTTTTGCTTTCCTATACCCACGAAAATGATATAAAATTTAATTTATGAAAATTATTCGATTAAATCTAAAAAAATTATCTTGTTTGATTTTACTTGTTTCAATATTTTATCTATAATAAGCACTAATAATTTCACTGTATCTTGTTTTTCATCTTATGTCTTTTTTGCGTGTTTGTGTCATTTTCATCATATGTTTGTTCTAATAATTGTTTTTCTTTTTCAAAGATTTATGTCTGATTTCTAATAATTGATTTGAGAAATTTTTGGATAAAACATCCCAAATTCCAATGTAATTAATTTATCTTTGGCAATAATTCGCCAAATTATTTCCAATTTCAACTGGACATGGTTTCATTATTATAACGGATACAAAACACATTAAATTTGGTACTTATTAACTTTATTATAATTATATTCTAATTAAATATGTACATTTTGATTTAAAAAAGATTAATATTAAATTAAAGCTTTGAAAATTAGAATTTTCCTTCAACGTTCAACATAACTCCTGCTTGTGGTTTTCCGGTACCTCCTGGACCGCCAAAATGCCTTCCATATTGTCCAGTAACGTCAGCATTCCAGTTTTTTCCTCCAGCGATATTGTATTTAGCTCCTGCATTGACATCAGTGCCCCAACCTGGAGTTCTATCGGCACTGACGAAAGCTCCTGATCCACTAGATTGATGCGAGTAGTCCAAGCGGCCATTGTACGAGTCGGGTTTAAGTCCATGTGATCCCCAAGCCTTTGATCCGCTAAGAGATCCGTCCAATCTGTGGTTTCCATTGTCGAACAAAGTTCCCTTCTGGCCTAAACTGAACCCTCCTTGGTTTGCTCCCCAGGTCGTATCCCTATATTTTAAATAATAAATATTTACTGCATTGGTCATCATGAATTAAACCAACAAAGTGGTATTTTAATACAATCACAAATATATTAACGATCAAGTGAGGTGATAAAATTTGTAGAAAAACTTACCTTCTTTGCCTTTGAAGAGGAACCAGAGCGAATTCTTCGCCGTTTTCATCTTCGAAAACTGCCAATGGCAAAGCTGCTGCTACAGTCAAGCTCACTGCTAATAATACGAGAAATTTCATTTTTGAAATTTTTGGTTTTCGCTTCGAAATTGAAATGAAAAGCTGAAGACGCTGTTGTAGATTGGTATGATTTGAAATTGCATTCGCCACACTATTTATACTCATAAGACTGCGTTATCTTTAGTAATTCACAACTGGAATCATCTTAAGTAATTCCCTCGGCGCGCGACGTGATAAAATTAATCGGGTATTTTGACTCCGAGAAGTCTGATGAATTCGCTTGATTTTGGTGAAGTACCATTTAGATGGTAAATTTTCGAAAACGTTTATTCTTCATTTTAGATAAATGTAAAAGTATTTTTTTAAGTAAAAGGCTGTTGGGCATTTTACTTGATGGGCATTCACCTAATTACATGTTGGTAAAAATAATAATTCGCTAATATTGATTTTACTTTTTTAAGTGTATTTATTTTTTAGCTTGCAAAATAAGTTTTTTTTAATGTTCGGCAAGATACATACTGAAATTAGATTATTTGCAAAAGAAAAGTATAAAATCTCAAGCCTATACGAATAGATCCCACAATATACACAATGCTTGCTCAATTATATTTTTCTAAAGTCGGTTTTAGTAAGGGACAGTGATATTTTGGATATTATAAATTAGAAAATACTTTTCTAATTTTCAGACGGATAATTCTTCAAAGAAACAATTTGTTGTTTGTATAGATTTATTTATTGCCATTCCCTCAATTGTTTATTTACTTTTTGGAGTTTCTTATGATTTAAAATTTTGGCAGGATATTAAATTTTTAAGAGGGGATATGTTTACACGTAAAAAATCGTTCTTTACTGAGATACATAATTATTCAGCTCATTTTGGTTTATCATTCATCAATCAACATTTAGGATATTTTCTTCAAGTGATTTAGTTTTTTTAATTGGTTTTATTATCCCTTTCAATTATCGTCCCCAGAAAAATCGTATAAAAGTTATGTTATTAAAATTATATGATTAATCCTGTATATAAATCTGCAACTTTTGCGGTTTTATTGGATTTAAAATTTTATCAATAATAAGCATTAATATTTTACCTCTGTCAATTTTATCATATTTTTGTTCTAATAATTGATGCTTTCCTTCTTATAATGATTTGATTAGTGTTTAACAATTAATAATATTACTTTGAGTAATTTTTGGATAAAACATTACAGATTCCCGGATAATTTTTCATTATGGCATCACCAACGCCTAATTATTTCCATTTCAATTGAAAATTCTTTCATTATTAATAATGGATACAAAACACATCAAATTTGGTGCTCAATAACTTTATTATAATTATAGTGTAATTAAGTACATTTTAAAATATTAAATATTGTTAAATTATAGCTTTGAAAATTAGAATTTTCCTCCAACGTTCAACATAACTCCTGCTTGTGGTTTTCCGGTACCACCTGGACCGCCGAAATGCCTTCCATACTGTCCAGTAACATCAGCATTCCAGTTTTTCCCTCCAGCGATATTGTATTTAGCTCCTGCATTGACATCAGTGCCCCAACCTGGAGTTCTATCGGCGCTGACGAAGGCTCCTGATCCGCTGGGTTTGTGCCCGTAGTCCAAACGGCCATTGTACGAGTCGGGTTTAAGTCCATGTGATCCCCAAGCCTTTGATCCGCTAATAGATCCGTCCAAACTGTGGATTCCGTTGTCGAACAAAGTTCCCTTCTGGCCTAAACTGAACCCTCCTTGGTTTGCTCCCCAGGTCGTATCCCTATATTTTAAATAATAAATATTTACTGCATTGGTCATCATGAATTAAACCAACAAAGTGGTATTTTAATACAATCACAAATATATTAACGATCAAGTGAGGTGATAAAATTTGTAGAAAAACTTACCTTCTTTGCCTTTGAAGAGGAACCAGAGCGAATTCTTCGCCGTTTTCATCTTCGAAAACTGCCAATGGCAAAGCTGCTGCTACAGTCAAGCTCACTGCTAATAATACGAGAAATTTCATTTTTGAAATTTTTGGTTTTCGCTTCGAAATTGAAATGAAGAGCTGAAGACGCTGTTGTAGATTGGTATGATTTGAAATTGCATTCGCCACACTATTTATACTCATAAGACTGCGTTATCTTTAGTAATTCACAACTGGAATCATCTTAAGTAATTCCCTCGGCGCGCGACGTGATAAAATTAATCGGGTATTTTGACTCCGAGAAGTCTGATGAATTCGCTTGATTTTGGTGAAGTACCATTTAGATGGTAAATTTTCAAAAATGTTTATTCTTTATTTTAGATAAATGAAGAATTGTTTTTTAAGTAAAAGACTGTTGGGTATTTTACTTGATGGTCATTCGCCTAATTACATGTTGCTAATAAATAATAATTTGCTAAAAATTATTGATTTTACTTTTTGTAAGTGTTTTTATTTTTTAGCTCGCAAAATAAGTTTTTTTTTTAAATGTACGGCTATAGATACATATTGAAATTAGATTATTTGCAAAAGAAACGTATAAAATCTCAAACCTATACGAATTGATCCCACAATATACAAGATGCTTGCTCAATTATATTCTTCTAAAATCGCTTTTAGTAAGGGATAGTGATATTTTGGATATTGCAAATTACAAAATACTTTTAAGGACCGATAATTCTTCAAAGAAACAATTTGTTGTTTGTATAAGTTCATTTATTACCATTCCATCAATTGTTTATTTACTTTTTGGAGTTTATTACATTTTTCTCTTCTTGATGGATAATTCTTATAAATAAAAACATTAGCAGGATGTTAAATTTTTAAAGAGCCTAGAGAAATGCTTACACGTAAAAATCGTTCTTTACTGAGATACCTACATGATTGTTTAGCTCATTTTGGTTTCATCATTCATCAATCAGCATTTAGGATATTTTCTTCAAGTGATTAAGATTTTTTTGTTTTCATAATCTCTTTCAATTAACGCCAATTTGCGGTCTTACTGAATTTAAAATTTTATCAACAATAAGCAATAATATTTTCCCTTTATCTTGTTTCTCTTCATAAGTTCTTTTTTGCGTAGGTACCAATATTATACCTCTGTCAATTTTTATTCTAATAGTTGCTTTCCTTCTTATAATGATTTGATTAATGTTTAACTAATAATTACTTTAAGTCATTTTTGGATAAAACATTACAGATTCCGATAATTCAGATAATACAGATTCAGATAATTTATCATTGGCATCAACAACGAAAATTCTTTCATTATTAATAATGGATACAAAACACATCAAATTTGGTGCTCAATAACTTTATTATAATTATAGTGTAATTAAGTACATTTTAAATTATTAAATATTGTTAAATTATAGCTTTGAAAATTAGAATTTTCCTCCAACGTTCAACATAACTCCTGCTTGTGGTTTTCCGGTACCACCTGGACCGCCGAAATGCCTTCCATACTGTCCAGTAACATCAGCATTCCAGTTTTTCCCTCCAGCGATATTGTATTTAGCTCCTGCATTGACATCAGTGCCCCAACCTGGGGTTCTATCGGCGCTGATGAAGGCTCCTGATCCGCTGGGTTTGTGCCCGTAGTCCAAACGGCCATTGTACGAGTCGGGTTTAAGTCCATGTGATCCCCACGCCTTTGATCCGCTAATAGATCCGTCCAAACTGTGGATTCCGTTGTTGTACAGAGTTCCCTTCTGGCCCAAACTGTAACCCCCTTGGTTGGCTCCCCATGTAACCTCTCTGAAAGGAAAAAAAGCAATTTGAATCCAGTTTTATATATTAATTTTAATTAGTGAACTTACCTTCGTTGTCTTTGTAGAGGAACTATAGCGAATTCTTGGCCTGTTTCATCCTCGAAAACTTCGAGGGGAAGAGCCGAAGCTGTAGCTAAAATGGCTACAAATACGAAAGCGTTCATTTTTAAATTTACTTATTGAAAATTGAGTCAATTCGTAATGATTTCGAATGGTGCCTGCCGCAATATTTATACTGGCAAAATCTAAATAAACTTTATCTCGAGTAATTCACACTTGTATAAATCGCAAGAAAACTACCGATTTTTATTAAGAAATTATGCTTGCAGTAAACATTCTTGATAACATTATTTATCTTCTTTAATACACATTATGTATGATCGTGTAAAATACCGTTTATGATGTAGTTCATAGAAATAATTAATACATATTGATTTAGGTAATTACCAATAGTTTTTTATTTTATTACGTTCTATTGTATTATAATGATAATATGACGGTATCTAATTTTATTTTATATTTTTTCATTCATAATGTCTAATTCCTTCTATTTATTTTTTTATCGTAATCTAGACAAAAGTTGCAATATTGCATTTTGTTTTCAGCGCTGATTCGGTGACCTGGAATCCGCACAAACTTATGGGAGCTCTGTTACAATGCTCCACCATTCATTTCAAGGAAGATGTAAGCGAGGCATTTGCGAAGATTGAAAAAAGAATTTTTGAAAATTTTGTTTCCGAATTTCAGGGCCTGTTGATGAGCTGCAATCAAATGTCGGCCGATTACCTGTTCATGCAAGACAAACTCTACGACATCAGATACGATACCGGTGATAAAGTCATCCAGTGCGGAAGACACAATGATATTTTCAAGCTCTGGCTGCAATGGAGAGCTAAAGTAAGATTTCCTACTTACTCCTATTAAGTGGTTATATATAAAATTTATCGGTACAACATTTTATTTTTACATGAAAATCTCTTTTAAATTATCATATTTTTTAGTAATCAACCAATTTTCAAAAAAAATTATTATTTACAGCGATTTATTCTTCAAAATTGAAGGCTTGAATTGAATATTGACATCCCACAATACATAGGCAACCCATTTTACATTAAACATATTTCGATAACTTTTCTTTATTATCGGTTTGTTTTGCAACTCAATCAAACATTACAAATAATTGCGAATAACATTGCACCATAGATAAAAGTGAAAAATAAAAAAAAACAAATTTTAATCGTTTTAAAAATATTGTTCCCCAGGTGAGGCTCGAACTCACAACCCCGGCATCGCTCACGACTACTGTCTTATAAGTACCGTGCGCTAACCAATTGCGCCACTGGGGATCCTACATCGATGTTTCCATTAGTATTATATATTGTACACACCAAAATATCGAAAATTTACCCCAAAAAATTATCAACCAAACGAATCGCAATCAACGTAAAATTTCAATAAACCACCGTAACACGCTCAGAAAAATTAATTGCAAGTGAAAAATTCCGGTATTATTACGCTCGATTCCACTTTAGGGCGACGATGGTTTCGAACAACTGATGGACAGATTGATGGAACTCACCGAGTACATGGTGAAACGCATCAAAGAACAACCGAACAAATTCCACCTAATCATGGAACCCGAAATGGTCAACGTCAGTTTTTGGTACGTCCCGAAGAGATTGAGAAACGAACCCCACGGCCCGTCCAGGGAGAAGAAACTTGGAGAGGTATCTATTAAAAACCGCATCAATTCCCGTAAAATTCCTTTACATTCTTATCTTATCTCATCCGAGTTATACTCGGGTAATATCCCAGCTAGTATAAATTTATACCTTGCATCGTTTTGAGAGTGTATCTAAGCAAATATTTGTGCAGTTGTGCCCGCGCTTGAAGGCGAAAATGATGGAGGAAGGCACCCTGATGACTGGCTACCAGCCCGACGACAGGAGGCCGAATTTCTTCAGGAACATCATCTCCTCGGCCGCCGTCACCGAGGCGGACATCGACTTCCTGCTGGCCGAAATGGACAGACTCGGCCAAGACATGTAAATCCGGACGCGAAGATATATTTGCAAATAACCGTTGTTATTGGCTGACGCGGCGGAATTGCGGGGAATTCCCTGCCATATTTGCCGGTGGATTTTCGGCAATTTACGCGTCGGTTCAAATTTTTGTTGGGACGAAATTCTCCCCGGATTCGTGACGTCGCTTTCGCTTCCTCGCGTGCGAACGAGTCAATTGTTATAGCGTCAATTTAGCAATAATTTAGCTGCGGGGATAGAAGAGTATACGTAAAATGTTTAATTAAACGGGTAAGATGCGTAGGGTAGGGAGTTATTGTTTGTACGCGGGGCGCGCGAAAGGATGTTGTCAATTATAGAAAGCGAATTGCATCCAGACCATTCGCGAAATCTCCTCAATTAATCTATACATAAAATCAATTATGCAAATCGTTCTGGACTCGAATTCGGGTAGAATTTTGTATTAATGTAGTCGTTTAAAAATTTACTCCTCACTGTATATTTTATAAATGTGTATAAACAAAGCTGAATATATCTATATTAATGAAAAGTCAAAAAAAATATATAATTGTATTTTAGGCTGTATTTCTATGGTAAAAAATGTGTAGCTGACGCAATAATTCAAATGTATAGAAAAAAATCGGACATAATGTTTTATATTTTAAATATTTTATTCGCGCTTGTAAAGTTGGTAAAAGATTGATGAACCCTTCTACAAGGTGATTCCATAGAGATATTTATTGAACATATTATACTGTTGAGTAAAACTGTATTTTTAGAATTTTATTGAATGAAAAAAATATAGTTTTGTTTTCCCCTTTTGTGGATGCCATTAATTGTTTATTCCTGTTATATCATTCAATTTTTTCTTGCAATTGTATTTTAGAAAATGTATTTAAGCGAAAAAAATCTATTGCAAGAAGAAGTAGAATTAGTCAATTAGTATGTAATTATTATCTACATATACCTAAAAAATTATTTTTAGTCCAAATTATATAAAAGTTATAACTGGCAAAATTCTATTAGCTGTTGTATGTATTAGTTGATTTTATTTAAATTTTAACAATCGGGTACTAGGGTGGTGACTAGGGGAAATATTAAAATTTGTTATGCAATTTCCAGTATTTCCCCTTTTGCCTAGTTGCTAAAAGGTTTGTTCTGAACAACAAAATTATAAATGTCTTCCAATTAACCAGCATTTTGTAATTAAACTGGAACATCGTTTAAACAACAAAATGTTGCGCAAAACTAATATTAGATGTAATTTAATTGTAGTTAAATGTAGATTAGCTTGAATTAGAGAATTATTAGTATGTCAATCGCATTTTAGGGCTTCCAAAATCAGAAAGCATCGAAAATACCATGTATTGTAATAAATGTGTATATTGCATTATAAAAAAAATAATGGAATGTTAAAAAAAAAGTGGAGAACCAAATGCAGTTTAATTTCATTACAGTAGAACATTTAGAATTCCACTCGTACGTTAGTAAAAGATGCACTCACAAACACACGCCAGTCAAGTTCAGAGTAATCTGACCTTTACATTGTGAGTTAAAACTAAAGCAAGATACCTTATCGCACAATAATTTCGACAATATTTTCTACATCACAAACAATTCTATATTAAATTTAACATTGTTTAGAGGTCGGTTTTTGGGCGAAACATTACTCACTTTACATTTCTTCTGAATTATTGTGGCTAGTAAATATGAAGTGTTTTTTGAAGTACTCGAAATTTTGCGACTTCCCCATCGAAAACCTACCTTATGGGGTATTTTCCACCAGTCAAAATGTAAGTATTGCACACGCTAAAAAAACAAACCAAAAAATAGTTTTACAGCGATAACAATAATTCCATAAAGTCATCTTATCACCGCCAACATTTAGGCAACTCACATTACATTTACAACTTACAGCCTTCTCGAAGGATAGGAGTCGCAATCGCGGATTCGATCCTGGATTTGAGCGAAGTCTCCCATCTATTCGCCGGCCCGGAGCTGAAAAACCATCAAAACGCCTTCAAACAAGTACCTCATCCACGAACACTCCCGCATAAACTCTAACCCCGCGACTTTTGCAGGAAACCCTCAACGAATTCATGGCATTATCACCAAAAGCATGGAAAGAGGCCAGAGATACCATCCAAAGCATGCTATCAGAAGACAACCCTATTCTCAAAGACAACGCAGCGCTCAGAAAAAGGCGAGAAAATTCAATCAGAAGTGTAAAAATTCTAATAAACTAGCAATTTTTAGGGCTCTAGTACCACAATCAGACGCCACCATGCACTTGCCAGCGAAAATCGGCGATTACACAGACTTTTACTCGTCGATTCACCACGCCACTAACGTGGGAATCATGTTCAGGAGCAAAGAGAACGCTTTAATGCCCAATTGGTTAGTAACGAACCGGTAACTGATGGCACGATCGATAAAAATCTACTTGCAGGAAGCACCTTCCGGTCGCGTACCACGGCAGGGCCAGCTCGGTGGCGGTTTCCGGCACTCCCATTCACCGGCCCAACGGACAAACCGTCCTGGCCGACGGAGACGCGCCGATCTTCGGGCCTAGCAGGCTGATGGACTTCGAGCTGGAGATGGCCTTCTTCGTGGGCGGCGCCAACAAGCACGGGGAGCCCATCAAAATGGACAAAGCGCAGGATCACATCTTCGGCTTCGTCATCATGAACGACTGGAGCGGTAATACTAACGATATTTATACTGCATATTGACTGGGTGTTGGGTTTCCAGCTAGGGATATACAAAAATGGGAGTACGTGCCGCTGGGGCCGTTCCTGGCCAAGAATTTGGGCACCACGATATCGCCTTGGGTCGTCACCGCGCTGGCTCTGGAACCTTTCAAAGTCGACAACTACCCGCAGGATCCTCAACCTCTCCCGTATCTGAGGCACGAGGATAAATTCAACTTCGATATCAGCCTGCAAGTAGACATTGCTCGTAAGTTCCACGCAATTTCCTCCGTTTCTCAACTAATTTTTTGGATGGTTCAGCGCAAGGCAGCAACGTATCAACGACAGTCTGTCGCTCGAACTACCGGTACTTGTACTGGACCTCCAAGCAGCAGCTGGTCCATCACACCGTCACCGGTTGTAACATGAGTCCTGGAGATTTGATCGCCACAGGCACGATTAGTGGAGAGGTAATAATGTCAATGTTTGAAAGCGTTGTGGTTGAGTTGAAGAGTATTTCAGACTTCGGATTCGTATGGAAGCTTGTTGGAGTTGTCGTGGAAAGGCACGAAGCCGCTGACGCTGTTGGACGGGTCCCAAAGGAAGTTCCTGCAGGACGGGGACACTGTCGTGATGAAGGCGGTTTGCGAAGGGGATAATTATAATATTGGTTTCGGTACTTGCGTTGGAACACTCCTGCCCGCTAAACAATATTGATTTGAGTGAAAATTTCTTCGAAATAGGACGGCAAATTAAGATTGGATTAACTGTTTTCTATTTATAGATTTTAATTGGAAATTAAATGCCTACGTTAGTATGACTAAATCAGTTTTGCATTTTATATCATTATTTTTGCATTAAAAAAATAATCAAGCGACCTTGATGTTGTTGTGTGAAGCCAAGGTAACTGGGATTGAATAATTTAATTTCATGGCGGGTATTTTGTTTGTTGATCTTAAGAAAAATTACTATTATTAAAAAGCTAAATCAATTTGTTCCTCGTTACTTTTGATTAAAATCGATAATTGTTGTAGCTAATTAATAAATCATCTATCTACTTATTAATTTTTCGTGCGCTTATATCATCTTCAAAATTCCCGAAAAGACGTCGATAATGCTAATGAAATACAATACAAACATAGATACCGGGACTACGAAAATCAATAATATCATTTACCTACGTACAAGTGCATATGGTGAAAACATCAAGATGAATGCCGACTGAAAGGTAAACAAAAATTTTCTAATCACATTTCAATCGAATATCCACCAGATTTTTGCTAATTCCTTACACGGCCCTATCGTGACTACCGCACATTAACGAATTATACGAAAAGTCCTTATAAATATGCATCAGATTCGGTGATTTGTTTATACACAACGTCCCAAATTATTAACCTAAAATTGATAGATTTCAGTGCAACAAAAAATGATCCACCCAGTAGGTATATTAAACTTACTTGCACGTAAATGATTGGAAAGAAATGAAATTTTGTATACGATTTTTTCACTGAGATTTTGTATACATAGAGGATTCCCATGCGAAAATGGCAGAAATGAGCGAATCTGTGGATTCCACATCATCCCAGGACAGGACCGATTTGGTGGCCTACTGGAGTGTACCCCTCTTAGACGGGGTGCACACAGTCGAATTCGAGCACGGTACTACCAGTGGAAAACGAGTTTTACGCGTAGATGGAAATGTAAGTTAATTACAAAAAAAATCATTGTCTAATAACTTGTAATGTTTCGGTTGTTTCAGGAAATTCTAAGGCGAGAATGGATGTTTAAATTGGTGGGAGACGAGGATTTCTATTTAGGGAAACAGGAGGCCAAATGTGTGCTAAAAGTCGATCCAATGCCGCACTTTTCATTCTCCTACAGCCTCTTCGTCGACGGAAAACCGCTCAGGAAATTCACCGAAAAGCAATCGCAATCCATCAGGAACTGGTCGGTGATCATCGAAGGGAAACGGTATCGAGTAGTTTTCGGTGAGCTTCATTTTACATTCCTATGATGTTATAACCTTGCAGAGTCTGTTTTATTGCATTTTTTAGAGAAACAAACACTGAACATCTACGTAAACGGCCAATTAGTGGACGCCGAAAGCACCTTCATAGCCAACGGCACCGAAATGAAATTCGAAATGGGCTCCAGCACGGCGGTGATCAGAGCCGAAACGGCCATGAAGAAAGAAGGGGTCATCCACCAGCTATTCGTCGACGATAAACTAATCGAAGAAGACATTATATTCTGATCGAAAAACACTAATTGTTTTGCCAATTTCGAATAAAATTATTTACCAATAAAACATTGTAGAGTGGAAATGCCAAATGGAACCGAAACGGTGAATAATTTGGCTTTTCCACTCTGTATAATTGACGCGCATCTTCTTAGCCTCCCCGTCGAAGCCTATATACAAACATTACAGAGTGAAGAGCGGTATGGTATAGGAAGATCTTCGGGAGCTCGGGGCAACCTTGGATGGATTTTTTCGTTCTTCGTGCGCTTTTGCCGACCTCGCCCGACTCCGGCCGACTCCTCAAGTTCAGTGACAACGGCGCGGAGGCAGGCAACCCGGCCGCCCACCGGCCACTTTTCCTTTCTGCTCGCTGCCCGGACTCGGCCCGAGCCGACTCCAGCACCTCCAGTCTCCAGTCGACGGCGAGCTGGTCGCGGTACGGTACGGTTTCGTCGCGGTTTTTTGTCATCAAACGGGGCCCCGAAAAGGCGATGCGTCCGCCATTGTTGGACTGCGGGCGAGGTGGTTATTTGTAGGTGGTGTGTGTAGAGAGATTCGCGAAGAGGGTGCTCGACTTATTTAAATTCTACCTGTTTACATGTGATTACAAACTACTCGCGAAAATTTTTAAAGTAAGAACATTTTCTTATATACCTAATTCTTAATACAAATAAACTATTTGTTACTCTATTATATACAACTTACATGTAATTATTTTTATATATTTCAATTACAAATTTATTAATACCTCTCACTATATTCCATATGCGAATTCAGATAAGTGACCTTGCAGTAGTATATACCTACTTATTACTTAACAGAAAATTTTAAGTTTCTCGTCTAATCGATCGTTCAAATTCGACTCGATTTTATTTGTCTATAAGGTCTTTCGAACGGCAACTGTGAAATGTAATTCTTTTTATACGACTGGCAATACAATGAGCATTGTTAATTGTAAATAAATACCCGTTCTAGCATGGTAATGAGTAAATAAGTAGAAGAGTATTGGGTTACTGTCTTATGCGAGAATTGAAATCTCCCTATTAATACATCTATTGCGGCTAAATTGTTGCAATAAAAAAGCATTTGAATGACAAAAATTTTTTATCTATCCACCCACAGGGTAAATACAAGGTTTATTGTTTATTATTCGTCTATAAGTGAAAGGTAATTTCTTGTCAACCGATATAGATAGAGCTGTAATTTATATTTAGATATACGGAAACAATATTATCGACTTGAGAAATATCGATTTACTTTTCTTTTCATATCTGCACAGATATAATGTAATTATTACTTCGCTGCCTGGGGGTATATAGGCTTATGCGAGATAATAAGTTCGCTCTCTTTTAATGCATTAAAGGAAAAAGTGTGTCGTAATGGTGTTACTTAATAACGAGATATTCGGTACTTACATTATAAACGGCTCGACCGATATATCTACTTTTACATTCAGTTGAACTATTTTTTTTAATTAAAATAATTGATTTATTTTTATTATATAGCAAAGAGTAGGTAGATGTTAAATGGCGGTATGCTATACTTGGCGCTGTAGGGATATTAGAAATATATAAAAAAAGTATGTACCGTTAAAAATTTGCATTTTGTTTGATGGATACTAATTGGATTTTTTTGCGAAAAATATGAAACTCATCTTCGGGTCGTTAAAATGTTTAAAAAAGGCGTGGGAGTGATGCGAAAAATTTGGATTTTATAATTATATACATATCCAAACCGTTAGAGATGACTAATGTAATTTTCCTTAATAATATGCAGTAAATATAAACATATACAGTTTGATTAATTTTTAATATCTATCAATTCCCACGGAATTAATTACCGACCAAACAAATTAGTATCAGTCATTGCATAAACTCAATACCTTTTTTATGCAATAAAATTACTATAATTTGTCTAATGCCGCCAATTAAAACTGGAATTTGAACGATGGCACATAATGAGCCTTGCATTTTACATAATTTATGCACGAACGCCGGCTTTCTTTCAATTATAAATTTCGATTTTCCTAAAATTAGACAAAATGTTAGGTAATCTTAATCTTCGCACGACATCAACAAACACCTGGTGCAGAATCGAATCGATTCCGAGTCGTTTTCACCAAATTAAACATTCACAGCAAAAACCTATGACATTGGTAATAAAAACGCAAATATTTCTTCCGATTAGTAATGCTTATACAGTATGTTGTAATAGTTAGAAAACGTGCACGATTTGTTTGAATATGTATCAACGCTCATTGGTGATGTATAGGGAGAAATTATTTTTATATTTATGCATCATTAGCACAATATTAAAATAAATTGTCTTTTACAGATGGGCCGAAACAATTCGACATCTTCAACCATGGTGTTGTTGAACTTATCTTTAGTAAGTATCTATACGCTTTTATTATGTATATACCTCAAACGGTGTCATACACATTCGAGTTCCACTCGACTGGCCTCTGTCGAAATTCGCTCGAAGAACTTCTCACCGATTCCATTGTCTTCGAGTCCCGATGGCGGCGCGAGAGCGGAGGAAATTCAGTTTCTGCGGAAACCGGCGACATCCTCCGGTCAGGACGTTTAACTTTCCGTTTAGAAACCGACCTCTGTCGCATCGTCGCAAACGAAAACCCGGCGTGTATAGTTAAATACACACGCCGTGCGTTTATCGCCGCCGCTCCGAACGAAAGAAATTAGCGGTCAACGGCCTCCGGTTCGCTGTGGTGCCTTATAGGGCTCCGCGGAACTGCGAAGAAAATCATCCGGGGAATATGCTAAAATTATAGCGGTTCGAGCATCCGCTCCGAAGTATCAACCGTGCAACGTAAAGTACGGTAATTTTACATGACTGTGGAAGGTTCCATTTCCTAGTTGGAACAACTTTGCATGGGAAAATTCTAGTCGATCGACGACGCCGCGTATCATCGTAACGAGGCTGAAAAATTGATCTAATAAACCAGTTTTGGCCGGTTTCATTAAGAGATGTAAATGCATGATGCTTTAACTTTACATAAATAATATTTTAATAGATACAAGTTATTTCACAATCAACTTAGAGGATCCTTTAAGGCCTAAAAGTGGCGCATTTAAAGTTAATGTGCAGATTTAGAACCTCCTTTTCTACAAACCAAAGTTTACTGTACAGCCAAAAGTTACAAGCTTTCTGCCATCAGTTCTGGGAAATGAATAATTTCTAAAGTTCGAGTTCAAGCTCGTCTGATGAAGAAGAATTTATTTATATTAGAAGACCATAAGTCTTAGGAAAAGAAGAGACTTTTTTAACTTTAATGCTTTAATATGATAAATAAATGACTAAATAAGCGAGTAGTATCATGCACATCTAAAAATCCTACTTAACATAAATAGAGCATTGATAAAATTGGTGAATATATATGTTTGTTTTGTTTTTCAGTGCTTAGCCATTTCCACAGCCATGTCTGCGAACGTTCCACCGTCAACGAGTAAGTTCACTTTTAACCTTTCACTCTTCAAGATACTTTCTCTAATTGCGAACAATAAAACCTGTCGCAGGTGTTACAGTAAAGAACGAACCCGTGATCAATCAAATCCGCGCATAACGTCTCTATACGGGACGTCTTTTCCTAATGTCCCAAGTTCTAACGGTGTCGGATTATTAGAAAACGTTATGTAATACTTTTTTATGATACATCGATGATTGCGCGGAACACGCAATTGTAATTAGGCGGCGCGATAACGAACCGTGTAACTAGTTTATCGCGACTAAGGTCGCTTTAATTTTCTGACAAATAAAATAAAATCCACCGGCGGTTTACAGTTCAATAATTACGAGTTTTATTCGTAACGGTACATGGTTTATTTCGCCGGTTTTGCTTTGACCAGAAGCCTCTACAAATGGACCAAATAGCATCCTCTTTTAAAAAAAAATTATAAGTTTTTAGAGTAAAAAAGTTTACAGTAAATTGTAGAAGATACTTACTCAATGAGTTAACAATTTATTGTATTTTTATTCATCGAAATCCGAGATTATCTTTACTACCATCACGCGAAGAATAGTAAAATTGTGCAATGCGTAGAAGACATATATTGTGTGATCTCGAGGAATAATTATTTTCGAATCCAATACATCTCCTTTTTGATACACCTTTGCACAACAAAAGTGACGTCTTTTTCGTTCTTCTTGCGTGACCTTGTGTAGGTGACCACGTTCGTCTGCACTCGTGCAACTTAAAGGTAAAATGTCCTTCGAACCGCCTTTGTTTTCTCTTTAATAAATTCTCGATTCCTCTGAGTTTTGTCATCGCGAAACAGCCGCATATGGTATCTATTTGCTGAATCTAGGCTGCTAGTTTCTACGCATTTTCGTTGATTTTCGTCGGATATAATAGTTATATACTTTTACTCATTGCTATTGTTAAAAGAACGTGCAACAATGATTGGAAATATGCGCATGAAAGTGTGTTAAATTGGAAATAATCTGATGAATTAGAAGGCAACTAAATTTTGATAGCAAGCACTATTTGTTGCACAAAACCAGTTTTTGAAATGGAAATTGTTTACAAGCATTTTAAGAAACTCGTTATAAAATCTTAGTTCGTAAATCGCATTAATATAAATGCTAAAAGCGATCATAATCGAGGAAAAATGTTACAAGGTACTTTCACTAACGTTTTTTGTGCGCAAGTTCTAAGAAGATGACACATAAAAAATCGATTGCGATTATAAAATTACCTATAAAAGACCAATTATACGAACAGAAGTTCGAACTGTACATTACCTTCTCCGATTATTGGGCTATTAATTTTTGTAAAAGGTCGAGCGTGTCGGATTGATTTTTATAAAACCTCTTTCAATAAATTAATTGCATACTTCTAATACGCGTTACATCATTATTTACAATACTTCTATAAATATATGATTAGTAAACAAACAATCGTACTTCTCAAGGCGATCACCTTGCATTCAACTAAAGAGTTGTTAAAAGAATTAGGCGCTAATTAAACGTTTATTCTCTTTACCTATCTTACATGTGTTTTGAATTAGGATGAAAATATCTCGTTTTCATCACAGATTCCGTGGTTTTTAACGTGGTTTCATTCGGCAAAACTCGGCACCTACACGCTCTAATAGTCGAAGATTTTAACCTGAAAATCGCATAAATAATTACTATTACTGCATTGATATTACTTAAACGTCCATAAACGAAAGTGAAATTCGGGTCAAGATGAATATAAATATCAATGGACGCGAAAACAAAACCGCGCGCGACAAGTCGAACACCGTTTGTCGCATTACGAAACGCTCATGCCCACTTATCTTCTTTTATTCCTTACAAGAAATGCTGTAATTTTCGCATTGCAGGCGCCCCAGAAGTCGCATCGGACATCCGAGTGCAATGCAACAACGACGACATCGTCGTCAGCTTCGCCACCCCCTCGGGCCGATTCAACGGCATGATCTACCCGAGGGGGCTGTCGAAGAACAGCACCTGCATGGGCGAATGGATCCAGAAGGAATCGCCCGTCGAGTACACGCTGCCTCTCAGAGGCTGCAACACCATGAGCACCGATCTGGTAAGATTCCACGCTCTATTAAAACCAAATCCTGTTACAGGTTTTCCATTGCGCGAAACTTTGATCCGATGCATGATTCGTTCGATTCCATTTTTCTAACTGGTAGATTCTCTTGGAATTAATTAGCAGCGCTGTGCATTATGTTTGTGTTGTTTGCTCTGACACCCATTCAACGGGTTACGTCACGTCTGTGCCAAGTTTCCTTTTATGTACGTGTAACTTACGAGCGATGTGGCGAATATGCCGAGAGGCGTGGTATTTGTACGTGGGACGACTGGTTTTTCGGACTGGCATTAAAAATTCTTATCTGAAATTGAGCGGTTATCTTCATCTCGCCTTCGAAGGAACTGGGAATTAATTTCGTTTCGTTGCAAAAAAAGTATACCTAATAGGAACTAGAGATGGTTCTTGTGGAGTCTTTTACGATGTATCTGTACGGTGTATTAAAAATTCTTATCTGAAATTAAGCGGTTATCTTCGTCTCGACTTCGAAGGAACTGGGAATTAATTTCGTTTTGTTGCAAAAAAGTAAACCTAATAGAAAATAGATATGGTTGTTGTGGAGTCTTTTACGGTGTATCTGGGTTGTAGGGTGAAGCAATAAGTATCGTGAATCGTCTTAAAATCTGTATAATTTTTTAATGGCAAAACGTTTGGGTGGTCGTGACATTGGAGTTCATTCTACCGCGACGAATTTTTTACTGTTGCTTATTAAAATTAACCGTAGAATCGCGAAAATAGACACGGTCGCTACTCGAAAATTATTAACGATGCTCCGCTAAATTAGGGAGGACAGCGTGGAGGAGTCGTTTTTTTCGAACTAACGGAACAGTTAAAAAAAACTTCCTCCATTATTCCACTAAAAAATTTTAACTCGAAGCAGCATCGGTTACTTTTAATAGCGGCGTACGATTTTCAATGCCGATCATAACTCGAAACGTACAATAAATTCCCAGTCGAAAAAAAAGACGAAGGATGTTGCTCATCAACTCGTCGAATTTACCTTGAAGTAAATTACCTACTCGGATCGAAATACCAACCACATATCGTTCTATCACTACTCAAATATCGCCATTAGGTAATAAAAATAATTTCATTTCACCAGGACGACGGAGCCATCGAATATTACAACACTATAGTAGTTCAACCTCATCTGAAGCTAGTAACCAACCAAGGCAGAGGATTCCACATCAGGTGCAGATACAACACCAGAAACAACACCGTCACGAACGATTCGCTTAAAGTCGAGTACGAATATCCACTAAAACAATATCAAAAACAATTACTAAACAGCGTATTTTCCAGTTTAATGGCTGCGGATCCCATAACAGCTCTCTCCCCAATGCCCGGCTGCAGCATGAGGATATTCTCCGGGGACGTTTCCCGCAAAGAAGTGGCGGAAAACGTGAAAATCGGCGACCCGCTCACCCTCGTGGTGACCTTAGACAAGCAAGACACCTACGGCATCAAGGTGACCGATTGCTTGGTGAGAGACGGCTTGGGCTGGGGCGAGCAGAAGCTGATCAACGACGACGGCTGTCCCACCGACTCCGAGATCATGGGGATGTTCCAGTATTCCGACGACCAGGCGAAGGCTTCGGTGCAGTTCCAAGCGCACAAATTCCCTTACACCGCTTCGGTTTACTATCAGTGCAACGTTAAGCTCTGCTTGAAGGCGGACGGCAGCTGCGATGTGGTAAATTTTCATCGACACTACAGTTGATTGTTGTGTTATTAAATTTATTTGTAGACGCCGGTTTGTTGGGGTAATCGAGTGCGTAGGCAAGCAAACTCGGGGGATTCCTCCGAAGGTACGCCGGCTACAATTGAAGTGTTCAGCGGTCTCTACGTGAACGAAGCCAATGATTTAGCCAAGGCGGAAGAAGTTGACAATTCCGTTTTTAGTGAAAAGGTACAATTAATCTAAATACTCCAAACAAAGCAAACTGAATTTATTGTGTTTCAGACTTCGGACAGCATCTGCATATCCCAGAAGAGCTTCGCGATAGGAATATGCATAGCGGGGCTTATCCTGATGCTGTGCGTGGTGGCGGCCATTTTGTGGCTGTTGGCTAAGAGGAGGAAGAAGACCACGTCGCATTCCAACAGCTCTATTTACAGCGGTCCTTATACTAACACTGCTTACAGCCATACTAGTTAAAGTTAAAGTCATATCGAAACTTAGAAGCTGGTTAGAGTTCCGGCCCATTTTGTTATAAAGACATTTTAGACTGCCATTGTAATAGGGTTTACAAAGACATAGCTCAAGGTGCCATACACTTGGCTAATGCTGCTCACTTAGTTTTCGATTTTTTTTTATTTAATTATTATAATCAGTTTTAAAGACTTTTCGATGTAGGGTAGTATCGCTCTGCTCTGGGAGAATTGTACCTGCTGGTATTTTAGAAGCAATTCGGAATACCGGTTGGTACATAATAATAATTACGCTTTGTGAGGTTTAGCTACATTTGTGATATATTTCAAAGAAAAACGATTTCGATTTCGATAAAACAAAATGTTTTACTGTTAACTATTTTACTTCTTATAATAACTCTACAGGGTAAACAGGTGGTGGACGATATTTATAATTCTTTTAAAAAAGATAATGGAGTTTCGAGTATTCAAAATAATACGAACTTCTGTTGATGTACTCGCAAAATAAATCGGTAGTGCGCTCACTACTTATTTATTTTACGTTTGCGAATCTTTTCCTAAAACTTGGCCAAAAGTTTCAGTGAAAATTTTCGATCTACTTACTTAGTTTTAAGTTTTTTTTTCTTTTTAATTTAACTAAAACGTTGATTTTTTCCACGGTTTTGAATCACAATTTCATTGTTGTGATGTAAATACTTTGCAATGAGAATCTGGTTCTCGACCGTTCCGGGATATTTCATATCGATCAAAAAAATGTAATTCTAGTTAAATACGTTTAACATTTTAATAAAAACGTTTTAAAATAAACTGTATTTTTATTTCCTCACAATTGCTTGAAGATGATTAGTACGTTTTGTAACTTTACACTTAATGATTAATTGCTCTCTACAAATAAATAACATCTGTATTATTTCTTAAAATATTCGTTCTCAATTCTCTTAACTAGATCTATCAAAGACGGATAATTCCTAACAATATTAGCCAAATCGCTTCTTGGAAGAGGTGTCGTTAAAATGGTGAAAAGATGCCCAAACACTAAAGCATCCAATTCAGTTGGCCTAAAACATTCCATTAATTAAAATTAAATATTAAAATAATCAATAATTAACTTACCCATGGTCGAAAAAGAATTTTTGATCATTCAAACGCGCTTGGAGCGATTCACAGCACGTTTCGACCTCAGAGTAAACATCCTCAAGTTTCTTATCATACCAACCTAAGGTTTTCAATTTTTTGATAACCTGGCTGCGTTTGTTCCAATTTTGGATGTAATTCAAAGGCCACGGGTAAACCGAACCATTCCTACCGCTGGTTACTTCGTTATACGTTTCGCTATCTACCCAGCAGATATACAACTGAAATTCGCATATTAATCAACCATTTTCAGTGGTTCAAATGTATTACCTCGGCCATTTCTAATACACTGTGGATCAAAGACATGTAAGCTCTTAAATTAGATTTTTCGTCGTTATCCAGGGGTTGGGTTAAGGTAATATCTTTCCCGTTAACGAATTGAACGATTCCTTCCAATTCTGCTATTACGAACCGCCCTGCCTTTATGAAAGGTACTTTCAGTGTGGGGGACATGGCTTCTGCGTTAGGCCTCGGTTCCACCGCGTAGGGCAACTGGCACATTTTTAAAAAGGCTTGAGTCGCCAGGCAATTCGCGTTATCCGGTAGAAGGATTTGCTCCGCTTCGTAGGGTTGGAATAGTTTTACATCGCTGGGCCAAGGTTCCGGAGCTACAACAAAATGAGTATTTAGAGTATAAAATGAAAGTTAATGGTTTCTTACCGCCGAGTTCTATGCTAATTTTCTCTATAAGAGTCATTTTATTTCAAGATAAATAGGGCCTAAATAATAGAATTTAAAAATAAGTATATTTTATAACCTAGAAATATGACAACTGACAGAATATACTGTACTTTATATGATAACAGTTATTCTTTAATATATAAAAAAGAAGTTTTGACATAACGAAGTTAGTCACTTCTCTTCTTTCTACTACTTCACCTGTCAAAATACTGTCTTTCACAAATACAAAATGTCCAAGAGAGGTATGTTTTTCGAATAATCTGTGAAAATGTAAGGCATCTTAGTTAATTTCGACTCAAATTCGTAATATTTGTAATAATCAACCATTTTCTCAGTTATTTCATAGTTTATTTTGTTAATATTTCGAATATTGTGTCTTAATTCGGAGGCCTTACTATTTGAAGGTTATGTTTAATGCACAATTTGAAAATCTAATAAACTTTTTCTAGGACGTGGAGGTTCCGCGGGAGCCAAGTTCAGGATTTCCCTTGCCCTGCCTGTAGGGGCTGTCATTAACTGTGCAGATAATACAGGTAAGTCGATGTTTCTTTTAAATATACAAACGCACAAGTTACATACATTACAACAATTATTAATCGATTCTTCGTCTTTTAGGTGCAAAGAATTTATATGTCATCGCTGTGCAAGGTATCGGCGGGCGTCTTAACCGTCTGCCAGCGGCCGGTTCCGGAGACATGATCGTAGCCACGGTAAAGAAAGGTAAACCGGAGCTCAGGAAAAAGGTCATGCCTGCGGTGGTCATCAGGCAAAGGAAACCGTTCCGTAGGAAGGACGGCGTGTTCATTTATTTCGAAGACAATGCGGGCGTTATTGTAAACAATAAGGGTGAAATGAAGGGATCCGCCATTACCGGACCCGTTGCTAAAGAGTGTGCAGATTTGTGGCCCAGGATTGCGTCGAACGCCAGCAGCATTGCTTGAGAATATGTTTATTAATAAAAAATAAAGTTAAGAATGTTCTTAATATTGCGTTTTATTTTTGCGACGGTAATTTAAAATAAGAATTGTATAAAAAAATTCTTTAATAAGGGTAATATGATACAATTAGAAATGCTACCTTTGGTCACTTTTCACCTTTTTCTCAGGACTTTTGGATTCGTTTTCATTATCGTCGAATATTGATTTAATTTCTACTAGTCGAGAGGGTTTCGTACGCGTAGATAATTTCTGGAACATATTGACTACTTTGGGCCCCTGCATAATCGATAAGAGTCCCCAATTTGCCGTTTTGGGCTCTTTAGATTCCAAAATCCACGCGGCGTTTTTCAATTCATTCTTGAATCTAAGGACTTCTTCGAAACTAACGTTTTTACTGACGTTCAGGCCCCTTTCTAAGGGGTTTATTATGTACATAGCGCTGTGTTCGGGCTTCGCTATCGCCACCGTATCGTTCAAACAAATAGCTTTGTTATCGAAATCGAACTGGGAATAATACACGAAGAATTCCATCAGCAGTCGCTCTAAAGAATCGGTATTTTTGGTTTTCTGTTTATACTTGGTGATGTCTCGTAAAAACGAAACGTCCGTGCCGTCTTCCAGTGCAAATTTATCGCTTTTACCTAAAATATAGAATTAAAATAAATGTTAATACAACACACAATGGTGTTAAAATACCTGCTTGTTCTTCTAATTTATTTAGTGTAGGTATTACGGGCTTCCCGCTCGGAGGATTCTGAAGGAAGGCGAGTACTAGCAGAGTTAAAGAAAAATTCGTTATCCACCTTCCGGGGGCTGAATTTGTTATACCGACGGTTTTCGCCCAATTCCTTATGGTGAAAACGAGGGGTCTAACTCTATCGTCTAATTCCCCCATTATGTAGAGGAAATCGGACATGTGAACACCAGACCTGCAAATATCAAAAAACATCAATAAACCTGCATTTTTTTATAGCAATTAACTCACATATTTGACATGGAAACGTCGCATTCAACATCGGTTAGCTGCTGATGGTATTTGATAATAGGCACCCTGGCTTGTAAAATTCTACGAACGTGCCCGCAACCGGGTAAAAATAAATGAATTAAATCTCCAATAACCTCCATATGCCTCTGTGTTGTAGACCGTTCCGAACTGTTTAAGGGCTTGCAATGAAAAACTAACCGACCGTTATCGTGCCTCTGGAAAATATTCATAAATCGAAAGAATCTGGTGGCGGATTCGCAGGAAATTCTTACCTTATCGTTGCTTAATTTTAGAAATAAATCTAAATCACAGCCCGTTTTGCCGTAACCGTTTACGCTGGAGCCGAAGGGGTATGCAGTAGCGTGCGGAAACATCCCCGTGATGGCATTTTCGATTTGCAAGGCAGTTAAGAATCTCAAGCGAACACCTACATCGTTCAATCTGGTCAATTCGTGGAGTTTTCTTATTTGTTCTGAAACCTACCGATGGATTAATTTACGCGGAATAACTCGTGAAAAATAAACTTACGTTTTCGGAGTTACCGAGGGCTACTTTAATTTCCTCTTCTAATTGAATATCGGTGCCGAATTCAACGGAGAGATTAGCGTTTTTGTTGTCTTTTAGCTTTAATTTATTGTTAGCGGCTTTGAACCACATGAAGTTTGACTGCGTGGGCATTCCTGAACCGCCTTCGGAATAATTGCTGGAGTTCATTATCGATGAAACGATCGATTCGTTTTCGAACTCTACGATTATGAAATGCTGTAATACGCGAATTTAATTAATTACTTGTGAACATCAAGAATTATTGTTTATATTTACTGAAGGATCTATTCCAACAGAATAGTGGAACATAGATTTAATAGCCCCGAATGTGCTGCAATAAGACCATAGTTCTTTGTACGATTTCGCTGATTGTACTTGCACGATTATGCTCCTTCTAGCTTCAGTACGTCTGATGTCGATTCTTTGAAGAAACGGTATGAAATTTTCCGCTGTTTTAGTGCTAATTTTGTTTAAATTTTCTAGAATGAAAAATGTTTAAAATTGCAAATATTACTCGAATAAACTAACCATTTGTTGAATAATGACATGCCGATTTGTATTTTGAAAATTTTCTTATTTGCGGAATGAATAATTTCCTCCTTAAAGCATTATTTCCTAAAGATTTCAGTTTAAAAGGAAATAAATACATAGACATTTTAAATGATGTGATAACCTAAAACATTTTCATACTAGTGACCGCCATGAAGTTGGTATTTTTCTAATATGTCATTTCATCTTCTTTTTTAAATTTCAATACTCTTAAGAAAAAAGAAGACTAATCTAACCATATTTACTATTTACTGTTTTGATTTTGATTAAAAAACGAAATTCTAAACAAACAATGCAAAGAAAGTCCGTGTCGCCATCTAAATTTCGACCGCTACAAAGTAATAACTAGCAATTAATAAACTAAATATCTAATTACAATTTTTTGCAGTTTCTCAAAGCCCCGTGGCGACGTCGCCTGGTAAAAATTTAACGGGACCTGCTCGAGTAGCTAGAGACATAACAGCAGATTTGTTCAATACGGTTCAAGTTTGGAACGATAATCACATTAAGGGGGCTCAAATAGTAAGAGATATAGCTCTGCTGAAGGGGGATAATTTGGATGAGTATTCCAAAGGACTCGAAGACTGCACGAACAACTTACATGATTTAGTGCAGAAACTCAATTCCTGCGTAGAATTATTCAGTAAATACCGAAATCAGATAGCAGCTTTAAAGAAAGTTGAAAGAAGAAACGATCCATTATTTATATCTTTGAGTATTTCTGATATTGAACGTTTAATTATTGTCATCGTTGAAGGTTATTTAGAAGAGTTTAAGGTAAATATTCAATGTAGTTTGGTCTATTATTATAATATTTATTTGTAGGTGAAACAACTTGTACTTGAAAGCATTGCACACGCCAGTAATAAGGACGAACTTATATTTTTTGCTTCGTGTTGGATTCATCAACCTCATATAACTAATCAAGTGACACTAAAACTGGAAACTTTATTAATAGAAACTGGTCATCGAAAAATTAGCTAATCCATTCGATAGAATAGTTTTGAAAACTAAAGTTGAGTGAATGATACATCCATTAAAGGCCACATGTCGGTTAACTAAACTGTCATTTGTCCAAAAAGAAGAAAAATAGTGGTTATGCGGTATTGTTGTGTTAGAGAATAAACATTTATTTTAATGAAAAGTTCAACTTGTAAGACAATAAATAAGTAATAATGAAACTAGTAAGTTAATTTTGTTTTTATCCCACTTCGGCAATATTTCAATTACCTGTTATTATTTGCAGTATTGTTTGAGTAACGATCCTAATAAACCATGTCACATATTAACCTTTCGAGAAGTAACCATGATGTTGGATTGCGGTCTTTCCATGCAATCATTACTGAACTTTCTGCCCTTATCGTTTGTACCTTCAAACAAGTTGTTCAATCTACCTAATTGGATGCCCAGTGATACCATCGATCCAGATTTAGAAGGAGCAAGTACACTAAAATATTTATATTTCGAATTCCATTAATTTTATTATAACTGTAGGAGTTGAAGGAAAATGGCGATAAAGTGTTTGTGGATTCCCCACCGGAATTTTGCCCACCACTAGACAAATTAATAGACTTCTCGCAGGTAGATGTGATATTGATTTCGAATTATTTGTGTATGATGGCTCTACCGTTTGTAACCGAAGGTACTGGCTTTAAAGGAAGAGTGTATGCTACAGAACCAACACTACAATTTGGAAGGTACACCCACAATATTCCATTTTATAATTCAAATTTAACATAATTAATATTATAGGCTGCTGCTGGAAGAAATAGTAATTTACATCGAGCATTGCCCCAAATCGGGTTTCGCGACCCAATGGAAAAATTTCGTCCACAAATGTCCATATCCCTTGAACGAATCCTTCAAACCGAAATCCTGGAAGCAAATATACAACATGAAGAACGTAAACGATAGCCTATCGAGGATTCAAATGGTGGGGTACAATGAAAAAGTTGTAAGTAACCCAGTTAATCTAACTCGGAGTATTCTGACGAGTAATTTCACTTGCAGGATGTTTACGGGGCTCTTCAAGTAATTCCAGCCAGTTCAGGATTGTGTTTGGGTTCCGCGAATTGGGTTATAAGCACGGAACACGAGAAAATCGTGTATTTGAGCGGTTCTAGTACTTTGACCACTCATCCCAGGCCAATGGACCATCATGCTTTAAAAAACGCCGATGTATTAATTATGACTGATCTTACTCAAACGCCTATAAGCAATCCAGATTCGATGCTGGGGGTGTTGTGTGTAGTTGTAGGTAATATCTTTTATATTTAATTATTTCGTAAAACTAACTAAAGGTGTTGATTTTAGGATTGACATTAAGAGGGGGAGGTAACGTGCTCATTCCTTGTTATCCCACTGGAGTCGTGTACGATTTGTTTGAATGCCTTTCTGGTAAAATGCAGGAACTCGGAGTATCGAATTGCCCGATGTTTTTCATATCCCCTGTAGCCGACATGTCTCTGGCTTATTCCAATATATTAGCCGAGTGGTTGTCGTCTGTGAAACAGAATAAGGTTTATGTACCGGACGAGCCCTTTCCGCATGCTTTGCTCGTAAAAAACAACAAACTCAAACACTTCAAGCACATATTTTCGGACGGTTTTAGTACCGATTTTCAAGAGGTTTGTGATTGTTTTAAACCTAATTAAGTGTACTTATCGATCAGTTTTAGCCTTGCGTGGTATTTTGCGGACATCCGAGTTTGAGATTCGGCGATGTTGTACAATTCATCGAGCTTTGGGGCAACAATCCGAGGAATTGCATCGTCTTTACCGGTATATAACAACCGTTTTTCGTCAATATTTATTTGTAATTACCCCGTTTTAGAGCCCGATTACGATTACATCGAAGCGCTGGCTCCCTACCAGCCTCTGCAGATCAAAGTAGCCCATTGCGCCATCGACACCTCGTTGAATTTCACTCAAGCCAACAAGCTGATCAAAGATTTGAAGCCCAAGACGCTCGTCGTGCCCGAATGCTACACCCAACCGCCCGTTTCGGCGCCCAATTTAACCGAATTAGTCATCGGAAATCACACGGACAGCTCCGTCATTCCTTACAAATGGGGCGACGTGCTGAATTTGCCTTTGAAAAGGAAACAGGGCCAGGCGTTCATAGACACCGCGATCGCGCAGAAAATCGTGCCTGTCGAGGTGAAGCCGGGTATAAGTTTGTCTACCGTCACGGGGGCGCTTAATGTGAAAGATAATGTTCATAATGTACAGGTAGTTAAATGTTTGCTTAGATTGCTGGGTAATGGTTGTATAAATTGTGGTTATCTGTAGGAAACTCGCGGGGAATTCGTACCGAATCAGCACGTTAAATACGAGTGGGGCTCGTTGAATATAACGGAATTTCTTCAGAAGCTCTCGCTGGAGGGTGTTACTGATGCCAAGGTTGAATCGCTCGGTGGGAATGTTATTGTTATACATTTGGTGAGAATTGGTTTATTATGTTTTAGTAAATTCCGTAATACGAGTGTTTTATTTTAGCAAGATGAAGATGCTCTGATTCAACTAGAAGATAACAGTACTCATGTAGTGTGTAATGCAGATGAAAACCTTAGGACTAAGTTACGGAATATTGTAATGCAATGTTTAAAAAAGTTTTAATAAAGTAAATTTTTCAATTTTTATTCGTTTTTATGTACTGAAAAAATAAAAAAAGTAATTCCGGTACCGGGAATCGAACCCGAGCCTCCTGGGTGAAAGCCAGGTATCCTAGCCACTAGACCATACCGGATTATACATGATGTTTTCAAAGTCGACACTTAAGCTGTTTAACATTTTAAGAAGTGTATTTAGTGTTGCATAACTCGTTTTGAGATAACACTGAAACTCGAAAAACAAATCCTTTTTACCTCGAAATTCGAATAATTTTGCCTAAAAGTGCGTTTAATTGCAAATTATACCAATTAAAATTCGCCCCAAACGACTCTTTGAACATTTCCCTCCCCAAAACATCCCTATTTTTTCGTTCAAAAAACCTCCCCGCGAACAATTCGTTACAATTCAAAACCTATTTATAATTACGAGAAAGGCCCTCTCGAACTGGAAACAAATTATAGATTGAACTCGAAGCGCGACGAGGACGCGACATCGTCGAAACCGTCGCGCCGAGCGAGAGCGAAGCGCAAAAATAAATTCGAGCCAACAGAGAGCCAGACATGGAAGGAACAAGATGGATTGTTACATCCCTAGATGGTCTCCATGGTTACGCTCCAGGACTGTGACGTCACTGCGTGAATCCTGCCAGAAGGTGCAACGCAGGAGCGCCGGCACAGGAGAGAGCCCCCATGAAATATTTAGCGAATATTAAGAGGCATATATCGCGGTGGTAAATGGAAATTCGATTAGAATTTGCAGGAAATTGTATGTAATTTTACTGTTTTTGAAGCGGAAGGAGATAGTGATGGTTAAATGTTGATTCCTTTAGGCTCTAGAAGATTCTTTCGAAGTTTTAACCTATTTTCTTTTGAATGGGAACTGGAAAGTCAATAAAAATTCTTACCCATTTTCCCATTTACTTTAATTGGATATTTATCGAGGACATCTCTTCTAGATTTGTTGAAGTGCGCTACTTATTTCAAACGATGTTCATTCTCCTGGCCTGGATGTCGAGTGTCCTGAGTCCTTAGTCCTGAGTCCTTTAGAAATCGATGGAATTAGGGACAGCACGCCCATGGCAGATAAGCCGTGAACACGGCGCGGATTTGTGAAATGGAAATTAGTTACACAAGTGAATATTTCGGATGTGTCGCAGCTTACAAGACGATAAAAATCTTTCCTTCCATCATAAACACCAGCCGAGCTTGTTTTCCTTACGTTTGCGGATAAGTTGTTTTACATGCGGAAAATTCTAACGATTTACAGTCGATAAATTCGCCCGAGTTCAACCGGTAAAGCTATTCTATTTATCTCTACAGGTAGATAGATAGCTTTCTCTCCAGACTATTTATTCAGCTAATTACAGCCGGACGATCCTCTCTAATTTCGCCGCCTAAAAGGGTTTTAATGCGGCTCGCTCGAAGCGGAAACCGATCTCAAACAATCCATTATGCCTATTGCCAAATCGCATTTCCCTCTATATTTCAATCAATCGCCATGGAAATATGCCCTGAACGTACAGCCGAATCGCGCCCGCTGCATCCCTCCTCGAGCCCCGGGCCCGCTTTAAAAAGTCCAATTTCAAATTAAAACGCGCATAAACAGCAATTTCAATTCGGGGCCCTTTGATCAGAACCGCGGAAACGGAACATACCGACTGCACTCCTAACCAACCCAGCAACGTTTGATCTCCACCACCAAAATAATGCATTCCCTAGTCCATATGCAATAGCTGAAGACATCTCAAAAGTTGTAATCACTAGTACCCTATAGCTCTAGAGCTCCCCTTATACATATGTCTACCCAGCTTCCCTAAGCAGAGGGCGATGTCCAGTTTTGTGTACAGTTGTCATTTTCCTGTAATGATGTATGGACGTGCTCGAACGGGGCTGGATCGATTAAACTCCCCGTCTAGACTCCGGATGTTCGAATGGATCGGGCCCCGCGAATTTCGGGTGCGTTTTTCCGCGAAGACGGGCGTTGCGAAATTCGATTTGGAGCCTCGCGAAAGGCGAAAAAAAAACCGGGAAATTCGAAGCGCTATATTCTCGGGCGAGGAGATGAGAAATTTCTCATCGTCAATTACACAGTCGCTGCGCCGCGTGATCGCGGAAGAAAAAGCTCGCTTCAATTTAATGCTCTCATATTGTTTCGGGTTTTTGTCGTGAGCGTAAGGAGCGAGGTTGGCGTGACTGAGAGAGGGTGGTTTGTGTGGAATGATGGAGTATGGGGGAGCGTTGGAAATATGTACCTATTAGTTTCCTCTCGCGCTCTGCAGGTTTCTATCGGGCGCATTCGGAGGACCGGGGAAATTATTTTTAGATTTAGCTGGTATTGCGTTTACTACAGGAGAGTCCTCTACAGGTTGCGAAACGCTCCAGCGAATGTTCGAAGCTCTTCGGTTGGAAATTAGCTTATTCTACCAGGTCATCCTATTTACAGAAAGAACCTTATTTGCGGATCAACCGCGTTGCATTATTTACGCCCGGTGTCCCTTTTACTAGCCACACGGAGCACTAACTATCGCAGATCCAGACGCACCAGCGTTGCCACCCCTTCAACATTTCTTAAAAACAAATCCACAATTTAACCAACATAAACGAATCGAGTGGACAACAGACTCGTTTAACAGTCCAATCTGCACCATCAGAATCGATCAATTTGGGCCGTTTTTCGCGCCCCTTCGAGCCCCCTCCGATTTTCCGAATTTTCCTCGCGATGCATTTCCGCGGCGGCAACGCCGCGTTGTCTCGGTAACCTTGATCGGTGCTCCGGGCAGGAATAAAATCCGGTTTGGTCGTCCTGGCAACCCATTCCAGTTTCCACTCTCCAATCTCTACGGGCTCTCGCGCGCAGGGCCGGCTCCGGGGCGCTCCCGTTATTGACCTACAAAAAAAATACTCTCCGAGGACCCTTATCGATTCCGCAGGATGGTGAAGGTGGGTGTAGTTGGTTCGAGTTGGGTAATAATTTAGATGAGTTTCTTGTTAGTATTATGTAATTGTTTCGTTGGATTTTATTATGGATGAGTGAATGGTTGTGGTCCGGTTCTGGACGGTGACCGGGCACATTGCAAACTCTCGTTTCCGAGCATCAAATTCCAGTTTTTTTCTCCATTTAAAGCGAGGCAATGGAAAGCAAGAGCGTTCGATCATGGGAAAGCAACGTTTCGAGTTCGATATATTAAAAGCGCCGTTCTCGTGGGCCCGTTTTCCCGTCGAAGTCGAATTACGGGGTAACTTTGCGCCGAGAAAAATGGGGATGCGAGCGAAATTTCATTTGCGTTTGGACAATCCGAGGGAAAACTCGGGTCGGATGGCGAAAAAAATAAGGTCAATCAATCCGAACGTCGGAGCGCGGAGATTCCCTTTTGTCTCCGAAGGGGCGTTAAGGGGTTGATTTATATTTGAAATTCGAGAATTGAATGGGGAAGGACTCGCAGACGCGAATGTTTCGCCGATATAGGTGCTTTTCGAATCGGTTTAGCGTCGAATTTCCCGATTTTATATTCTATTTTTCACGTCTAAACGGCTATTTTTCTTTCGCCCATGACGAGGGAAAAAATTGTTTGTCTTTTATAAACTACGGGTATTCTATACTTCTTGAAAAAGTAGCTTCATTTGTCATTTGTCAAAACATTTAAAATGTCATATACTTGACAGTTGTTACAAATGCTTGTCATTGTTAGTACCTCTAAAATTTACACCAACTTTTGATTGGTGAAAAAAAGTATTAATGATATTGAATTATTGGTTGTAAATTTTAGGCAAACTCGTTTAAGAGAGATTTACGGTTTCTGTGCAATATTTTTGAAAATTTATGCTGTTTTCGGGCGGAATTCATGGTGTTTGCGCCGGGGATGACGGTGCATAAACTTTCATACGTGAATTATTATCGAAGGGTGGAATTTTTGTAAAGCGAATTTGATTTGTTGTTTGACGAATGGCTCTAATTTAATCCAGACGCGGTTTCCACTCGTTTTGTTTGTTTTTCTCTATTTACATCGCCGGGATACATGTAAATGAGATGCGGGTCCAGCACGCCCGAATATGCGCGCTAACGTTAAATGCGACGTTCGAATAAAAATCGTGTTTTCGTCGATTTTAGGGTAAGTAATGATTGATGTGGCAGTCAACGTGTTAATATTATTTAATGAGTAAATTTTGTTTCACGACTTATACAATATTATTGTAAATTTTCTCACAAGTCCTCGGTAGTATAGTGGTCAGTATCCCCGCCTGTCACGCGGGAGACCGGGGTTCGATTCCCCGCCGTGGAGAACTTTTTTTTTCATTTTTTACCCTACATTACCCCTTTTTACCACCTGCTCCCTCCTGCTACCCTTACTTACTCTCTTCTTCCCTCTTATGCCTACCAAATTTCAACGAAATATCAAAAGCAGTCTCAAAGAACTTTGGAAAAAATTGTTTTGGTTTCAATTTTTTTACGCGAAAATGGTGCGTTATACGTAAGTAAATCTTCGGACCGAATTTGCTCTCAAATAAATGAGGATTTGAAAAATAATTTTGGTTATTAGAAAAAGCAGTGACGTACCATTTTTTTTTTTTACAGATTCAATTCAAACCCCGTAGAAACTTCACTGGTAAAAATTAAAAAAAAATTGTCTTAAAAAATGCTCCCTAATAATTAAAAAGTGTGTACAAAATTTCATATCTGGAGTAATAACAAAATTATGACAGAAAAGTATTTTTTTTTTTTTTAATTGTAAAACCCTGTAACTCGAAAACTAAAAGGTTTAGGACATATATTGATATAAACTTTTCTTCTTATAATCACCCAAACTTTCACATCCTGAAGTATCGGCACTTAATTAATTACCACCCTGTATGTCAAACAAATTTTTAATTTTTTTTCAAAATGTTTAGAGGTTAAAAATATTTTTGATCAAAAAATCTAAACGTTTTGAAGCAAGTCCTCGGTAGTATAGTGGTCAGTATCCCCGCCTGTCACGCGGGAGACCGGGGTTCGATTCCCCGCCGTGGAGA